GGAGTGGATGTGGATCCAATAGTTTCAGATAGAAATTAAAATAATAAAATATCTTAAAAAATTATATATAAAATAAATTAATTATTTGTCAGTGAATAATGAATTTAAGTGATAAAAAGTGGTTGGATGAATAGAATTTTATTGTATTTTCAGATAAATTTTATCTCTAAGTCATAATTTTTATTTAAACTCAGTGCCATGTGTTTACATATCTCAATATGTAAATTAGGCGCACTAATGGATAAAAAAAATTTTAAAAAAATAAAAGAAGAAGAATTAATTTAAGTGATTGAATTTTGATTGGGGAGAGAGATTCTTAATTCTATGGAAGAGAAATAGAAGGAATCTAATTGGCTGTAAATGCTTTTGTCCTTTTTGGTGGGTTTGAAAAAGGAGCATCTTCTTCTTCTTCTCCCTTAACACATTACATTACTGAAATATCAGGCAATATCGAAAATTGGGACCCACATCACCCAAGATTCCTCATCTCTAAGCTTAAACAATTTGACAAATCTCCAACATGGGTTTTTGAGGTTGGTGTTGAATGATCAACTTTGTCCAATCAGCCACTGACATGTCCTTTTCTTGAAAGGGAATCTAATACCAATTTTTTCAAAGATTTTTATTTTACTTCCTACACTTTCAAAAAATATCATTACTTACCAAGTCAATAAGTTAATGTTTATCTTAGGTCAATAATTAATTAATTTGTGAAAATTATGAAATATTAAATTAATAAGTGAATTCTCAATCATACGTGGTATGATTAGTCTTCTTATTTATGTGAAGAATGAGAAATCTCGAGTTCGAGTTATCTCCATTACAAATATTTTTATTAATTTGATAAGTTAGCAATACTATTTCGATCCATTGGGTCTCCCAATGAATAAAATAAAAGAAGTGAATTGTGTTTGGAGAATAATTTATTAAAATAATTTGTGTCCAAATTTTTTTTAAAAAAATTATAGATTTAACTATTCAATCATCATTTTAACAAGATATTGAACTTTAGATCATAATCAAGAAAAAAAAATATTATAATTGTTGTAAGCTCATAATTATTGTTCACAAATAGTATGAATCATATGTTAGTGTTAATATATATCTACACATGTCAGTAATAAATTGCTTTGAGGATAGATTAAAAACCTATAATATTATTATTGCTAATAGTATATTTAAATAAAATTAGATACAAATTTATTGATAAGTGAACATAATATTTCATATTTTGATTTTATAGGTCTAAAATTAATATTGCAGAACTCTATTATTCACTAGCTTATCAAAATTTTATCTAACTCTATCGGTAAATTAGTCTTAAAATTTGAAGTTACAGACAGTCATTTTCTATTCAAAAAATTTTTCACACAAAATGAAAATCAAATCTAGAATTATTTGCTATTTTGGAGAGAAATGATAAGAAGGAGGGATTTTCCATTACAATTACAATAGGAAAGACAAGCATAAAATGGTATCTTTTCCCATTTTGTTTGGAGTTATATAAATAAAATGGAAGAGAGAGGCAACTAATGTTTATGCAAAAACAAAGATTCCTTAGGTGGCATGTGGACCTTTGAGCAAAGGTGACCATTAAATTGAGGTTTTTGGAATCATCAAAAGAACAAAATTTTCTAATCCACCAATTAACCCATATAAGCTACAAAAAGTAGTGATTCCCTTTGAAATTGAGAAAAAGTCCCTATTCCAACAACATAGAAGAATCTTACCAATAGCCAAAAAAAAAAAAAAAAAGAGAGGAGAGGATAAAATTTTTCATAATCCAACCAATTAACCCATATAAAGCCTACAAAAGTAGTGGATTCCCATTACGTGTGATACGGTAGAGAGAGAGGATATTAGCGCGGAGCGGAGGCGACTCAAACAGAAGAATTCTTATCTATTCGAGGCTTCAAAAGAACTATAATATATTATATATTATATATATAACCTCTCATGTTCCACTAGTAAAGTACCAAAAAAAAAAAAAAAAAATCTCATTTATTAGTGTAATAAGAAAATAAATTAGAGATAGAAAAGTGGTTAAGATAAAAAAAAATGTGGTTAAAAAATTATTAATTTTTGCAAGTTTTAGGATCATATTGGTCAAAGCCTTGCCTCCACATTCTACCTTGGTGGCCTTCTCTTGTTCCCTTAAAGGAAATGAATGATTCTTGTCTTAGACCACAAAGAAACATTAGAAAAAGGGATTTTTTTTTTAAAAATTATAATAATTCCCCTTTATTTGACTGTAAAGCCCATTTTCTTACTTTAATCTAAGATTTGATATCAAATATAATAATAACAACATTAGGGAAAGTCAATTTGACTGTCTCAAGAATTTTCTTTTTTTCTTTTTTAACTTGTCTAATTCAAAATGTTAAGACTAAAATTATTGACAAGTAAGAGAGTGTTTTCACCACTTTTATTCTTTATAAAAGATAACAAAATTTTAATTCATCATATTGATTTTAAAGCATGACTTTTTGGTCATTTAAATTGGCAGAATGTAAATTTATGAATTTCAAAAATTCATAAACTATAATACCCACAAAATTCCAAGTCTATTGTTTGATTAAAAAAAAAAATTTACAAATTTAAATGATACTTTTTGAAATAAAATTAAATGGTTTAAATTTTATCATTAATAAAAATAATGAATTTATTTCTAATAAAATTAAACTTATATAAGAGCTATTAAATTTAAAATTACATTAATATAAAAGTAAAATCTAAGGTGATTCTTATGTAAGGCCAATCTTATAATACAAAAAAAAAAAAAAAAAAAAAAAAAAAAAAAAAACTGTCACACTGCCAAGGCTTATATTATATATGTTAACAAAGGTCTAACAGGCGTTGAAGTCCTTTATGTCAAGGCCAATCTTATAAATACAAAAAAAAAAAAAAAAAAAAAAAAAAAAAAAAAAAAAAAAGAGAGAGAGAAATCTCACCTTATTAATTTTACTTTTTGTTTTTACATTTTGGTGCTTGATGGTTTATGGTTGGACCACTCTTTTGTTTTTGCAACTTTTAATTGAAAAGGTTTTGCATTAAAAGTGCAAAAAAGAGTACTTCATCTTCTTGAGGGGTAGTTTTTATTCCTAGATAAAAAGTGATTTGATGTAGATTAGCACAAATTCCACGTTGGTGAATAATCATTCATCACATTTAAACATATGGTGTAAGCCTTCTCAAAGGGGAGAAAAAAAAAAAAAAAGACTTTATATATTTAATGTTATAACAATTATATATCTCTTTTTTTTAATAATCAGGAGGTTTTAATTTCTCGCATACCGTAAAGCATTAACGATTTTTAACCTCTTAGCAAAATGCATCTCCCTAATAACTATATATTTCTTTGAACTACTAACATTTGCATTAATTGATACCCTATGGGCATTCTTATCTAGAAAATTCAAATGCAACCCAGAATTCAACTATTTTTTCCCTAAATTTATTTTAATAATTTCTTCAAATTAAAAGGTCCAATATGATTATTAAAGGAGAAAAAAATCATTTATAAATTGCTTGTAGTAACATTTAATTTCGAATAATCTCCATTATAATTGTGTTAAATAATATAATATATAAATCATAAAATTTCACACATAATATTAAGTCGAATTTTTTTTTTTTAGTTGATTGGAAGCTAGACGAGTTGAAATTATATTTTTCACATTATTATAGAAAGCAAGAAGATAGTCCACACTTTTTATATATATATTTGTTATTTTTGATTAGAAGAGATTTGGGAACTCACTTAGGCCGTTTTCGACAATAGCTTTTTAAGCAATTTTTAGAGGTTAATATAACGTTTTGTAAAAAAACGGTTAATATAGCGTTTTGTAAAAAAATGGTTAATATAGCGTTTTATAAAAAAATTAACTCGTAACGTTTAATTTTTAGTGTTTTACAAAAAAACTACTTAAACAGCTGAGAGTTAAATATTAATAAGCTAATAGCTATCAATACAGTCAAATTTGCGGAACAGACTCTTAATATACAAATAATAAATTTAATATCTTAATTAAGAGATGGGAAAGTTAATTAAAATTCAAGTTTAATGTGAGATAATTTTCATAAAACTACAAGATGATAATAATTTTACTGTGTGAATACAACTTATGGTTTATGACTTGACTTATCAATCGAAAGTCTGAAATTCCTCTTCATTTTCTATTCTAACCAAATAAAACCTTTCGAGATCCAAAAGGCCAAAACAATTTAAAATAAATAAATAAATAAAAAGAAAGGGTGTACGAGTACGACACACAGGAGATTCCAATTTGCTCAACTCAGTCTCGAATTTGACAAAGCTGTTTCAATCAGGAAACTTAAATTTTGCATTTATACGTCACTTTTTCAAAGCTAAAAAATTTAGTAACTCTAAATATTGCAAATTACTGTTGAAAACATTGGATTTTCTTTTTAAATTTTGATTTATAGATTATTAACTTGTAAGCTGATTCTTTTTATAAAATCTTTCTTAGACCTTTTATCTATTTTTTAATGAAAATTAGTTAGTACAGAAGAAAATAAATTAATAAAAATTCAGATCAGTATGATTCTCTTAAAATTTATTATTTTTTCTTTTCGGCGTTGGAAAAGAATATCACATTAGTGAGATTCGAAAATAATATATAATATAAAAATAAAATAAAAATCAACTATTATTTTCGATAGCATATAATTTTAAATAAAATAGAAAATTTTCAAATTATTTTAGTTAACGAAAAGGGGAAAAGGAAATTAAATAACATTTCATTAATAATAGAGAGTTAAAGTCCCAATTAAACTTTTTTACAAAAATATATTAAAAAAAAATCCGAGTTAAACCGTGTGGAGGGTGAGTCAACTCAGCAATAGGTGAAATTAAAATTATAGATAAAATATGCGACGACGCGAAATAGAATTTATAACCCGAAAAACCCAAAAACAGAATCTTCGCGTTCGCGTTGCTTAGTATTTTCCTTTCTACTCTCTCTTAATTTTGATTTTCAAAAGAAAAAAAGAAAAAGAGAAAAAAAATAACACTTCTTCTCTCTCACACTTCATATACATATATATGTATATATATATATATTCTCTCTATAAATGCAGATCTCGCCATTTCTCTATCTCTTCCTTGTTTCATTTCACACTTGCATCCATTAGCGAAGAACCCACAAAGAAAGAAACAAAGAAAGGAAACGAAGGAAAAGGAAAGGAAAAGGGAGAGAAAATCTAAGATACATATATATAAGAAATGGGTTCGATTCCACCTGAGCTCAGCTTGGATTTTAGGCCAACTTATGTGCCCAAAACGATCAGTGATTTTCTCAAGGAGGTTTCGATGATCGGAGACGTTTCGGAAAAGGTTTCGAAACTTGATGGTTTTGTCAAGGGATTGGAAGAGGAAATGAGGAAGATCGATGCGTTTAAACGCGAGCTTCCCCTTTGCATGCTCCTCCTAAATGATGGTTGGTTTTTGTCTCCTGAATTTATATTTATCACAATACTTATCTCATTCTTTTTTTTTAAATGATTTTTTGAATGTTTTTGATCGGTGGCTTTTGAGATTTTGATGAATTTTGGTTGTTTTCATCTTACTTTTGTGAATGGAGAAAGTATGCGAAATGGGATTTTTGCTTTTTTTTTTTTTTTTTCTGATTTTGATAATTTTGATCAATCGACTTGTTATGATTCTTGTTGATGATGCTTATCTTTGGCTGTTTATTTACTGTTATGTTGCAGCAATTCTATTTTTGAAGACAGAGTCAATGCAATGTACAACATCAAATAATAGACCAGTTTTAGAAGAATTCATTCCATTGAAGAAGAGTGATGAGGAGGAGGAGGAGGAAGAAGAAGAAAGTCCAATCAAAAAGGAAAAAGACTATAAAGATAAGAAAAATTGGATGAGCTCTGTTCAGTTATGGAACAGTAATGAACATTCCTCTACTGACTACATCTTTGATCCAAAACAAAATCTCAAACTAGAATATAAGGTAACTATTACAGAACAACCAAATAAAGAAAAAAAATTAACTGAAGTAGTTTATTTGAGTTTGTACGATGTGTTCCCAAATTGAAAAATCTTTAAAAAGAGGAAAGAAATGGAAATTGATCTGTCTATTTGTTTTGCTGTTTATTGTTTTGTTTGAACAGTCAACAAAGAAAGGAAATCAGTATGCAAATGAGGACACATTCCAAGCATGTAAAAGCAGAAATGCAGCAAGAGCATTTATGCCATTTAAGACCTACACTGGTTTGTCAAGAAAGGAAGACAGTAATAAGAATCATAATCAGAATAGTGAGGAATTGCCGATTCCTGGTCTTTCTCTTTTAACTCCTGGAATCAAGAACTTGAGGGAAGAATCTGTCTCTACAGGTTCAAGAACCAGTTGTAGTAGAGCAGTTTCTTCTTCTGCCCCTAATCCTCAATTAAATTTACGAAATGGACTACAGCCATCTCAGCAACAAACTGCTAGGAAGCAGAGAAGGTGTTGGTCCCCAGAGTTGCATCGCCGGTTTGTCAATGCTTTACAGCAACTTGGAGGCTCTCAAGGTTAGCACATGATACTAAATTTCATTTCATATGAAACTTTTATGTCCTTCAGTATGAGAGATAAAGATACTGTATAGTGTAGAATTGCATAGATTTGCTTAATTACAAAATTAATGGACGCAATGTGCAAAATGCTGATGGCTTTTTTGTGGTTTAATCCAAGTCTAGTTATAAAGCTAGGTGTATGGTTTGAAGATTTGGATATAAGCTGATAAAGTTTGCAATATTATTTCTAATTTGGTTAGAAACAAGGAATTAGAGATTAGATAAGTGATTGGAATGGGAAATATTAATGAATCTGATCCAAGTCTGAAAGTAGAATTGATTGATCTTTTAGGGCTTATTAGCTGTCTCAATTTTTTGCACTTTGACTATATTTTTTTAAGATCTAATTTGAATTTTATGGACATCTTCTGCAGCTGCCACTCCAAAGCAGATTAGAGAACTAATGCAAGTTGATGGCTTGACAAATGATGAAGTGAAGAGTCATTTACAAGTGAGTTACCAATTTTTCATTGCATCCCTTTGTTTGATATCAGAAAGAATAAAGAAAATGCTTAAATTGCTTAAGCAATTCCCTTTTTTTTTCTTTTTTTTTTCTTTTTTTTTTTTACTTATGAGAAATTCTGGAGTTTGATGGAAGACCGTTGTTGCCATTACAGAAATACAGACTACATACACGAAGAATGCCAACAGCTACAGCTGCCCCTGCAAACCAATCTTTAGTTGTTTTGGGGGGTTTATGGGTGTCCCAAGATCAATATGGCGACTCATCAAAGGCTACCAGTTCGCAGTCTGGATCTCCTCAGGGTCCCCTCCAGTTGGCAGGAAACACTGGAGGAACCTCTACTACAGGAGGTGATAGCATGGAAGACGACGAGGATGCCAAATCTGAAGGCTATAGCTGGAAGAGTCATATTCACAGATCAGGAAAAGATGATGTATAGAAGAGTGTATCTATTCACCAAGAATTTTGCAGATAAAACTATACATGGGAGGATTATATGAGTTAAAAAGGAAAAGAAAAATAATACTAAAAGTTTTTATATAATGGAGAGGGATATTGAGAGTGGAGAGGCTGTGAAATTTTGCAGGATTAGCTTCCATCTGTCTTGAAATTGAGTTTTTGTATTATCTCGGAATTGATATAAGCATTCTAACGTCCATCTTTGCATGGAACGATACAAAGAAGTACTTATTCTCAGCCCTTGAAGCTTTTTCCAGTGTCATTAATTATTAGAACTCCTGTTTGCTAAACTTTTCTTTGTCAATTACTGAATTCTTCATTGGAATTGAATACCCTTTCTTGAAATTTAATTTAAAGAAATGGATTTAGATCAAAAGGATTTCTTGGAGCACTAGTTCAAGCAAACTCTAGTTTGCTTGAAGACTTGCTTAAAATTCTTCTTTTGGACTTGCTTTAGGAGAAAAGAAGAAATTTGGTAGATTTCTGATGAGGAAAACCATAAAATAAGAAAATTCTCCATCTGGTTGGAAGGAAAGCCAAAAACTTTCCACCTGTAATTATTGTAAGATTCCTAGTCTTTTGTAGTTTTTTTGCCGTCTCCATAAGGATTTATAATTGGAAATTAGGAATATTTCATTTTCAATGTTGATAGTCCCTTTCGTTTTTAATTGGTCTTCAAGAATTTTCAAGTCATATCTTTTCCTTTATTATTATTATTATTATTATTATTATTATTTATGGGAATCATATTTCCTTTTTCTATAGAAAAATATTGCAGAAATAGGCAGTCTTTTTATTTTTATTTTTCAGTTTTAATTAATTTTTTACTAATAGATAAAAGCATCCAAGCGAAGCCCCGTAGTGTGGGCTTCTAGCCAAGCCAGATATCCCATCCTTTATGGCTGTAAAACTCAGCAGTATGGGTTCTAGCCGAGCGGGATATAACATCTTTTACGGTTGCATAATAATTATTATTCTCGTGAATCTTTATAAAAGCATCCAAATTAGGATGTCCTGTGAAATAGGCAAAATCGAACATCCACCATTGACTACTTTCTCTACCTGTGCTTTGAAAATATTAAGAAGTGATTAATGAATTTTTTTTTTTTAAATTTAGACACATTAAGTCATTAACTATTTTTAATTTAATTGATGATATGAGATAAATAGTAATTTAATGAATTAAAGAACGGTTTATTATAGAAAATTAATTGTTTCCTTAATTACTATACATAAACTTTAAACTATATGTTTGCTTAATCGATATATATTTTCTTTCTTTTTTTTAGTATTAGGGAAGAAATGATTCAAACTTAGATTTATTACTAAACCGTATATACACTTATCATTAGACTATATCTTGATTTGTCTGCTGTAAAAAATTTTAAATGTCTTATATTTGTGAGTAAAATAAGTATTTTATTTTTCTTAAATTGTGATTTTAACTTATTATACTGATGATGTGTTATCACATTCTACTATATAATTTTGTCATTTTGCTCAAGATTTAGACATATGGGATCCAAAGTTGTCTCTTTCTAAATCTCTATAGTCAAAATTATTACCACTTTGGGATTGTTGGTGTATTTTAAGCTCCATGATACATAGTGAGAACTATTATTTTTTATAAGATAAGAATAAAAATTCCTTAAAAGAAATGGTTATTCTTGTCCAATAAGACAATTCAGGATCCAGACTTGCCTTGTGAGAATATTTTGGAGGGTTTATATTTCTTCATATTCTTTCTTGTGACTCTGATTGTGGACAATCTCAAATTACTCTGGAATAAGATTGTCTTTATTAATAAAAATTGGTAAGATTATACAAATAATCACTTGCTCTTACTGTTCTTCTAAATTTAGTTCACCGAATTTCACGGTTTACGCCTACATTGTAAAGTTTTTTCGTAAATTTTAACGTATTTTACCATTTAAATCACTTCTCCAGCTAATTACATAATTTTTTCAAAGGTCTTAGATTCGATATTTTGTGTGAACAGTTGTTAAAAATCAATAATTTTTTTTTCTTTTGTTAATTTTATCCTTTCACCTAACCCAGTAGTATCCCACTAATTATTATTGTTAAAAAAATAAAAATTTGAAATAAATAACAAAAACACAATCAGTTGCTATATCTATACATGCATGACAAAACAGTCACTCTCTGAAACAAAATAATAGAGAGAATCTTACAGACAAGATATATAATGAAGGAGCCCACATTGATCAGGTAACTTTAAAAATGGTATTTGAAATTGTTTACTGAAAGAGTGAAAATGATGGAACCTCTCATTGATTAGTCCTTCTAAATAAGGTTAAGAAACTTAATTAATTAATTAATTAATTAATTGATTGATTACCTTGATTAGATTTTGAAATCCAAGGGACTATTTTGTTTCTTTTAATAGAAGATAGAGAATGGAATATGTGCAGAATAGCAGCTAAGCTACCCACATGGCAGCAATTAATTGGTCCCACTTAAGGAACAATATTCCTATTGAAGATTCCTTCCAGAGATGATGATCCCTCTTCATAGGTCTTTTATTATTAGGAAACTTTAAAATGGAAGAAAGCTATCAAAAAATTAAATATATTATTTGGCAAAAAGCCCAACCAACACCTTATTTAAAAGGTTATTGAAAAATGCAATTCTTTTTTTTTTTTTTTAGTGTCAAAATATTGAAAAATGTTTAAATTAAAATTTATTATAGTGATCACTTGTTTGCTATTTTTTTTATTAATTATACTATCCTCTTAAGACTATTAATTAATACCATTAAATCAAAATTTATTGGTTGGTTTGGATTTTTTTTTTTTTTTTTTTTAAAATCAAAATTTATTGGTTGTTTTTTTTTTTTTTTTTTTTTAGCAGAGGGTTGTATTTATATTGTGTAGCATTAATCCAATTAAATAGATGAAGGAAACAATAAATAAAAATAACTCTTGCTAATTTTTAGAAAGCTCTCAAGAAAGGTGAATTGTGATCATAAGAAAAGGCAGACAATATGAGTATATTGGTACTTTTTCCACTTTCTATTTTAAGCATTGTTTTTATATCAATTATGCTCTCTATTTAACCTAAAATGAGCTTTTTTTTTTTTTTTTTTTACCCATTTAACTACAATGAATGGTGAAAATTATCTAGAAGATTATGATTATTACTAATGACAGTGTCTCCAGTTTCATAAAATTTTTGACTGATCTTTTATTATTATTATTATTATTATGATTTTCTTGTTTTAACTTTGCCATTGATGATGAATTGGACAAAGCATGGTGTTTCAAAATCTTATTTGGAATGAGTATATCTCCATTGTAGAGTAATTGTTAGCTTCACATTTTCTGGCAGGCGTGTGTTTTAAATGATAAAAAAATTCAGCATGAGGGAAAGAAGAAAAAGACAATTATAAAATGCTCCTAAATCTTCACTTTTGGGCTTGAAACCCAATTCCAATTTTTGATAACCCACATAAAATAATTTGACCACTTGAAGCCTAATATGTTATATTTGAGCTTCAAGCTTCTTAAGCCCTCTAATATGGAGAGTTGGCTCACATTGGATCAAAGTCATTGTATGAACCCACTAGGCCTTTTCAACTCTCCATTTTCACAAGTATTGGAAATAAAGGTTTGGAGTGAGCTGTGAATAGCGGATTGTAGGGCTATAAACAAGTCAGCCCAGCTTTGGTGAGTTCAGAAATCTGAGTTCGAGCTCGATAATCATAAATGAGCCAACTTTTAGCTCAAAATCTATTAAAACCAAAGGCATTGTTTTAACGTAGATTTTAATTAATTTTGGCATATCAAGCTAACTCGAGAGCTTTTGGCACGATAGAGCTGGCTTGTGAGCAGCTTGCAAGCTAATGACTTAAACTTGAGCTCGGTTTGATAGGTTTATCAAACGAGCTCGAGCAAGCTTTTTCAGAATCGAGTTTTAAATAGCTTATGAGCAGCTTGTCTCGTTTATAGCCCTAAGAATAGAATGGAATGAAAATTGAAATATGAATTTTTATTTTTTTGTTTAATATATGTCTATATGGAATGGAACAAAAATTTTAATGCTTTTTTTTTTTTTTTTTTTTAAATGCTTTTTTTTTTTTTTTTTTTTTGGTTATAGTTGTAGGGACGAATGAAAATGGAAATCCGCTAAAAAAAATCCATAAATATAATTTGATTATAATTTAAATTAATTCAATGAAAATACTGAATTATATATACTAAAAAAAATTTAAATTTCCATTGACCTTTGATTTTTGTTTTGCTTAACCTTGAATTTCTTTCTTTTTTCCCTTTAAATTTTTATTTATTTTTTTAGCATAGATAAAATTTCTAAAATTTAAAATAATTTTCAAAAATTATTTTTTTACTGAGGTTATTATTATTCAATGATATATATATATATATATAATATAATTAATATTACTTTTTAAGTAATAAAATATTCAATATTATTTTTCCCGATAGTCTATAAGTTTTAAGTTCTTAATATTTTTAATGCTTCTTTTTCCTATATTTCTATTTACTTTGAGATTTATATGGACATAATAAGATAACATGACAAAGCATTTATTTATACATTTTAACTCTGTACATAAACTATAGATTTTTAACAGCATTAAAATTCAATAGGAAACACACACTACAAAAAAATCGCCGATTTGCGACCGATTTTTGAGACCGACTTTTTGGCATTTTGCAATCGATTTGTCGGTCGCAAAATGCCGTTTTTGGTCGCAAAATGCCGTTTTTTTAGTAAACCAAATAATTAAAACTTTCCATACTCAAGACTTGAAATACAATAATAAAAACAAACATTAATTATTTAAATTTCTAAAAATACAAAAAAATCGCCGATTTGCGACCGATTTTTGAGACCGACTTTTTGGCATTTTGCAATCGATTTGTCGGTCGCAAAATGCCGTTTTTTTAGTAACAAATAATTAAACTTCATACTCAAGACTTTGAAATACAATAATAAAACAAACATTATTATTTAAATTTCCTAAAAATAATACAGAATAATAATAAAAATAAACATTTTGCATGATGTATAAGCACATCACTGCCTTAAATATTAATGCAGGTGGATTATTTGCACATAAATTGAATGCACTAAATTATTTTTTAAAAATTATTAAAAAATATATTTTCTATTTTACAACCCATTTTCATGTGAATTTAAAATCATGATAAGTTAGGATGAAACTATTAACTTAATACTTGAATGCATATTGTGATGCATGAAAAATAAAATGATTCAAAATTTAACTCCCTCCACCTCCTTTTCATTTGAAAATTATAAAATTCATTAGACGGTTCAACGGACTGAAAAAATATTGTGAACTATATAATAATAGTAACATTTCATTTAACTCACCAAATTGGGAAAGAACCTCTTGTGATCGAGAGATCTCGAACCTGAGACCTCACACCCTGCATGTAAAATGAGAAGACCAATCTCATTGCATCAACCGGCATTGTAATATAAAATTAATTATTTTAAAATTTAATTCCTCAAAAAAATTTTATTTTAAAATTTAAAATAAAAGAAAAAAAATTTATTGAACAGAAACTAAATAATGATGTTGTGGACCCAATTTTGTGGGAAGGGGGAGAAAGAGAGAGAAAAGTGCAAAGAGTGGCAAATGGGAAAAATCCAAACCTCAAATAACCGGTCAAACCCAGGAGTAACGGTCTCGTGTAATAAAAGAATTAAAAAAATAAAAAAAATCTGAATTTAGGCGCGAAATTAGGATTCAATATCTCCATACAGTTACTAAAGTTCAGGAACGGAGAGAGAAAGAGTTTTACAAGATACAAAACACAGATAGAGAGAGAAGAGGCAGAGGGAGAGGGAGAGATAGAGATAGAGAGAAATCAAAACAACAAATAAAAACTTTTCTTTAAAAATTATGGCTCAAGCACAGCCTGTGAGAAAGATTGAACAAGAACAAGATGAAGCGGAACAAGAAACCATAATTGCTCCTCCTCATCTTCATCAACAAATTGAAATCAAAGAAACATCAAAACCTAAATCAACACCAACAAGTGATAGTATTAGTAGTAGTAGCAGTGCTAGTAATAGTGCGCCCTTCAAATTCAATGCGCAAGCACCTGAATTTGTCCCTAGATCGCATTCTCCAAGCCCCGCTGCCTCTCCCGCCGCCGCTGCCGCTGCCGCCCAGACCCAGATGCCTATTTCTGGTTATTTTTATCCTTGTTTCCATTATCTTGGTGCCACTACTGGGTCTGATTGGTTCTTTCTCGGGGAACAAGACCCACATGCCTATTTGATCTCTAATCCAAATCTTGCTTTGCCCAATTCCTCTAACAAGACTACTCTTCTTACTGATGATCTTCGCCAAAAGATCCTCAAACAGGTCCTTTTTTGCATTTCAACATTTTTTTGGCCCTCATTTTTGTGTTTATTTTATTAACCATAAGTTTGTAAATTTTGTAACCTAATTTTGGTTTTTAGCCCTTCTGTTATAGCCTTTGAATGTGGTTCTCTCTTGAATAATGAAATAGTAGGGTATAATCCTAGAGATAAGATTGATTTTGATTTGAATTTTTCTAACATTTATTGGCAAATTTATGTTAACATAATCAGAACACGGGAAATTACAAGAGAGGTACTCAACTATGTTAATTGGAATGTGAAAAAAGATTGTTTATGGATCAAATTCCTTGTAGGATTAAGATATATTGGATTGTCTTTGTCTCTTTACAACATCATGGTTTGCCTTTTGTTGATCGAAAAGAAATATTCATTTAGATCAAGCAAAAATATTATCTGATAATCTGTTTGGCAAAAAGTGATAAGGGTATGGAAAGGGATTGTAAGTAGAAAATTTCCTAGATCAACATTCAACTAATTACACATATAGGCATTTATTTGTATCTATCAACTGCGATTATCTAGTGTTGGGGAAATAACATTTTTCCTTTTTAATCTAACAATCTTTTGGAAGCCTCTTATCCATTCGAACTTGCCAAGGCCTTGTTTTTCACATCTTATGCTTCTTTGTGATTTTCCTATCAAATGTTTCCTGTAATTTTTTTTTCTTGCTGCACAACATTATGAATTTATATTTCTTCCTTTTATTTGCACATTAAGCATGAACATATATCCTCAAAGACTCAGATGTTATCGTCTGTCTAAACTTATATACCTACAAAATTTAAGGACATTATCTGTAAATAGGCTTGAAATTATACCTACGCTTATTGTTTGTGTATAAACAGGTGGAGTATCAGTTCAGTGACATGAGTCTTCTTGCAAATGAATCCATGTCAAAACACATAAGTAAAGATCCTGAAGGTTATGGTAAGGATTATTGAGGAGCGTTGTTTTTTTTTTTTTTTTAATGTTTTATGAACCTGTAAATCATTGTCATTGCACTTAATTGTCCTTGAGATTTTAGATAGAGTTCACTTAAAATTTTTCTCTCTACTACCACAGTACCAATATCGGTGATTGCTTCCACAAAGAAAATGAAGTCTCTTGTTAACAACAACCATTTGCTCGCCCAAGCACTTCAGTCCTCATTAAAACTTGTGAGTCCTCATCTTAAAATCACACAATCTCTTTGTTATCATTGATAGAAACAAAAGAACTGCAAAATTTAGACTGATCATCAGCTGTCTCTAAACATTGCAAATTTTTGTTGTGTTGGTTTAAGGTTGTAAGTGAAGATGGCAAGAAAGTTAAACGTAAAATCCCTTTTACTGAGAAAGACAGAGAAGACTTGCAGGTGACTTTCTTTTTTATATAAAGATTTGAAAATGCTGATTTGAATGAAAACCTTTTTTTGCCAATGCTGATTTAAAGCTCTTTTCATTTTGCAGTCTCGTACTGTTGTGGTTGAGAATTTGCCTGAAGATCACTCCCATCAAAACCTAGAGAAAATATTTAGTGTTGTTGGAAGGTTAAAATCTATTGCTCTATGTTTCTCTGTCGAAGTATATTAGCACATTTTCTCAGAAAAAAAAATTATAAAACAGGTAATTTTTGTTTTATATTATATAATTTCTTTCTATAATCAGTGTAAGAACCATCAGAATATGTCATCCCCAAGAATCCAATTCTTCACGCACTAAGAGCGATTTCTTCATGAGCAACAAGGTAATCATGAATCTAAGCATGTTTTGGTTTTGAATGAAGACTCTATTTGGAAGATTTTCTTATGAACTCTGTGTTTGCGTGTGCATGTGCATTTTGCTTTTGGCATAAAGCTGCATGCACTGGTGGAGTTTGAGAGTCCAGAAACAGCAGAGAAAGCGGTACGTTAAGTTCAGACTGTTAATATGTTATGATGTAAGTTTCTCTTTTTTTCTCTCTTTTCAATGAAAATGAGATTTTGTTACTTCACCAGGTTGAAAAGTTGAATGATGAGAGGAATTGGAGAAAAGGGCTTCGAGTCAGGGTGCTTCTCAGATGCTCAGTATGCCTAAACGAAGCTTATGATTTCCAATATCTTCTTCATATAGTCTTTTGTTTAATGTAGGTTTTTAAATGTGAACTTGTCCAGCCAAAATCTGTTCTCAAGAACAGAAAGTCTGAATTTGATGGCCTTTTGGATGATGAAGAATTACCAGTTCCTGAATCAAATGAAGATTCTTCTCCGACAAACAATGCAGATTCGGTCAATGAGAGTAATGTAAGCGACTCCGCTTTGTGTATATGATTGTCTACTTCTCATACATTTATGTGACGTTATGCAAATAATATGGCATTAATGTTCTGATCTCACATGATGAATTTATTTAGGTGGAAGAAAATTCAGGAGCACTGAAGAAAGGATGGGCAAGAACTCGTGGCAAGGTGAGAGGACGCGGTCAAAGCCATGGTGGGCGAGGGCTGCTTGCCCCGCCTTCACAATCTGTTTGCTCTCTCCAATGTGAAGCATCTGCAAAACATACCTCAAGGGGTCCAAGAATGCCTGATGGGACTAGGGGTTTCACCATGGGTCGTGGAAAGCCGCTAGGAACTCCAGCTCTGGCTAGTACAATTTTGGAATAAAAAGGGTATTTATTTTTTTGATTTTGATGAATTAGTTAAGTACTGAGTGGATTAGTTATTATGAAGCTACTGGAGGTTTTGGAAAGCAATTAGAGAAGCAAGAATTGGTTATGGGAGCCAATAAGTTTTGGCATGTTATATGATTTTGAGTTCTTTTAGGCATTATGGATGTTTCTTAATAATTTTAAGATTGTATAGTATCAGTTTGGTGTGTCTTGTGACAACCAATGCGGGGATTGCAATATTTTTTTCCTTGCATGACATTTTTGATGGTCCGTGTTGTTCTGGGTTGGATATAATTTGTATAAACATTTCCAATAATGAATTTGAGGGATACATCTCCCTCTCTCTCTCTCTCTCTCTCTCTCCCTCTTCCCGCTCTCCAACTGCTTCAACAATTTGGCAGGCCAGGCTTGAATATTTATTTGCCTTTTTGCAGTAAAATTTATCCATAAAAATTTCATCACAGATTAATAAAAATTGTGATTGCCTATGATTCAAAATGTTAGATAACTAACAGCCTCCTGTGATTTTGTGTCAGTAGTCATCTTTTGCTTTTCCTTTCTTCTTTTTATTTTTTCTTGTTTTTTTAAGTCCAAAAAGGCTATAAGAAGGTTACAACACCTTAGGAAACTGGTGACCCTCTATCGGTAGGTTGCCAGTAATGATGGATTTGTAATCTAAGCTATTTCCTTGTTTGGGTTCATAATCTAAGCTTTTGTGTTTGTAATTTAAGCTTTTATTCAATTGTTATCAATTTTTATTTTAGGTACCTCAAAAAAATGTAATTTTCTAAGTTCATATACAAATATTTTGAATGTATTTGCGTACATATTTATTCAAATTTAATCTTTGACTGGAATTATGGGGCTCGAAAGCAAGATCAAACCCTCCAAATATTTGTGTATTTATTCAAATTAAATCTTTGACTGGAATTATGGGGCTCGACAGCAAAGTCAAACCTCCAAAAATTGGTGTATGCCGCTATCAGCGACGCGCACACGGTATTCTTTAGTAAAAGGCGAAAGAATAGTTCGCGATGTGCTCACCGCGCGGCTGCATGATGGACGCTTTCGAACGACCTTCTAGTATATAGAAACTCTCTTGTGTTCGTATGTTTCTCTTTTCCGATGTGGGATATCTCTTCCGCAAATGCTTTCCTATGTTTCCTGGGCCTAGCTTTTTGCACTGAGCATGGCCTATCATATCCCCATTCCTTCCTGGGCCCAATTTTAAATCAATATTTTTTAATCTTATACTAACAAATCTTTTTTTAAAAAATTTATAATTCCTTTGTTTTACAATATAAGTTTTTATTGGATAAAGAAATTAAGTTTTTTTTATTTTGTTTAATTTGGGTGTTAATAGTTTAGTTTTTTTTAATTAAAAGTATCAATTGAGTGTGATATGTATAAATTGAAAGCAATCTTTTCATTTATATAGAGAATGGGAGAATCATCTTCATTAAAATATTCAAATACATTAATAAAATCCTCATAAAGAGAAAAATAAAAACTAAAGACGTGACAATCTATATCGAAAATCTAAGTTTAAACACATGTACATTTGAGAATTATTAAAAAATAATAATAATAATAATAAAATGAGGAGTAAACTATTGCTTTGATTTGATATGTAATGCTGGGAAGGAAAGTGGTGTTGTAAATATCTTAATTCAGCCAAAATTACAGTGACATTTATACTTCCACTCCTAATAATATCGCAATACAGATTAGTAAAGGGCGTGCTTCTCTATAGTATGATATCCTAGTCATTTCCTCTTTTTGCCTTTTTTTTTTTTTTTTCCTGTTTTATGGCACGTGCATGCACATCTTTTTTATTACCTAATAATTTCTTCTTCTTTTCAACTCCGTCATCTTCCTCAATGGAAAATAGTCTAAAAAAATGTTTTAGTTATCACATTAGTGCGTAAATTCTCCTTTTGCCTTTTTCTTAATTTCCTGTTTTATGGCATGTCCACGCACATCTTTTTGATTACCTAATACTTTCTTTTCTTAACTCTCTTTCATCTTCCTCAATGGAAAATATTCTAAAAAAAATGTTTTAGTTGTCACATTAGTGCTTAAGCACTATAATACTATTGCCATAACTCGAGGTATTCTTTTAGCAAAAGACGTTGTTCGGGATCAAACTTCTTCTTATTTTTATGGAAATTAAGATCATTTATCATTTCAAATAATACCTTATTGATTAATACATGACATTTTATTCCTAAACAAATTGGAGGCATGCAATTACTAATGCAAGCTTGAGTACATTGTTCCAATGGCAATAAAAAAGTGTACGCGAGTGTGAGTGCTTAAGCACTACAATTTGGCATTACTATTGCTATAAAACTCTTACTACAAAGAGGTATTTTTTTTATAAAGTATATTTTCTAAATATCGAACTTGTATTCTTATTTTTATAGGATTGAGAGAGTATTTACCGTCCAAGCTGTTATTTGAACGGCAATAAGAAATAAGAAAGTGTATCTGAGTGTGAGTGGAGGAAACTTGAGCCTTATGGCCATTAGGCTTAAAAAAGACATAGTGGTTTTGCCACTTTCTTTGCTCAACCAATAAAATCACTTCGATTTTTCACTTGTTTACACAAAAATCACTATAAATACCCATACATACATAATAACATTGCTCAACAGTCATTAGTGTTTCAGAAAGCAAATCGAATGGCTAAAATACTATTTTCACACTTAACCTCTATCCCAATATTCTTTCTGATATTGTCTTTAACCCATCACTTATTGAGTCCTTTTGCTTCTGCTTATGGCCAGCTTGATTATTATTTCTATGATAGATCATGTCCTCGCTTGCAAAATATGGTCAAGTACGGTGTTTGGGCAGCTCTCAGGAATGATACTAGGATTGCTGCATCCATCCTTCGTTTGCACTTTCATGATTGCTTCGTTAATGTAATTACCTCATTATTTATTCTTTTATTAACTAGGGTTCTGATTAATTATTTTAATTAGTATTATTACTTTCATTAGTTGTGTTAAAAAAACTAAAATTCGGATGGTAGCGCCATAAATGAGTCAAGCTCGAATTTGAATTGTTTAAAAATCTAAACTCAATTCATTTGCAGTATACCCTGTGCATATATATATATAGTTCGTTTACAAACTTGTTAGCTCCATAATGAGACTTGCGAGCTTCATTTCAAATCCCGAGCTTGACTTGTTCATTAAACGAGCTCCATAAGCAAGCTTAGATCAGCTCATTAAACTTGTGAACGAGCTTTTTTCGAGCAAAATCTTGAGTGACTTACGAGCTGCTTGGCTCATTTACAGCATATCTAATGGGCTGAAAAAATCTATGGCAAAGATTTTTTGTTAACTAGCTTGAGTTTACAAGTAATGCATGCTGGGTGCAATTTCATCATTTAATTCAATTTTCTTGGTTAATGCTTCATCAATAGGGTTGCGATGGATCTATACTTCTTGATGACACAAATGAAATGAAAGGAGAGAAAAATGCTCTTCCAAACAGGAACTCAGCTAGAGGATTTGAAGTAATTGACAGTATTAAAGAAGATGTTGAAAGATATTGCCCTTCAACTGTTTCATGCACTGACATATTGGCTCTTGCAGCAAGAGAAGCTGTCCTACTGGTAATCTCCCTCTCTCTATACACATTAATGTAACAAGATGGATCTGCAACTACCACTGACTATTTAAAAATTTTTCCGGTTGGTTCAGTCTGGAGGGCCTTACTGGTCTGTTCCATTAGGCCGGCGAGATGGATTAACTGCAAGCGAAAAGGCAGCAAATGATAACTTGCCTTCTCCTTTTGAATCTCTAGCAAATATCACTGCTAAATTCACTTCAAATGGTCTTGATTTAAAGGATGTAGTTGTTCTCTCAGGTTCTTGCTATGTTCTTATCAATTGATCTCTCAGATTCTTGGCATAAATACTGATAATCTTGTTTTTTTTTTTTTTTTTTTTTATAACTTGCCTTCTCCTTTTGAATCTCTAGCAAATATCACTGCTAATTTCACTTTCAAATGGTCTTGATTTAAAGGATGTAGGTTGTTCTCGATCAGGTTCTTGCTAATGATTTTCTTATCAATTGAATCTCTCAGATTCTTGGCATAAATACTGATATCTTGTTTTTTTTTTTTTTTTTTTTTTTTTAATCTTAACAGGAGCAAACACTTTAGGTTTGCACAATGCTCACCTTCAAGAAACAGGCTCTTCCGATTTCAAGGCTCTGGAAAGCCTGATTTTTTTTTTTTTTTTTTTTTTTTAATCTTTAACAGGAGCACACACTTTAGGTTTTGCACAATGCTTCACCTTCAAGAACAGGCTCTTCGATTTCAAAGGCTCTGGAAAGCCTGACCCTGCACTCGATTCTTCACTTCTTACAAACTTACAAACTATGTGCCCTAACAAAGACACATCAAACAGCAATCTTGCTCCTCTTGACTCTGCAAGTGCTTACAGATTTGACAATTCATATTACACTAATCTAGTGAGCAACACTGGCCTTCTTGAATCTGATCAAGCCTTAATGGGGGACTCAAGAACTCTTGCGATGGTTAATTCTTATAGTTCATATCCATATCTTTTCTCTAATGATTTTGCAGCATCAATGGTGAAACTGGGCAATGTTGGAGTTCTTACAGGGAAAAAAGGGCAAATTAGAAAGAATTGTAGGGCTGTAAATTAATTAGTTAAATTGGCTTTTGATGTCTTTATGCAACTTGTTATTATGTATAGTATATTTAAGTTTCTAAAGTGAAATAGCACAAAGGGTTTTCTAATAGTAAATAATTTAGTTAGTTGTTGGTTTGGAATTAAGTGGCCATTAATGTTTGATATCAATGTGGAAACCACATTTCAAGAACTAGAAATTTGATATTGGCAGATTCTTAAACCTTTGACGTGGATATATAATTATCTCCATGATTAGCCTTAGTTGTACAAAATTAGTGGAGTTCTTAAAAAATCCAAACTAATATTGGGATTAGAATCATTTATTTTGATTCTTCACCGTTTATACAATAATAAGAGGTAGACCTCTCTTAACTCACCAAATTAGTAAAAATAACTGTGGCCGAGAAAACTCAAATTTAAAACCTCTCACTTCTCATTCAAGTGAAAAAACCAATCAGACCACGCCTGATAGACATTCTTTGATATTTTTTTAAATAAATCTGCTTTGTCAACTAAAATTTTTACTAAAAGATAAAATTTTCTAAGTGGTGAATGAAATATATAGAAATAGACTCAGAAAAGAAATAGACAAGGAGTGCTTAGATTCCCAAAAAGATATAAAGAAAGGGCTCTAGATGCCTCACCAAACTTTGTGCAATCCCATTAGTCCTCCTCTCTATTTATTTATTTATTACAATAACAAAAATAATTGGATTTGCCAAATTAAATTATTGTAGGCCATCATGAACTGTCATAATAATCATCATCATCATCACCAAGAGATGTTCTCTGCCATTCAGATTAGATTCTTTGTGCACAGTCTTTGACCTCTATTCACTGCTTCTTTGACTTTGACACCTAATTAGGCTTCAAAGTTCAATCCCAGTTGCTATAAATTGGATTATAAATTATTCTACATGAATATGGTTTCAAAGATTCAAGAATTTATCCCAAATAATTATTTATAACGTTAATAATTAAAAACTACACATGAAAATTTTAGTGCACATATATATGTTTTGCATTTTTATATGCTTCACAATCTTTAAATACTCTGGATAATGCTTCATTGTTTCTGAGCATAACAGACAAATTTGATGTATTTACTATATACATAATTTTTTTTAAGAAAAATTTTAATGAATGCTGTTGTGTGATATCAGTATGATGCATTTAAAAATATAATGAGCGCTCCCAATAATCTCTTAATGATGAGATGAAAAACATAAGACAATTGTTCATATATGGTGATAATATGATTATTTCTCATAGAAGAACGGTAATAGTTGAAACCGATATATTATAGTTGAGTGGCATAACTATTGCATCATCTTAAATTGAATATTATGAGAAGTATTGAATTAAAGTTCACATTAAAATGTAATTAATAATAATTGAAATCTCAAAATAATTAATAATTTATGATTCTTAATACGTCAAATATTAAAATGATTAAGAAAAAAATTTTAATAATTAAAGAATTCAAAATAGAGACTTTCGTTTTTTTTTTATATATATATATAAAAGATCGGCCATATACCTGGGCTACCAGCTAGGAAGCTTAAACATTTAGCTCCTTTACCTGTTATCTTTTTCCTGTTTTAAATGATGATGTTACTATGCAGTGGCACTTGTTGACTATGGCTATGGCCATGAAAGAGGAGGAAAAATTCCAGTTCAAAAGTAAATATTATCAGACTTTAGAGAAGTGAAATTTCTAATCTTGCCTGGTGAACGCAGACAGCTACCCATCATAACAGCCAATGGCAAACTTTAGCATACATGGGGAGAAAAAAAGTAGGGGAAAACGAAACTTCGACCAATTGGCTTAAAGTTTTTAGATATAATTTCTAGCTTTTTGAGTTTTTAAATAAGAAAAAAAAAAAAAAAAAAGAAAAATTCTGAAGCTTTTTGACCTCTAATGAGAAGTGAACTACCTCGTTGCTAGAGAAAACAAGTTAATGATGATTGTCTTGTCTGGCCTCACTGGCTATGTAGCCTGGTGTTCTGCTTGGAGCATTGAAATATCATTTCGCAGGAATATTACACGAGGCAAATCAAACAAAGAGAAGAAGAACAAAAATAAATAAATAAATAAATAACAGGAAAAGAAGAAGAAGAAGAAGAACCACGAATCATAAATATAAAGTCATATTTCTCTTTATATATTGAAAAGGGGTACAAGAACTTCAATCTCTATATAAATTTTTTGTTCTCATTTTGTTCAATTCAAAACTAAATCTGCACTGACGTTAAAAAACAAACTTTAATCTCAAATTAAATGGAATTTGATCGTATGAATCTTTATTTTCATTTAATTGTGAATTGTTTATAATTAAGTCTGAACTACTATTAAGAAATATTAAATTTTTTGTGAATTTACAATTATGTTGTGTAACGGTGTATGTCGAAAATTATTAATTTTTTTTTTGTTTATTTAATATAAATTTGGACTCTTAGTTGACTAGAAAACAAAATGGTTACAACAAAATTCTGGTATCATAAAAAGGATTTCAACAGTAAACAGAACTCAAGAACTCCAATTGTCAGTTTTGGATGGCAGAATTATTAAACTTGTGTCCAAATCATGTTCTAAGTGTGGTAAATAGGGAACATGTGATTCCTTCTGTATCGCATTGCTTGTTTCCATATTATTAATGCTACTATTGGACTCAGAAGTTTAGGCTATGTTTGAAAATCCTCAAATTGAAAAGGATTCTATTCAATTTAATTTTTTAGAAGCAATAAACTAAAAACACTTTTAAAGTTGCGGAAAATAATTTACCCACAAAAAATTTATTTTCTATTTTATTGTGAAATTTAAGATTTTTATTATAAGACTATAAGAATATTGAATATTATATAGAATAGTTACCGGTGATCACCGGCGAATGATCAAGTTACAACAATAAATGATCACCGATTATCTATAAGGTCAAAATTTACTCGTGAAATACTAAGAATTTGGCTCAATAAAATATTGTTGAAGTTCAATTTTTTCAGATTCTTTTAATAAATGAATCTAATATGATCTAAACAAAGTTAAAATTTTTACAGATTATTTAAAAGCTTAAATAACTTTCATGAAGCCCTTTTTGGCTTTCCTATTTATAAACAATAGCAAAGCAGTTTTTCATAGCTTCTTGCAGGCGAAGAAAATGTCATAAAGAAAAGCTCCTCTCCTTCTCTCAATTTGAAAAGGGTTTTTCTTGGGCTTTGGTTTCCAACTCAGACATTCCTTCTTTCCTTTCCTCTCTAAAACTTTTTCACCACCACTTTCACTTTCTCTGCCTCTCCTTCCTTCTTCCAGAACTTTTTCATAAAAATAAAATATCAAATAAAATAATAAAAACACTAAAAACCTAATAATGTCTATCCTCAAAGCTTATCGACAGCTTACACTTTCTCACTCCTTTTCTTTTTCATTTTAACTTTTTAACACTACATTCTTTTTCTCTCCTCCACTTTCTCACTCCTTTTTTTCATTTCCAGCAATTCTTTTCCATTATTTTCTAGCAAAACAAACAAAACCCAGAAACTGAATTCCTTAAAACCCTCTAATCCCTAACTTTATTGGGTCCTATAAACTATTTTTTAATGTCTACACCACTAGACCAGCAGCAACCACCACCCATGGAAGTGACCCAACAAGTCTACACAGCTCATACGGGTCATGGGTCTGTTGGACCCTTTATAGCAGTTCTAGCAGTGATCACCATCCTAGGAGTCTTAGCCGGCATGGTTGGCCGTCTCTGTTCGGGTCGTCGGATTATGGGCCATGGGCAATATGATTTTGAGGGTTGGGTAGAGAGAAAATGCTCTTCTTGTCTTGACGGTCGGGTCGACCCACCACCAGCCCCACCTGCTGATATTCCAGTAGCAGAGCCATTAGAGGAAACGGGGCCTCAAGAAATCAAAGAAGAAGAGCAAGAACAAAGTAAACATAAATCACATGCAAGTAGTAGTGGTTCTTGATTTTTGATTGCTGGTATATTATATTGGGTTTCTTGGGCAATGATTCTTTTTAGTTTTTTGTATGTGAAAATGGTTTCTTTGGTGTTCAAATTTTAGATTTGCTCTTGTTTTCTGTTAATTTCATTGATTTGCTTGTCATAAAGAAGCATAACCCCGAAAAAAACAAATCATCTTCTAAGTTTTTATTCTCTTAATTATTAAAATAGAAACATATATATAATGGTCATAATAAATTAATAATTGAGGCTTAAGACTTAAAATAAATAAATAAATAAATATGTATATAATTAGGAAAATAGAGTATAACCTAAATATTTCACTCTTCAAAAAAAAAAAATCTAAAATATTTCAATGAAATAATTTAAAAAGAATAAGTTTGATGTATTTCAATTGTAAAAAAAAAAAAAATTTTTGAGAATCATTTTATTATTTAGCAAAATAGAAGGAAAAGAAAGAATATGGGAAATAGTTCAAAATTTTCATTTTGGACCCACAAAATCTAATCTCCACAATTTAGAGAAGAAATAAAAGAAAACTTTAATTCTAATTGTAATTTTGAACTCTTAATCTCTCAATATACTCTTTCAAAAAAAAAAAAAAAAATCTCTCAAAATTTTCATTTTGGAACCCACAAAATCTAATCTCCACATTTAGAGAAGAAATAAAGAAAACTTTAATTCTAATGTAATTTTTGAACCGTTAATCTCTCAATATAACTCTTTTCAAAAAAAAAAAAAAAAAATCTCTCAATTTAAAAAAAAAAAAAAATCTAACTTAAATTATTGAAAGCTTAACTTTTGGAGTATTATTTTAGCATGGTTTTGGAATTTATTTTATTTTGTTCTTTTCTTTTGAGAAGAATGGTTGTTCTTCTGGTTCTGGATATGTTGATTCTTGAGAAATGGGTTTCTTTATTTTGCAAACCTCGTTATCTTTTATTTATTTCTTGACTTGGTTGCATTGGATTCCCTCCTTGTTATCTGTATCAGAATGACAGATTGTAATTTAAATGAAACATTCCTTCATTACCCACAACAGACAATTTTATTTAGGACCTCATGCCACTTTGGCATTTTAGAATTTGGCCCATTAATCTAATTTTGGAAGTGATATTCCCCAAGCTAAACAATAATTTAATGCTCTTCATTCTGACACTTTCGATTTGAGCTGACAGTCGTAATCCGATATAAAATATTTATCGCATTTAAAAATTTAAAATTTAATATTCTTTAAAAAAATTATATGTTTACAGTAAAAATTTTACGTTCTCTAAAAAAATCATTAAATTTATTTAAGTTATAATAAATTATTAAATAAATGTTTTTAATTTAATATTAATTTTTTAAATAAAAATATTAAATTGAAATAATAATTATTGGTCATATACAAAGGGTAAATATGAAAAAAAAAATTATCACTCCTTAAAATTTTAAATATGACAAGTATACAAAGGGTAAATATGAAAAAAAAAATTATCACTCCTTAAAATTTTAAATATGACAAGTATTTTAGAATAAATTATTTTTTTAAATGTATGATAAATATTATGAAACGAATGTAATATATTGCATGTGATTAATAGCATAAGAATGTGAAAGTTCCAACTTTAATACTCATCCTCGATTTATCTCCTCTTTGAGTTAAATTTCACAATTTATGACTTTTACATAAAAATTTAAAAAAAATGACTGAAGAATCTCAATTTTAGAAAAAGAAAGTAAATTAATTAAATTATTATTTAATTCATGCTCATTGAATTGAGACAAAAATTAATATAGATATTTAAATAAAGATAAAGTTGGAATAAAATAATTAATAATATTTTAATTTTCTAAAAATATCATTTAAATAGAAAAAAAAAAGGTAAAAAACTGTCAAATTTAATGGAACTGAATGAATATATGTGATAGAAACCTCATTTTAAATATTTAATGATTGTTTATTAAATTCAAAGATGTTCTACTATTTCAATCTCTTTTTACTCAGCACATGTGTTTCAATGTTGGGATTAAAATTAAGACGGTATTTAAGTAAGCCTATCAAGAGGACAGAAGGCAGGTTACGAAGCGCAATAAGGTCAGAAATTACATTAAAAATATTATGTGATAAATGTTTTTACAAGGCTAAGGCTTCATTGGGCAATAATTAATATTTAAATTTTAATTATTATCTTAAAAAGTTAATCAACAATAATACACTGTTTTAACTAAATTTTTACCAAATACAATAACTTAGTAATTAAAATCAAACAATTACAACCGTCGATTCTAATCAACCCTATCTACAGAAATCACAAGGAGGAATTATCTCCAGGTTAATAACTAAAGAATTAGAAACAGTAATGTATTAACTAATAACTTTATATATAAGTGGAAATAATATGCCATGTGATGGTGAGCAGCTTTTGTCTCAGACCACCACCAATATGAGGATGCCACAAGTCAATAGTGATCAGAAGAAGCCCATAAGACGTGGCCCAACTTAGGATTTATTATTATACGTGAGCTCTGGGCTCTGTTAGCTTCCGAATCAAGGCCCATCTGGTCTTTAACTAAAACCCATTACCATCTCATCATCATCGTCATTTGAGAATGGCACCAGGGAGTTAATAATTATACTTGCTTTTTCAACCAAGTATAATTATTAACACGAGGAGCAAGAATTTTTTAGTTAGGTGAGTCAAAAGAAAGAACACTCTATAATGTAACTCATCAATATATAAATTCTCGTTCTTTTTTTTTTTTTTTTTTTTTTTTTTTTTAGGTGAAGGTCAAAAGAAAGAAACTGAGCTAAATAATGTAACTCATTCAATATATAAAATTCTCGTTCTTTTTTTTCTTTTTTTTTTTTTTTTTTTTTTTTTTTTTTTTTTTTTTTTTTTTTTTTTTTTTTTTTTTTTTTTTTTTTTTTTTTTTTTTTTTTTTTTTTTTGGAATAATTCTTTCTTTCTATAAATGACATAAAAATGATAGAATTCTAAATATCTGATCTTATATAAATTTTGAATATACAAATATTTTAAATTTAGCAATATTATACACATCGTTATAATTAAAATATAATCTAATTAACATTATAATAAATAAAATATAATTTTCGCGTACGTAAATATGGTAAATAGTGTAAATAAACTATGCATACCACAACTTCCAATTGAATGCGACAGTGCCCTTGTTATTAACATGATTGAGAGCAGTCCTAATTTGAGCAGTAGGCACCTGTAATTGTCTTTTCTAATAAATTAAGTTAATTTAATTAAAATTTTATAAGTTATTTTTAGTAGTTATTAGGAAGGATAATAATTTCATGATTCACTCCATTAATTTTTAACTATTAATATTAATATTATGATGTTATTAATAATATTATGAAAAGACAAATCAATTTATCTATAGTCAAACATGAAATATAGCTTACAAAAGATTAGTAAATTAATAATTATGGTGATACACAACTTGATGTTTTGCTTCTTTTATATCAAAAATTTATACAATTAACCAATTTACATTTACATTACATATATTAATATGAGCTTTCTATATATAGATTTTTCTTATCAATTATGAGCATTAGATTCATTATGTGTATTGAGGAAAGCATGCTGGTTTCGATTCGATTTTGCTTGGTTTTAGTAAGTTTTTTCCTTTTTAATATATATATTTTTTTGTAAACCACTAATATTCGGATCTTATTACTGGGGATTGCTCAATCCGGTTCGAAGGTTTAATCACAGTTAAAACTCTTTGCCTTTCCCTACATATATGTTTAATGAGGATCAAAGTTAAAAGAGAATGCTATATGTCAAAAGTCAAAACCATAGATTGCGGGGAACATATGAAATTGGAGTAAAAAATTGATTGGCTATTGACAACGTATAGCAATGCTCGTCCACACTAAAGGAATGCATATTTATCACCATCATGACCAAAATGATTCAATTCTATACGGTTTCTACAAATTTGAATAGGCTTTCAGTTGTATTATGATGGGTATATTTTGTTTATACGCAGATTAAAAATTTTTAGGATTCCCTCAAATTTGAGATTAATCGTATTCGAATCAGATATACACCGAATTAATATTATCATTCTTATTAGTTAGAATATTTTATAATATTATTAAATGTACTGTTAAGATAAATGTTATATTAAAAATATTTTTGATTACATTACATTTTATTAAATTTAGCAAACAGATTATGTATCTGAAGTCAAAAGGCAGTATGGAGCCATTAGGGAGGTGGATTAAGGATAAGCACAGCATAATAAATAAACAAAACAGCTGACGTGGATTAAACAAAGCAAAGTAGTAAAATTATTTATGTGTATTAATATTCCCTTGTTACGTGGACAAAGCAAAAAGGGCCCACTAAAGTTGACACTTTGTGATAACCTCATTTGGGTTCCTCTTTTAGTGGCCATTTTACATGTATCCAATATCCTATTTTTGATTATTGAAGATGAACCAAAAATTTAAATATCTACCATTTTTAGTGGCAATGACATGTATTTCAATGGTATTAGGAAATGTCATTATCTATAGAAAGAAAGTAATGCCTTTATTCTCTGTGTCAAATTATTGATGTGACTTTATTTGATTACATGAGTCAATATCTAATGTGCTAGACTGAGTGTACATAAAAATTTTTTCAATTTTACTGTATATTTTCATCTAATTTAAATAGAACAAATAAAATTCTATATGGTATGAATTGGATTTTTTTTTTTCCTTCTAAAACTAATGGTGGAGGGATTTTAGACGTTTGGTCGTCCGCAATTAATATTTTTATAAAAAATTAATTTCTTAAAGAAATAGATTCTAAGTTTAAATCGCTCTCTCCATCTCTAATTGATAGTTACTTTTTTTTTATATATATTTATCCCAAATTATAATCAATTTATTATTTTAATAAGTTAATTAATATATTAAATCTCTATTATACTCATATTTAATATTATTGGTTAAAAATAATTTTTTTATTTTTGTCAATCACTCTCCATTTTTCAATGCAATTATTTATTGATGTTCACTTTGAAAATTAAAAATGTGAGTATTTACCAAGTTTAGCCATTTTTAATATATATTAACCAACTTTAGATAGTTTATTAATGTTGGTAGATGCAAAAAAGTCAATAATAGATTAATAAGTACATCTCATATCAAAGTAAGGATATAATTGAAAAAATACATTGAAATTTATATTTCTAATTAAAATAATTAATTTTTCTTAATTTTTTATGCAATAAAAAGTGTGTTTATAAATTCGGAACGGAACGAGTATTTAATTATATTTGATAGACAATAAAGATTTTCCAGAAAAATCCTTTGGTTTTGCAGATCTCATTTGGGTTATTTTTTACAGCATTTAATTCCCTTTTTCAGTAAAAAAATTATTTTAAGAAAAAAGATAATTAATGGTATTACTATTATTATTTTTTAAAATATCTTATTTTAAACAAGAATCAAATTTTCAAATATAGTAATTTTTCTATATAGAGTATATGTATATGGAAAGATAAGGATAAAACGTATATATTTAAAAATTGAATATTTCTAAATATAAAACTTTTTATATCAACCTATTATTGAAATCTTATCCAGCAAATGTTACGGACAAATTAATAATTTTGTTTATAAATTTCAAAAATATATTATTTATAAATGAAAATGTATAGCTGTAACTCATACAATGCCTCAATAAGTCTCTGTGTGTAAATATAATGAACATTACAAGTGTGCATGAAATGAAGAAAATACCAGCTCAGTTCTTGAAACTATGTTGAATTTTCTGAATATAAATTTAATAATTTCATTCTAAATCTCGTCTAGACAATAGTTTATAAACAAGATCGGTTATTTAATTAAAATCAATCAATCTATCTCAAATTAAGCTATATCCTATCTAAAAATCGATTATTTCCACCTTTTTCACTGCTTGAAATTTTGTATAAATGTCAAATCATATTTATAAAAATATACTTTCATCCTCGTATTTATAGTTTCTTTTATGATATCAATTATTCATTAAGTAAATCTTTTTGAATAATTTTTTTTATTGAACTAAAAATAAAGATATTAATTCATAAAAAAAAAAAAGAATACTAATTGTAATTAGTTTGATTGTTGTTTATACTTAATATTATCATCATTTTATCAATAATAATAAAAGAAGGGGCAGATGGATAAATTAAAAAAGTACCGTATAAAAAAACAAAATAACCAAAGACAGAGTCCCGAAAAACATGGAGAGAGACAACTCAAATGGGCAGGCAGATATAAGAGAAACGGAAGAAACCTTTAAACCAACTCTTCAAATCCTTTTTCTATTTTTATTTAACTAATAATTAATTTTATTTTAAAAAATAAAATATGGAGTAGTACTTATTTATTAAGAGGGGAAGTTCTAGGGTTTTACTTCTGTTACAGAAAGAAGTCTCTAGAAGACTTATACATACATAAATACAGAAAGAAAGAGAATCAGAGACCAGAGACAGAAAGATGGGCAGGCCGAGGTGTTACTTGGACATAAGCATAGGAGGAGAGCTTGAAGGGAGAATCGTGGTAGAGCTTTACAACGACGTCGTTCCTAAAACTGCTGAGAATTTCAGAGCACTTTGTACTGGCGAGAAAGGCATTGGCCCTAACACTGGTGTTCCACTCCATTACAAGGTGCTTCTTCTTCTTCTTCTTCTTCTCTATAATTGATATTATTTATGTATGTATCTATCTTTCTTTCATGTATGTGTGCATGATTTTCTTGATGAAAAGACGATGGTGTCCTTTGATGCTCAGTGGCTTGTGATTTTTATCTCTTGATTCTGAATAAATTCCTTTATCAAATTTTGACTTTTTTTTCGCGGCAAGTGGTTGGTCCTTTCAGAATATTAAGGGCATTACAGTCTTTTGATTTTGCATTTCTTATCGTCTTCTTTGGTAAAGATTTCTTGTTTTTAGTTTTTTCCTATATCTTTTTTATAATTTTTTTGTTTGGCTATTGAGACCTGGAGAAAAGAAATTAATATTTTCTGGGTATTTTTTGTTTCATTTTAATTTTTTTTTTTTTGAATTAGTGTAAACTATCTATGTTTAAATATGATATCAGTTCTGGATTCTGGCCATGAACCAGGGTGAAATAACATGGCAGACAGGATATTGTCATTATAGCTTCATTAAACTATTGGTAACATTTCTTTTGTTAGAAGTAAATGAATTTAAATGTTGATTACTGTACTTTTTCGTGTTTGTTTATTTATTTGTGTCCTTTGGATTGTCTGATTTTCGCTTATATTTATGTTTTCTTATTTGCTTTGTCTTTGGGATTGAAGTTTGATTGATGATGTTGCCTTTTCCTTGTAGAAATTTTTTTTTTCTTAGCATTTGATTTTCTTAATTATTGTCAGAAATGAGGCCTTATAAGAAATTTAGACTGAGGCTTAGGCTTGGCTTCAGCTAATCTCGAGACTTAAAATTTCATTGCTTGCTCATTGAAGACACTATCAATATATAATTTTTCTTTGCATAGCATCTATTATTGCATTTGGGAAGAGAAGTTAAACCTTCTTTTAGTTGATTTATACTTTAATTATTTGGTATTTCAGGGATGTCCATTTCATCGAGTTATCAAAGGTTTTATGGTGCAAGGAGGAGACATCTCTGCAGGAGATGGTACCGGTGGTGAATCGATTTATGGCTTGAAGTTTGAAGATGAGAATTTTGAATTGAAACATGAGAGGAAAGGCATGTTATCCATGGCCAATGCTGGTCCAAACACAAATGGATCACAGTTCTTCATTACAACAACACGCACATCTCATTTGGATGGAAAACATGTTGTATTTGGGAAGGTTGTTAAAGGAATGGGAGTTGTTCGTTCAATTGAGCATGTCACAACTGGTGATGGTGATTATCCTACTGTTGATGTTGTAATTGCGGATTGTGGGGAGATCCCTGAGGGGGCAGATGATGGGATATCTAATTTTTTCAGGGATGGTGACATTTATCCTGATTGGCCAGCTGATCTTAGTGAGAGTCCTGATGAACTTTCCTGGTGGATGGATGGTGTGGATTCGATCAAGGCTTTTGGAAATGACCACTATAAGGTAATGGATTTCAGACTTTGTTACATTAGAGATTTTTCACTGTTGCATACTGAGGGTGCAGGATGATTTAGTAACCTAATTGTGCCTTTCAACAATTTTTTTTTTCTAGAATCTATTGTGTCATTGTATGATGGATACCTCAGGCTGCCAAACTTTCTTGGAGTTAACCCTCTTCTTTAAGCTCAGCACATTCTTATGCTAATAAAATTAACTATTGATTTCAGAAACAAGACTTTAAGATGGCTCTTAGAAAATATCGCAAGGCTTTACGCTATTTGGATATCTGCTGGGAGAAAGATGGGATTGATGAAGGTGAATAGTCTGTTTTCTCTATATAATTTGCTATTTGCTTCAATGATTAAAATTACATTAGTTACCCACTTTATTTGAACTACATCTGAATGAATAACATTTTGCTTCTAATGCTTTACAGAGAAGAGCTCATCTCTAAGAAGGACAAAGTCACAGATATTCACTAACAGTGCTGTAAGTTCTTGTTTTCGTTTTTCTTTTTAGACTGTTTGGATCATTATTTGCAGGTGAATACTAAGTGAGCTAGCTCGGCATATCATTAGTATAATGATTGCTACTAGAGCACGAGGATTATCAAATATTGTCATCAAAATATTTGCTTTCTGAGCTTGATTTATCTATGCTGCTACATGATGGAACCATCTGCATGACTTTGTGATAGGGCCTGTCTGAATTTTTTATTTTTTATTTTTTATTTTTTATAATCAAAAGATGCAGAGATTATATTGCTATAATCTTGGCATTATGATAACAGCTGTTATATATTGAGATATTACTGTTAGTTAGAATTTTAAAGGACCTCTTTAAATGGCTTTTTTTTTTAGGCTTGTAAGTTAAAATTGGGTGATCTGAAAGGAGCATTGTTGGACGCAGACTTTGCTATGCGTGAAGGAGATAATAATGTGAAAGCTTTGTTCCGCCAGGGGCAGGTTTGCATCTGTTATTGGCAATAATTTCGATAAAAAGACATCCTTCAATATGTAAAGATGGAATAGCTTGCTTGTGTTTTGTGTACTGATAGTGGTGGTTATCCTTATGCTTTGCATTAGGCACACATGGCTCTTAATGATGTTGATGCTGCTGTTGAAAGCTTCAAGAAGGCATTGCAGTTGGAGCCAAATGATGGTTAGTGCATGCTTAAATACACTGACAACTTTTTGCTGTGATCTATTGCTTCACACAGTTATTACACGTACGGATGTATTACAATGTATTGGATGCTTAAACATTTGTTTAAAATAAACATTTTTAATAGATAAGTCAATCTGCTATTTACATGAAATCTGTTGAACATGGCTGATATCTGACATTTGTATCTGGTATATCACAGCTGGAATAAAAAAAGAGCTTGCCGCTGCTTGGAAGAAGGTGGGTAGATTAAACTAAATATGTAATATTTGATTTTGCTATATACTCATGGCCAATTGGGTAATGAATGATTTAACTTCTTACAGATTAATGATAGACGTGATCTGGAAAGAAAGCAATATCAAAAAATGTTCCAATAACATTTACATGGCAACTGGTATGTGAACTGCTTTTGGAAATTATTGTCACTTGATGTTGTGAATTACCAACTCATGGTTTTAATGCAGGCTGCTGATTCCTTAATTGAGCAAAGCTTCAGATTCATTGTGCTATTTCATAGGGGTTGGTGGACTCGACTGGTTCAGGCTTTTTTTTGTTACAAAACTCTGTTATTCTGGAGTGAATATTCGGTATGTAATTATTCTCTGCCCTTTTTTATATTTTCCTTTCATGCACAAATATTACATGGTACTTTGAATGGTCGAACTCTCCATATTTTCACAATGCCAATTGTTTGATGTGTGTAATTGACATTTTATTGTCTGCTTCTTTCGACCATGGGTCACATGGTGGAGCGGAGTGGAGTGTATCTTTCATTAATGGACGATGTTTCTTAAATTGCTTTTCAGGTTTTGTTTAGAGAGCAGGATAATCTTAGCAAAGGCAACTGTACAAATCAGAGGCTTGAACCAATTCTTATTATGTAATTTCAATTAGGGGGGTAGGTTTAGTAAGAGTTGAAACTGGTCAATTGCCATTTGATGGACATGATCTTTTCATGTTCAAGGAAACATTGAAAATAAAATAGACGTTTTTTTGGAATTTTACTGTTTCATCTGTCAAGAATATTGCTTTTGATGTTGTATACTCAGTGGCTCAAACTGGCTACAAACTTTTAATTTTGTCAAATATTAAATCTGTTGGCGGCTAATGTTCAGCCTTATTGTTTCTTGTTCTGTAATGCTCAGGTCATTCAGTATCCAAGTATTTAATTAATTAGGTTTCAATTTGATGTTTTTTGCATCATTATGCTGCAAATTTGGGTTATTAGTAATTAGAAGAATTATCTGATCAACGGTGACAATTGGTGATGATATTTGATATCTGCAACCAAAATGGTATCGGAAAGATTACTTGCAGAGAGGCTTGATATATTTTGGACACAATCGATTATTATATTGTAAGGAGAAGACAAACATTAATTTGTCTGTACCATAATATGCTCACACCAGGTTATACAAGGAAAAAATATATTTCCACTTTCAACCTCAAATACTTGCATCTTACAACAAATACAATCTTATGTTGGAGCAGGAGCACGAGTTCCATAAATCCAAATAGAAAATTGAGGATCAACTTACAATGAATGCTCATTCGCTTTCTGTCAAAAGAAGATATTTAGGACTCAATTGTGTTCAATCTTCTGTCAAAAGAACATATTTTTGGACTCTGCGCAATCTGAGAGACGAATGCATATTTTCTGCAATGACCTTCCCAATGCTTCCAGTCCATAAAGGATCGTCAACAAGGGCGTTCTAGTGTGTTGTCAATGGCTAATACACACGACAAACTCAAACAAGAGGGGAAGTATGTTTAATTCCAAAAACTACATGCCGCCGAAATGCGAGTCTAAGCTGTAGTTAGAGAGGCCCAAATCCCTCAAAGCATCAGTAGCAGCATCCTTACAGGTTTCATGGGTTTCCCTAGCCCTCCTGATAATTTTCTCAATCCCTTGATTTAGCAAGAGTGTTCTGAAAAGCGGAAGAAAAAAAAATATTAGTCATATCTATAAATTAGTGATGGAAATTGCATGACAAGTCACTAAAGCAAGTTGAACATGTCCTGGTCAGAAGTACAGTACTGAGACCATATACATATGCCAAAAGAAGTAAACGACCAAGAAAAATGAAAAACGACAGAACATTATATTTAAAAGGAGAAGAAAATAACTTGCCTATTCTCTGGGTTCCGAACAACAAGATTTCGAATCATGAAGCAGGAATTCCTCTGCAATTGTGGTGCAGAAGGAAACTTCTGCATTGCTTGGATGACAAACTCTCCAGCTCCAGCTTCAATGGCACGGGCTGCATTATCAGGGGATCTTAGAGAGAGTACTGTGATGATGGACATAACCTGAACCATATTAAAAGGAAAAAGAACAAACAAATCAATCAAAAGACAAAGCCATATAAATATATGATGTTATAGACAATAGCTATTGGACATGAACAAAAATATATTGTAACTAATGGGGGACAAGCACATGTTGGGTATCATCTTGAATCGATACCTGTCTAAGTTACAGCCATATGCAAAAGACTATAGGCATCTTGCTGTTAATGAACATAACCAAGATAAGATGGCAGTAAAATATCAAACTAAATGCCAACAAAAGCAACGCATGCTACAGTGAGAATCCAATGAGACTTGAAGATGAACCAAACATTTTATTTGGTAGAACACTAAATTAATATGGACATGATGAGTAGACACTGAATATCGCAAGACCGACTTCTACCTCTTGTAGGACAGAAGGGTCATCAGAAAATCTGGCTGAAAGTCGGATTAGCCTGTCCAAACCCCTCTTCTCTATGATGGCGCTCTTGTTTGAGTCACTTCCTGCCAACTAATCAAACAAAATATTTAAGTAAAACTATGACCGAACAAGCAATCTATTGACAATAATTTTATGAGAAATTAAAAGCATCTTCTGCTTCATGATTATTTTCTCAGATTGCTCTGAAACACAAAACTCAAACTCATGAACATTAAATCAAAAAGGCAACTTAACAATTATGCTTTTGGAAATCCCCAAAAAATAGTGCTCTACTATGCTGTTGTTGTACACCAGGAATAATTATATCACAATTTGTATTTAACAGAATTGGTAGAACAGTTTCCAATGGATTGGTAAAAGCCAATTTATCTCACCCATAAAAGACAAAATTGACTAAGGTACTATTCTCCATTTTCTTCTGCACAATAGTAGAAGGGAGTTGCAAAATATCATTATACCAAACCAAAATTAATTTTAATAAATAAAAAAGTTGAAAATGAAAATATGAACTCTAAACCATCTTTTAATGGCCTCTGGTTTCATCCAAAGAAATAGGAACTAAAGCACTAAACTTAAACAAACGAAGTAGTTTTTTTCTTTATACCTTGGACAACAATGAACAACAAGTTCTAGCAACGGCTTTGTTGCCTTGTTCACCACTGTCATCAATACATTGGAGAATTGCATCAATACCACCTCTTTCAGCAATGGATTTACATATTTCATCCTGCAGCAAAGAAGATGAAGAAGCAGATAAAAAATAACCTTAAGAACAAGGATACACCCTAATTCAGTCTAATTATCATGAAGAAAAATAAGATTGCTCTAAAATGTAAGACTAGTAAGTCCAGTTATCTGAAATATATGAGACAGAGAACTACATGAAATGTTGAAACTAGAAGAAAATATTTAATTTCCAAGCATCCCAATGAAAATATTGCTCTAATGGAAGAAAATAATTCATGTGGTTAATATCTTATTTGGTGGAAAGGCTTAATTGAGTTGCATTAGCATTTCCAGAGTATAGTGAGCAGGCAAAGTAACATAAATTGAGAAGTAACTTATCCAAAGTGGCACTACTTAAGGTATAGTTCATGGTAAATGAAACATCCTTAGTACTTCTGAAACTTGAGAACAATAATGTTAATTAGTAATATTTTTAAGCACATAAATCATATAGGAAACAAGAAAATGGTACATGGGCAGAATTGTTTACATGTCAAACAATTACAGTTGCAGAAAGCTGTATAATTATAAAATTTGAGAAAATAAATCAAAAGGAGGGGAAAACATTTCACATAAATGTACAAATTATTTCTAGAGTATTGATACAATAAAATCAAATGAAAATTTCAAAAATTTGTGCAATTAACTTTTTGACATCCTAGATTTGAACAAGCTTACATTGACGGCAACAGCCTTTAAAGCAATGGTTGCTGAAACTAGACTTGGTGATGTAAGCCCTCCATGTAATGATTGCACAAGAGCTCCTGCAATTCCAATCTTTGCAAACCTTCGCGCATAACCATAAACCTGAAGTTTTCACAATGTCAGTTTATTTGAGGAAGGCTTTTTCCCTCAAGGCATGGTAAGCAAGCATTTGAATGCAGAAATCATACATCACTGGCAACAAAATCTTAGCACGCTAGAGGGATCGTGAAGTCAACAACTAAATTCAAAGCTCAACCTCACAACATTTATTCCATGGATCTGAACTTTTCTAACTTGCAAGGCACGAAATTAACCCCTTTGCATCTATTATCCTCTTGAATTTTTTAGTTTCATTATGCCAATATAAAGAAGTACACACATTCTAGTCTGACAACTACTTACTTGGGAAGCAACAACACGATTATCATCAGGAGTTAACAGGACGCGAATGGCATCATATAAACTCTGAATGTTTCCTGTACTCTGCCTACTCAGTACTTGCAAAATAAGTTCATCAATTTTCAATTCCATGAACGACTCTTTCAGAATCTCATTGCCAGTTGCAGCCACAGCAACAACAGTAAAACCACTATCCAGAATGTCTACACTTTCATTTCCATTCTTTAAGATGCTGGCCAAGATTGTTGGTCCACCACTGGACCGAAATGTTTCTGTACTTTGCACATCTGCATATCACCGTGAACATCATATAAATACCAATAAGAATGAATTGGACATTGCCAGATTTGCAGTTCAAAGATTACTTCAAAAATCACAACGAATGACAAATAGAGAATAATTGAAACCAACCTCACTTCTTATAAAGTTAGCACAAGAAAAGCGGAGGAGGAATACTTCAAGATATAAAAAGAATAATTCAATATATTTTTATTAATTTTATCACTATTGGACTGAAACAAAGCATCAGTGGATAGGGAATGAGATATTTCCGCTTCTTTACATACAAAAATACCTCAAAAACCTTTTGGCAAAGTGTAACAAGTTTTTTTTTTTTATCTCAAAATTATGTCTCAACACCTCAAATTTCGAATTCAAATAGATTTTTGAAAGCCATTTTCAAATGCACTTCCATGCATAGCTATATGAGTTTGTAACGCGAATTAATTGAGCATATTTTTTTTGAAGTTTCATATGATCAAACTTTGGCATTTCCCATGCAATTGATTTTGGGCCAAACTTCCATTGCAATATATGATTTGCATATGTGTGAACACCTCAACAATTTTCAGAGGTATCTGCTCATGAGTTGCAATAACTAACAAAAAACTACCTGTGCATACGTACGTACCGTAAAGAAACAATGCCAATATCTTCAAAGCCGAAACAAGAACCTGCTTGAAATCAACCGGGATCTTGGAACAAAAAGAGCAAACCAATTCAATACCACCATTTTTAACAGCAATAGCGGCATTTCCAGACCCTTCAACACTGCACAATTCTATTAACTTATCAAATAACTTCAATATCTCATCCAAATGATCATTACTAATTTGATCCTCTGAAATAGATTCCAATTCCCTCAATCTTTCCAAACACTGAAAAATTGGATTGTCTTTTGCACTACCTTCTCCTGGAACGCACGTCACAATCCCTGCAAACAACTTTCTTTTTTATTATCTAAATGAAAGATAAAAAGAATGGAGGACGGAGAAGTGAAAATTAGATATTATGGAGATTACCTGAGAGATCGACGCCTTGAATAGTGAGAGTCTGGATAGCGTCTTCTAGGGCTTCGATGGGTTCCATGCCGAGGTCTTCTATGTTCTCCTTCACTAGCTCGTCAAAAGCATCCTGCGAGATCGTACGGAGAGTCTTGTTTGGGCCCATCTCTCTCTCAGTGGAGATTGTAGAAGTTGTAGAGCTGAAAGTGAAAGCTTTCTATGGCTCTCTGTTAAATGGGAACTGAACTGAAGCAGTGAGGTGCATAGGAACGGTAAGGAGAGCGGAGGCACCTGATTTGATCATTTGAATATTAAAAAAAAAAAAAAAAAGAATTGGAAAGAAATTTTTTAATATGAAAAGGAAATTCTAATTGAATAAAATAAGTTTCGCCTACGCTCTCAAAAAAGAAAAAAAAAATTAGCTAAAAGTTTAAAATGTGGAATATTACAAAAATTTTAAACACATCATTTTGATTTTGCAAAATAATATTTTTAAAAAATATAATAAATCGAGTTCCTTTCAAAAAAAAAAAAAAAAACAGAAAAAAAAACAGATTTTATCTCATATTTAAAAAAAAAAAAAAAAAACAGTATTTATCCATATTTTTATTTAACTTAACCTGATTACTTTATTCATTATTTCTTTTCTAATAATTTAAAGAGTGTTTCAAAACTAATAATATACTATATTTCATAGGTATACCTTAATGATTTTCTTTTCTTTTTTTAAAAAAAAAAAAAAGAAAATTGGCAATTCATCAATATAAATATATATATAACATAAGTATATTGTAATATTTACATAGAAATAGGAAATACAAACATAAAAAAAGTAAATATAGAAAATACAAATATAGAAAATAGAAAGCTTGAAGATCTAAAATCTACACCTTACACCCATACCATAAAAACTTGGTTCCATTGATAAAATTATTAGAATCAAATTCTTGGTTGAATTATTATATTGGCACTCTCTCACATGAGTTTCACCTGATGGGATTTAGAAAATACTGCCACTAAAAAGTAAAAAGTAATGAATAAAACAGAAAAGAAAAAAAAAAAAAAAAAGAAACCTTAAAAGAACTATTTGTTTATTTTTTTCCCAAACTTGACTTCTTGTTATATACAGAAAAAGCTGCTTACAACAAACTTCCTAGGACATTTGATTCTATATACAGAGGTAGGTGGTACACACAATACATCAACTTCTTCATAAGATTTGTGTTGAAACTACTTCAGACAATCTCAGACTCCATTCTATCGAATATACAATGTTAAACAGCTATCCTTTCACATGCAGACAATATAAGGTGATCTTCAATTTCTGAGAAGAATGGAGACAGACTAGCTGCATGGGTGTATATGAAACTTCATACTTTATTCACCTAAATTCTGTGCCGCAGCTAAATGCCTAACACGCTGGGTGAGTCGTCTTCTGTGGTAGATGCCAACCAAACGTAGAACAAGCACAAGAGCAATAGCAGCATAATCAAACAATCTAACAATTCCCAGACCCCCTGTTCATTAGCAGCCATCAAATCTGTTAGACATGGTCAAATATCTAGAAAAATAACAGTCTATATTTGAAGCGTAGGCATCAGTGCTGCTACTATACACTTTGACAACTAGATTTTACGGTGGGAGCCTGGGAGGCCCATAAAACTGCACACACAATTCTGGACAAGTAAAAAGTTTGAACCTTGCACAGGAAAGGTTCAATAGGGAGACTGAGATCCATGCATCTCATATTGGCAAGCATCGTTCAGCTATAATAAGTTGTGAAGAAGTAATAATGTCTTCGGAAAGGCAACTTACCTGTAGGAATGAAGTTAAATGGAGTAGCAGCATACAACACACTGAGTATCATCTGCGTATATGAAACACAATCAGTGTTATACCAGAAAACATACGAGGGGTATGCTCAGTGAACTACTACAAGCTTTTATAGCAGTTTGCTTCCAGGTCATCATATTACAGATACCAATCATTTGACAAAGGCTAAGCCGTCGCCTATTGATCACATAAGCATGACTACAGTGGGTCAGTAATTTCTACAACATTGATATTTAGCTCAATTTATTGTCCCACACCCTTTTTCAGCCTGACCACTTATGTGGTACTTAAAAAGGTAGTAGATTGGTTTAATATGATGATCTTAAACGTAATGTAATTATACTTGTCAGACTTTTTATGACAATTTTAAAATACTCAGAACTCAGAAAAGAGACTAGTCAGAAAATTGGCAAAAACTGTCGAAAGGAATCCACGGAACCTACTTTTTTACCATTTTGTTGACCAAATATGCGGAACTTACTGCAAAAAGGCGCATTTCATGAAGGTAGGAATCAGGTCTATCAGGATCCATCATTTGTTGGAAAATCCTCTTGATCAATAATGGTGACTCACGTACTTTCTGCCCAAATAATGCACTACAGATACTTTAGGAAGGATTATTATCTGCTTAAAAAAACTTAAGAAAAACGTTTATGCTTTATATGTAGATGAGAAATTTACACTAAGATATCAGACTCAAATTACTCAAATTATTATCTGTTTAAAACAACTTAAGAAAAATGCCTATGTAAACTTAAGAAAAATGCCTATGTTTTATATATAGCTGAGATATTTACACTTAAAGATGACAGACTCAAATAAATCAGGAAAGGATTTAAGCATAAATCTCCTTCAAGAAAACATGGAAAATTAAAAAAAACACAGACCAACCATTATAACACATTTATGTAGTAAATATTTATTTATTCAGAGAAGGGGAAAAAAGAAGAACATGATATGTCACGCATACATAACCATGCGTCCTCAACCCTCATACTCCAACATTTTGCATAACTAAACACACAATCTAGCAAGGCAATGCCTAAAGAATCCATAATATTTTCAGAACACCAATGAAGTGACGTATTATTCTAAAAGATCAATGTAAGTGCAATTATTTAGAAATGGATAAGAGAAGAGATCACTTGGCATGCAAAGAAATAAAATTATAAATCTCCAAACAGATCACAGAGTAGACCTACCCTAACAAAACCACGTGCCCCTCCAACAAAAAGGCAGTTATACCTATCAACATTAACCAGAACTTTGTTAACTTCCTCATCCTGCTGGTTATGTAATGACATCTCTGGTGTCAACTTGGTGATGCTGGAAGCACACATGGGACACTTGCAAGGTTTAGATGCTGCAGAATAATTCCAATACTGCAGTATGCAACTGCCTGCACTTGCAAAGGACAAGAATACTAGGGTAATTTGATAGTAAGATGGTGCAGCAACGTTCTATTTCTGAGATATACACAGAGATATAAGGCTTGCGTAATTCATGAAAAAACAGCAGTAAATGAAATTGGCAGGATGAACTTGTAACTTAAATTGATTATAACAGAGGGCTAAATGCCCAAACAACACATCAGCAAGGTTCATGGATAACTATAATTAGATCTCATAATCTCCATCTGAACTTATGGCTGAGTCTAAACAAGAATTTTTCTCCACAAAGAAACTGCAATTCCTAATTATTGTCAAGTATCTAACACAAAGAAAAGTGAGCATAATTATGAAAACCATAATTTTTTTCCCACATAAACTGTCCAAGAAACTTTTCTTGACCCCCATCTTTCCCTATTGAAAGAAATTTTTCCCTTTTTATTTTTTTTCAAAATTTGTTGAACAGAAACAAAAAATCTCTTCTATATTTACAAGAGAACAAATCACAGCAGAAGTGAATGAATTGGAATCCCATAACAAGCAGCCTCATTTTCTCAGTTAACAATCACGCCCCTTTAGTAGCAATATTTTTCGGTTCCTTATTCTCGCCGGGCAAACAAAGTATCAACGTTAAACCCCGATAAAGCAATCAAAAAACAAAAAAACAAAAACTTGAATACAACAACTGCAGAATGCCAACAAAATCAAATTAATAAGACAAAAACGTACAAGCAACAATAATAATTAATAAGAAGAAGAAGAAAAAACGAACCGCAAAACCAGTGACCGCAAATGGCTTTACAAGGGACAGTGAAGGCACCGAAACAAATTGGGCAACAATCATCTAAAGGAGGACCCTCAACGCGATCAAAATCTCTAGGGTTTTTCTCGATCTCCCCTTCTTTCTCTCCACCATTTTGATCAGTAGAAGTTTCCCCCACAGGCACGACATCGTTTGATTTGCAAACTCTCCAGCATCTCATTCCCCGAGATAAACGCGCCCTCCATCTTTCCATTTCTAATTATCAAACAAAATTTCTATTCAGACAAAGAAAAAATCTTTCTTTAAAAAAAAAAGAGAGAGAATATAGAAGATGCAAGATGGATTTAAGGCGTGGCTTTATTTATCGGGTCGAATCTGAAGTTTTTGTATCGAAGGAAGCTAAACCCAAGCCCGGTTCGAATCCTCTATAAAATGAACGGTTTTTTTCTTTTCACCATCGAGCTAACATGAGTCGAGCTATGTTTAGTTCAAGTCATGTTTAAGCTTGAAAAGTTAAAGTCGAGCTCACTCATTTATAATTAATAATTAAAAAAAATAAATTATCTTTTACATACTTAACTCAAGTTGAGCTCAGTATAGGTAGGTTGGAGCTCAATTTGTTAATTTATCAAATAGGTTCAAACAATTTTTTCTTTCCAAAGCAAACTCTTAGCAACTCGCGACTGGTTTTACTCGTTTTCACCTCCATCCGCAATTATATTATGAAGTACTTAAAAAAAAAAAAAAAGGGAAAACAAAGGTGAGAAAACTACTGTATATTGATTGAGAATGTTGAAAACGCAGAAGAAATAATGGATTTGAGGAGTGTGTGTGTCACGTGAACACATTTTCCGGTGAGCTTTTCCGTCCTTTTTTCTTTCGGCGGTGGTACGGTTGCGTCACGATATTGTCACTCCCAATAGGACTCTGAGCATACGATTTGGCTCTGGTATTAATTTAATTACAAGTTTAGCTGAAGTTTTATTGTATTTTAAGGATATATAATACTTGATTCGTATAATTTTATTGGTTTGACAAAATATGCATATTAAGAATTTAATCAATAAAAGTTATTTTATTTTTTTTTACCCTTCGTTCATTAATATATTAATAAAAATTATTTATTCAATGAATAACTATAAATGTTATTTTGAAAAAAATAATTATTTACATTATTTAAATTTAGAAACTTACAAATATTTTGGAACTTCAAAAAATGAATAACAAGCAAACAAAACATGACGGGAGGAATAATAATCATATAATTTTTTCAAATATTATTTAGATTCTAATATAATTTGTTTGCAATAGACTAAAACATACAAAACTTCCTTTTTAATATAAATATTAATTAATTAGTTAGGGATATCCCTAATCAAATTATGCATATATTTAAAATTAAGTTTTATTTCTGAGTGAATTTAGGATACAACTTAATGTTCTTTTTATGCATATTATTAATTAAATTATTTGATCGTATCCTTTTTTTTTTTTTTTTTAACATACAACTAATGCTTATGCAATATTAATAAATTATTGACGTATCCTTTTTTTTTTTTTGTTAACATATGAGGACGCATGTAAAATGCTTTTTTTTTTTTTTTTTTTTTAACATGATGAGGTGTGACCTGTATGAAATCTTATATGAAAATAAATATTAGGGATTGATATGATTATATATATAAAAATGCAAGTAACACAAGTTGGTGATAAAATAAAAGAAGCATGTTTCAAATAATTTGATTATGTACTATATTTAATATTACCTAAACATGTGAAGTTTAAATGCAAAATCTATCAACGTTTCAGATGATTCATATATATAAAAAGTTAATAGTGGTTTTATTTAACCAGTCAATGAATAGTCCTTCGGCACCTAAATATGTGAAGTTTAAATGCAAAATCTAGCAACGTTTCTGATGATTCATATATATAAAAAGTTAATAGCGGTTTTATTTAACCTTTCAATAAATAGTCTCTCGGCGTAAATCAATAATTCTATAATTTAGCTATTTAAGAATGAAGCGTATTTGTTATGTTAAATCATATTAGTGCTCTAGGTAATAACTATTAACCCTTTAAATGAGAGTTCAAATATAATATGAGCAGATAATAAGTAAAATATTTTTCTTAATTTACCTAGAGTAATGAATCTCTTTGACCAATGCATAACTTCTGATGATTTATATTGATATCCAACTATTCTCCATATATAATTCGTGAATCGGGTAATATATATGAATAATTAAAATAAAGATAGCTTATCACTTAAACAACTGTGACATAAGATTTCTATTAATACAAGTAATTCTCTATACAGAATCTGTGTGGGTTTATTCAGTAATTGAATTAATATTAGCATCGTCTTTTCATGGGTCTAACCCGGAAAAAACAAAGGTATTAACATTGTCTTTTCACGAGAAAATAACTAAAATAATAATAAAATTGTGATAAACATCGGCTCATATGGGCACGCAAGTAATTTTCAAAAAAAACTTATCTGGATTGGGTTCGTGATTCACTTATGGACTAAATCAATAAAATTAAATATTTATATTGAAATAACGATATTTCTAACTATACATTTGGAAAAAAAAGGATAAAATTAAAATATTTTTTAAAGAATCTTTAGTCTCGTTGATTTGGTTCATAAATAAGATATGGATCCGGTTTCGATAAGTTTTTTTTTGTAATTTTCATTTAGATAATAAATTTTTTTTTTTTGTCGGAAAAAAAGGTTTTAACTTCTTTCTATTTATGAGCATGTAATTAAGGAAAATATGGTAACTTAATTAATAATTTACGTTTATTAAAAAAAATGATTTCCAATTCCATATGTATATCTATGGTATTTGAGCAATAAATTTAAACATTCCATATATTTTCTAAATTCTTTTGTTTGAATGAGAAAAAATAAACAATATTTTATAAAATTGATGAACTCCATTACAGTCTCAATTCCATAATTTTAGGTAACTACCATTAGCCCAAAAATGCCAAAACATTAAAAGAAAAGAAAAACTATAAAAAATATTATATTTCAAAAAAAAAAAGTGAGAATGGCTAGGGAGAATATTGGAATTGTTGAAAATGTTCCTATTAAGTTTATGAATTGATAAAAATATCATTAAAAATTTTAATTTGACTGGTTGAAAAAATAAAAATAATTTAATTTTGATTAGTCATATTAATTTTTTATTTAAATCTAACTTTTATTGGATAAATAAGAATTATGTTATATACTATATAAGGTATATGTAAAATATGATAATATATACATATTATATGGTAACATAATATAATATGGTAATACTATTTGATGGATACTAGATAAAGTATATATTAAATATGGTAAGAATATAATTAATTAATTATCTCTAAGGATTTTAATTTTATTGTCAAAAAATAAAGATAATTTAATTTTGATTGATTGTATTATAGTATACGTAAGGTACATATTAAATATCGTAAGAATATAATATTTTAATTATTATTTTTAATATATCTTTAATTTGATTGGTTATAATTATTGCCTGCAGATAATTTATTCTACAAAAAATAAATATAATTTATTATTATTTATTAAAAAATATATTAGAAGTATTCTACAAAAAAATAAATATAATTTATTATTTATTTATTAAAATATATTAAGAAAGATTTATAATTTGATATATTTGATATAAAATAGAAAACAAAACTCACTAGAAATATATTTATATATAATATTAATTATGATATAACATGTTATATTAGTAGACTATATAATACGCTAAAAGAATTTTTTTTTCTCAAAAAGAACATAAAATTAATTATATGCTCATTGATTTTAGCAAAAAATAAAAAATATCAAAATTATAAATGATGCTCTAAGAAAATGATTAATATATTAATTGTTATAATAGCTAATATCTCTCATATTTTAATAATATAGATAGTTTATGGTATTATATCATATACGAGTGAATTAAGTTAATTAAATTTAAATTTTAAAAAATTTAAATTGATTGATAAACAATTTTATTTTCATGAAATTTTGACTGTCAAATTATAATAATGTTTTGTTATTATAAATATGTTATTTCTTTAACAAATTATTTAATATGGAATTTTTTATTTTATTATTTCATAACATGTTTTTTTTTCTATTTTATAAATACTGTTAGATTTTTAATAATATAAACCGTTAATAATATTATAATTAATAATAAAAAAATTATATATAAAAATTATATTATATTTATTTTAATTAATAATAAAAAAATTATATATAAAAATTATATTATATTTATTTAAAATATGTAAAAATCAATAAGTACAAATAAGATACGATGCACCTTTAAGAAAACTAATACTAATAAAATATATGAATAAGGAGAGTAAATAGTAGGAAATACAGTTATGATTTCTGATTTCTGCAGTTATATAGTAAATAAGCGGGTATTGAAGAGTGATTGATTCAATTATATTTTATTAATATCAGAATCTAATACTCCATTTAATTTTATTTTAAAAATATCTTTTAAATTCATATATTTTATTTTTTAACCAAAATGATATAATATAGAATTCCATTGATTTTCATAACTAAATTTCATATTCCATCAATTCAAATCAAACAATCAGCAATAATTCACCATATCATATCTAGCAATTGAAGTCTGAGATATTGATCAATGGAGTTTTCCCAACTCATACCAACTCATTTCCCTCCTCAATATATAAGCATCGCTTCATCCATCCCTCTCCACAGCATACCATCTAAGTTGATTAAACCTTTCTTCACTTTAGAAAATGGCTATAACATATACGCAATTCCTCATGCTTCTGCTCAGTGCATGCGCAGTCGGAACTACTGCAGCGACCGGCAGCTACCGCGACTGGGGCTCCAATAGCCCTCACTACAAACGTAGCCATAAGGAGATCATTGTGGGCGGCTCCGCAAACTGGTCCTTCGGCTTTAACTACTCTGATTGGGCTTTCAAGAACAATCCTTTCTTCCTAAAGGATACTCTAGGTAACTTCTATATACTCTAGGTAACTTCTATATATATATATATATAATATATATATATTATATATATATATTAAATTGACTCATTTTCAAGAAGTTAATTAATAGATTTGTATATATAATTGACTCATTTTCAAGAAGTTAATTAATAGATTTGATTATTATGTGTGTTTTTTGTGAAGTGTTCAAGTATGATCGGCCAGTGGAGAACAAAACACGTCCTCATAACGTGTGGTTGCTGCCGGACTTGCAGAGCTTGTCAACTTGTAACTTTAGCAAGGGAGTGAAGATTGCAAATGAGACGGAAGGAGCCGGTGAAGGGTTCAAGTTTGTGTTGAAGGAGTTCAAGCCTTACTATTTTGCCTGTGGTATTGGTGATGGCATCCATTGTAATATCGGAAACATGAGGTTCTTGGTGGTGCCTGCCATTTCTGATGATTAGTTGATTGATCATAACAAGTCCAGGGAAGATGCAGTGTTATCTACTATAATCAAGTGTTCTTGACAATAAAATTGTTTTCTTTTTTTTTTTTTTGGCCATAAGTTACTATTTATTAAGGTTGTTTGTGGGTCAGTTTGGTTCGGTTTAAATATAATAATCAATCCCAACCTAAAGCGATAGTTTGAAAAAAAATTAAAACCAAATTACTCCACCAAAAATTTCAAATCGAACCAAACCTTTGGTAGCATTTGATTTGGTTTGAAATAAGAGAGATTAAACTTCCTTATTCATCTTGTTAAAAAGAAAACAAGAAAGATTAACGTGGTATTGAATATGAAAAATGAATTAATAAAAACTATGTCATAAAAAACGCATGATTTTGAATAGCTATTAAAAGTTTTTAAATTAATTTTTTTATATGTATATTCTTAGTATAGTATAAAAAATTTTATATATTCAATAAGATAATAATTAAGCAATTTATAAATATAGAATTTTAATTTTAATTTAATTACATCTATTATTAAAAATTATAAAAAAAATTATAGTTTTGCTCACACATAGTTTTTATATGTATTTTAATCTAATCTTACATGAATCTTTAATATTTGAACATTTATAAAATAATTATCTAATTATCTAATTAATAAGAAATTATTATTCAATTATTATCCAATATAAATTAATCAATACAAAGAAAATTTGCATTCAAAAAATTAAATTAAATTTAAAAGTTCAAACATACATATAATAGTTTGATTCGGTTTTGGTGATTTTGACTCTACAATCATAAATTGAATCAAAAGCTCCATTTTTAAATTTTATAAAATCAAACCAATTCATTAATTTTTTAAAACTGCAGTTTTGGATCGGTTTGGACGATTCAGAAGGCTTACGAACACTCCTATTACAAGGAAGGTATTACAATCTGCACTAGACAATGTTACAATGTTGCAATGTAAGCAAACTAACATAACTACAATTTTAAGATATAAATTAAAGCAAATCAAAGCCCAATAAGAATAATCCAATTCATAAGGGGCAAAATAGCAATTAAAAAGTATTTAGTCTAGGGCATGCCAATTGAACCCATGAACTCCACTTTAAGGCTTCACTAGTTTTATCTTTGCTAATTTGTATTAAGCATTTTGTCTTCTGTAATAGTTCTGAATGTACAGGAATAAAATTTAAATCATTTCCTTCTATATACCTTATTTTAGAACATTTAATAATTATCTCTCTTTTAGGTGTATGAATTGATTAAATTTGAGAAACGGAGTTTATAAAATATTTCATATATATGCAAATTACCTTTGTTTGATTGCATGGATTATGAAATTACTCCTTTCGTCTATTTTTATTTATCATTTAATTTTTTTATATGGAAATTAGTTAAAAGAGCAATTAAATTACTTAAATTGTAATTAAAATATTTTTTAATTTCACTAAATTATTATCTTAATTAATTAGTATCATCTCAGTAGTTCTCTCTCTATTAACCTGCCACTAAAATAAAGAGAAAGAAAGAAAAATGTGATAAAATTTATGTTTAAAGATAAAAATTAAAAAAAAAAATACTCTTTAATCTTTTCGAAGGACAGATAATATTATACAAGATGACTTCTCAAATGCGACAAATAAAAGTGGGTGAAAGGATTAATAAATTTTATCATATCATCAATTCCATTTTTTTGACTGACGGAATTTATAAATTTTATTAATAATAGAATCTAAATTATTTTGAAAACACTCCTCAAATATTGTATTTTATTTCATAACCAAATAATAAAATATGGAATTTTCATGAATTTTAAAATTTAAATATATATGTGATCAAGCAACGTTCCAATATCAAAATTTAATATATACCTGAGCAAAATTTAATTTTAATATCATAATTAACGAGTAAAATTTTTCTTTTTTGCTGAAAATTAAATTTGATAATTTTCTATTAACCATTGGCCATCATCATGGCGTCATGCATACATAATTAATTTTCAGATTCATGGCACAAGTGACTACGTTTTGACCTAATTTCTACAATCTAGATGATTTTACAATATCATTTCAGTTAATATCCCAGTACTATATTGACTTTTAGGCAGCATTGACTTTGTTTTAGTCAAATTTTGAGACCAAAAGGAGGAAAATTATATATTATGACTATGTTATGGAAAATTTTTAGTTTCCTTATTCATCAACAGATACTTAATTTGTCAACAACCCATAATTGCGCTACCTCCACTTCTCCCATTTGGAGCTATTAATTCATGTTGGTTGACTAATAAAAATTTATTTTATGCAAAAGAATTGTTAATAGATGATCACACCAAACCAAAAATTGAACCTAAAGGAAAAAAAAAAAAATATATAAAAAAATTCTATTTTATGCAAAAGAATTGTAATAGATGATCACACCAAACCAAAAATGAAACCTAAAGGAAAAAAAAAAAAAATACTAATATATTATATATATATATATATATTATATATTAGGCAATATGGAAATTTAGTATTGCAAGTGAGACTAAATTGGGTGGGCGCGGAACCAAACTTGTTCAATGAACAAGCTTCACTTATGTATTTGCTAATCTATTAAAAAACCAGATTATATCTATTTATTATATTATTATTATTATTATTATAATGCAAATATTTTAAAATAATGCGTATTTAACTTTACATCCAATACCTCATTTATAATTGGGTGGGGGAACCAAACTTGTTCAATGAACAAGCTTCACTTTTGTATGCTATCTATAAAAACAGAATTATTATTATTATTATTATTATTATTATTATTATATAATGCAATATTTAAATAATGCGTATTTAATTTAATTGCTTAACCCATTTTATAAGTAAGTTAATTTGCTTTAATTTCCAACACTAAATCATATAATTGATATTTTTTTCTTTGTCTAAATTTCCTAATTCTATTTAAAATACATTGCATGTGCAAATTGATCCATAATACCATGTCTTACTCTAAAGAAAATAAGAATTTTTTAATAATTATTTGAAAATAATCACATTATTTTTATGGATAATTGTACTAAACACCATAACTGGGATTTAAAATCATATTTATTTCATAATTCTTTTTTTAAAATATATTCAACTTGATTGAAAACTTCAATTTATTAATTATTTAATCTTTAATTAATGTCCAAATAAGATTGAATAATAGTTGAAGTCTTTTTTTTTCTTGATGTAAACCATCGGTATTTAGATCCTATTAATACGAACCGCCTAATTCGGCTTGGTATTTAGTTACAATTAAGAAATTTTTTTGGTCTTGAACCAACCTAGGGACACATATTGTATGAGCAAAATTAGACTTTGTCACATACATTGAATAAATTATCCTTTTAAAAAATAAATTTGGCACATACCCACATTGTCATACCCATCCACTCTCTTTATATAAACTCTTCATTATTTCTTTCCCTCATCAACAAAGCATCCAAAGCACATTCCTTCTTCTTTTTTCACATTTTTACACATCAAATAGAAAACTTTATTCAGGAAAATGGGTCCAAAATACATTCAGGGATTTGTAATTGTGCTTTGTGCTTCCTTGTTGGGAGTTGCTCTGGCCAACAAAGATTGGCAATATGGATATCACAATGGTCCATGGGGTGCGAAACATGGCTCCCCTCCCCCTAATCCCAAAGACACTCCTCAAAAGATTCTTGTGGGTGGCTCTGCTCACTGGACCTTCGGCTTTAACTACTCCGTCTGGGCTTTCAAGAACGGACCATTCTTCGTAAACGATTCTCTTGGTAAGCGTTCTTTTTTTAAACAACACACATGAGACAGAAAGAAGGTACACTTTTAAGTTTTAACTAAAAATATCGAGTTGAATATATAATATTTGATGATTGCATCCAGTGTTCAAGTATGATCCACCAAGCGAGAAGAACGTACATCCTCATAGTGTCTACTTGCTACCGGACATGTGGAGTTTCTTTACGTGTAACCTAACAAATGCAGTGAAGATTGCAAATGAGACAGAAGGAGCCGGTGAGGGGTTCGAGTTCGTGTTGAAAAAGTGGAAGCCTTACTATTTTGCTTGTGGGGCTAGCAATGGCTACCACTGCAACTTTGGAAACATGAAGTTCTTCGTGCTGCCATTTCCTCGTCGTTGGCACTATTAGTTGATTGCTCATAACAGTCTAGATTGGGAAGAGGGATAACTATTTACTTTAATTGAGTGTTTTTTTGACAATAAAAATGTTCTATCTTTGTTAATTTATCTGTGTTAAGCATCTTCTATATTATTAGCTGATGCATAAGTCTCGGCAAAGAGAAGACATTATGTTGTTAGTATGCCTTTCTGAGTTTAATAATTTTATTTATTTGAGATTGTTTTGTTTTATTAATGAACGAACTCATTTCCTGCTATTATTCCAATCTTCCTTTTAAGTTAAAAAAATAAAATTCAAAAGTTCCCTTTTATATATATATATATTCAATTTGCTATTTAATTAATTAGTGGATATCCATTGTCATTCTCTCTATATTTATGGATTGAAGTAAGTCTATAAATAATTTATGACGGTATTGAAAACCGTCAATAAGATAATAATATTCTAATGACAAAATTTAAAATCTACCTGATCATAATGAATTAAAAAAATCAAAGAGATCAAGTTTATTTCCAAAATTTATTAGGTTGTTTGATTAAGAATTTGGAGAGGAAAAACTAAAATAAGGTTAAAATTAAATTTTAAATTTGTCATTAAACGATAAGTAAACTTATTTTACTTAATAATTTCTAATTGATTTTTATAATTGACTTCTCTTACTAAAAATCAAATATCAAAGGAATATAGAATACCGAAGGTTTAGCAAATAAAAAAAAATGAATCAAATATCAAAAGTATTTTCCTGTTTTTTTCATACACAAAAAATGGAAAACAAAAAATGGTTACAAACACCCCTAAATATAGATTTGATAAATAGAGTCCTTTTGTTTTTTAGAAAAAAAAAACGAAAAACACGACAATGGTACAAAAAAAAAACCACCTAAAATATAAATTTAGCATTATCCAATTTTGTCATATCCATCCAGACACTATATAACGACTCGTGATTTCATTCTCTCATCAACAACGAACCCAAAGCACATCCCTTCAAATTCCTAGTATTTTCCCCCTCTTCTTCACATTTTTGTAAGGAAATGGGTCCAAAATACATTCAGGGATTTGTAATTGTGCTTTGTGCTTCCTTGTTGGGAGTTTGTGTGGCCAACTTAGATTGGCAATATGGCTCCGATCGCCCTAATCACAGACACACTCCCAATAACACGATTATTGTGGGCGGTTCCGCCCATTGGACCTTCGGCTTCAACTACTTACATTGGATTACCAAGAATGTTCCATTCTTCGTAAATGATTCTCTAGGTAACTCATATACATATACTTATATTTTGTTCAGTGAACCGTAATATAATATGATGCAACAACAATTAATCAAATGCATTTTTAGTGCATTTAAGTATATGAATCATATATAGGTTTAATTATTTGAAACAAAAACTTGAAAATTAATGAGTATAAGATGTAATATTTGGTGCAGTGTTCAAGTATGATCCGCCAAGCGAGAACAATACACATCCTCATAATGTCTACTTGCTACCAAACAAGAGGAGCTTTGTGACCTGTAACCTAACAGAGGCAGTGAAGATTGCAAATGAGACACAAGGAGCCGGGGAGGGGTTCGAGTTCGTATTGAAGAAGTGGAAGAAGCCTTACTACTTTGCTTGTGGTGCCGGAAATGGCTACCATTGCAATGTTGGCGGGATGAAGTTCTTTGTGAAGCCATTTCCTCGTCGTTGGCTTTATTAGTTGATTGCTCATAGCAGTCCAGGGAAGACGCGTTGCTATTTACTATAATCAAGTGTTTGTGGACAATAAAGTTGTTATATCTTTGTTAATTTGTGCTAAGCTTGTCTTCTGTAATGCATAGATCTCAGCTAAAGAAAATACATTATGTTACTAAGCTTCTCTGTTTTAAATTTTTTTTTTTTTTATTTTAGAATGTTCTTTTTTTTATTAAGGTCTTAAAAATAGTTCTAAATATACATGGAAGCAAGTCATTTCCTTATATTAATCCAACTCCAACTTTTCTTCAACGTCACATGCAGCATTGTCTTTCATTTCCTTATATTGATCATCTACATAGTCTGTCGTTAAGAAAATGTTAGGTCTTAATAAACTAACTTACCGTTTACTCAAAGGTGAAATTCACATGTGCATGAGCAAAATTTGACTCTGTCACATGCATTCAATAATTGATCCTAATAAAAAATCAAATTGGCAGTGTTCAACGTTGACATACCATCTAGCTCACTCTCTATATAAACAATCAGTTCATTCTCTAACAACGCATTCAAAAACTTGATCGAGGAAATGGATTCAACATTGTACATTCAGGGACTTGTAATTGTGCTTTGTGCTTCCTTGTCGGGAGTTAGTGTGGCCACCTCTAATCAGAAAGTTACTCCTAACAAGATTACGGTGGGCGGCTCCTCTCGCTGGACCTTTGGCTTCGACTACTCCGTTTGGGCTTTCAAGAAAGCTCCATTCTTCGAAATTATACAAGGCAAGTCCTACATTGAGAGTGAAGATTTCGAAGATCCTAGTAATCTAGGCATTTAGGAAACTTTGTAGGATAGAGAGAAAGGTTTCATATGAGCACAAAAATCTTTTTCTCTCTCAAAAGTATTTTTCGGAAATTAGATTTTTTCAAAATAAATTCCTTTATTTTATTTTCGAAAATATTTCTTTAAATCGAAAAGATTTATTTTCCTAAAACTAGAGAGATTTCCTTTCTAATGTTTTTGGTAATAAAATCATTCTCTTTTTCGGAAATATTTTTTTTGAAAGATCTAAAGTACTTAAAATTATTTTCTTACCTAAAAATGAAGAGGAATATCTTTCGGTTTTAGTAAGAACATTTTTTCCGCAAATAATTCTTTCCAAAATAAATGCTGTCAAAAATCTTTTCTAAAGGAAAGTGAAAATCGGGTTTTATTCTCTTACCAAAAAGGGATAACTGGAAAGGGGTTCGAGTTCGTGATGAAGAAGTGGAAGCCTTACTATTTTGCTTGTGGTGGGGGCAATGGTTTCCACTGCAATTTTGGAAACATGAAGTTCTTCGTGCAGCCATTACGTCGTCGTTTGCCGTATTAGTTGATTGCTCATAACAGTCCAGGGAAGATGCATTGCTATTTACGTTAATTAGGTGTTTGTTGAGAATAAAAATGTTTTTTCTTTGTTAATTTGTGTTAATCATTTTGTTTTCTGTATTAGCTGATGCATATATCTCAGCTAGAGAAAAGACTTTATGTTTTAATAATTATACTTATTTCAGAATATTTTGTTGTATTAAGGTGTTAAAAATTAATTTCCTTTTATTATTTCAGCCTCTCTTAATTTAAAAAATAAAATCCAAAAATTCTTTTTTTAAATAAACAAAATATTGTTAACAGTCAAAAGTTATAGTCTTTCATCCAACTGTCAAGTAAACAGTGGCTAATTGAGGATACATTTGGTAATCTAAAAAAAAAAATTAATAGGCAAAAAAAATTACTATGCTTCTGCTTCATATGGAAAAACAACAATTTCCTTCTAAAGACAAATGAGACGTGTTTCTGCTGCCAAATATAACATAAAACGCTCAAATTACTTATGGGAATTAAAACTCATTATCAATCGTATCACTATCCTACATAAAGGGTAATGTAATAATAGTAATTATAAATTTTTTTTTTTTATTAGTGGAAGACCAGCTTCGAGGAAGAGAATTTCTTCATGTTCTTCCATTTCTCTGCGCCCAAGCTTTTGACCTCTTGATTTATTCACAGTTTTGAGGAAGCTCCAAGCATTGCACGTCTCGTATCTAAATTCTTAAAGACTTTTCGACTTGTCACCACTCGAGGAAGAGTTTGGATTTCGTTGGAAAGGTAACTGATCTAATTGATTTTCCAAGACGAAACCTCTTTTATTAATTACTATTCTCCAATATTTAATTATATTGTTAATGAAATGAAGTTAAAATCTATAATTGCAGTAGTTTTTTTTTTTTCCTTCGTCGTTATCAACGGTTTCAAGATGAGGGTGGTTTCTTATAATATGAGGGGCTCTGTATTCAGAGATCCAAACCCAAGTCTGACCTTGCTATATATGTTGGCTTGCGCTTTAGTTAATTAATCTTCGATTTTTCTCAGGTTGCCACTTAGTTAATCCAATGGAAAGATCCACATCACCAACCAAACCGAAAAAACATGTTGCTGTCTTGGCATTCCCATTTGGCTGCCACCCTCTGGCTCTTCTCAACCTAGTCAAGAAGCTAGCAATGGCAGTTCCAGACATACAGTTTTCATTCTTCAACTTAGCAAACTCCAACAACTATCTTTTCTCGGCATCTGAAGCCAATAATCTGCCTAGTAACCTAAGACCTTACAGTGTTGGAGATGGAGTGCCCTTAAATCATGTCTTTTCCGGACATCCAATAGAAAGATTGGACCTATTTATAGAAGCCACCCCAGAGAACTACAAAAAAGGACTTGAATTAGCAGTGGCAGAGATGGGTCAAATTAATTGCTTGATAACAGATGCTTTCTTGGCTTTTGCAGGTGCAATGGCTAATGATTTTAATGTTCCTTGGATTCCAGTTTGGATACCTGTCCCCCATTCTCTCTCCGTGCATATTTATACTGACACACTACGTCAATACTATCGCACGAATGATGATGATAACAACTGGAATGATAGTGGCAATGATAGAAATAAAGAGTCGAAAACCTTACAAAATATTCCAGGGTTAGCTGAAATAAGAGTTGAGGATTTACCTGATGAAATTAACAAAGAAACTCTATTATCTTGCATGTTAGGTCAAATGGGTCATGTGCTTCCACAAGGTACTGCTCTTGTAATGAATTTTTACGAAGAACTATACCCTAAACCCTTATTAGACGATCTGAAATCCAAGATTTCGATAGTGCTTAATGTGGGTTTCGTTACCCTATCAATGCCACCACCACCATTGCCATTGTCAAATACAGATGCTACTGGCTGTCTTTCATGGTTAGATACCCAAAAAACAAAATCTGTTGCTTATATTAGCTTTGGAACTGTTGTTGGTATCCCTCCTAATGAGATCAAAGAATTGGCAAAAGCATTGGAAGAAAGTAAAATTCCATATCTTTGGTCAATTAGAGACAATTTGAGAGAAAATTTACCAAATGAGTTTCTTGAAAAGACAAATTGGCATGGAAAAGTGGTTTCATGGGCACCACAAACTCAGGTATTAGCACATAGTTCAGTTGGTGTTTATGTGACCCATTGTGGAGCTAATTCTGTGTATGAGAGTGTGGCAAATGGGGTTCCAATGATCTGTAGACCAGTATTTGCTGACAACATGATAAATGCAAGAATAGTAGAGGAGATATGGGAGACTGGTGTGAGAGTTGATGGTGGAGTGTTTACAAAGAATGGTCTAATTAAGAATTTGAAGTTTATTTTGGAACATGAAGATGGGAAAGGAATAAGAAAAAAAGCAGAAGATCTACAAGAGCTCATTTTGAAAGCTGCTGCTCCAAATGGAAATGCTGCCCAAGATTTCAAGAATTTGGTGGAAGTGGTTTCATCAAATCAGTAAGAACTGACATTGGCATTGCCTGCCTGCCAAATAGTATTTTTACTTGATCAATTAATTTGCCTGTTTTATGCATAATAAACAAATTTCAGATAGTTTATTCTCATATTGAATTTAAATATGTTTATGCTTTTTTTTATATGTATGCATATATTCTATTGCACCAATAAATTTAGTTAAATTTAGAAAATTCTATTTAATTACTGATTTTGATTCAATTTCTTTTAATTTTATTAAGAGGTATGCGAATGAGGTTATTAATTTATTAGTTAAGGTAACTTATTCTATGTTAGATCCTAAAAGTGGTTTTAACGCCTCTTAATTTTATTTTAGCTGCTTTAATCAATAAAACTTAATATAATTAAATATCATATTTTCCTATCTAAGAAACTATACATTGTAACTCTTTTTCACAATTATTTGAGTAAATGGTGTGACTCAATTTTAAATAATTTCATTAAATAAAAATCAAACTAAACTATTTTGAAAATGGTTTGCTAAATTTTGAACTAAATTAAATTATTTAAAAATAATTTAACCTCCATGCAAGTCTTTCCTTTAAATTTATTATAAAAAAAAAAAAAAAAAAAAAAAAAAAAAAAAATAAACAAATTTCAGATAGTTTATCTTCATATTTGAATTAATATTTTATTGCTTTTTTTTATATGTATGCATTATATTCTATTGCACCAAATAAATTTAGTTAAATTTAAGAAAAATTCATTTAAACTATTTACTTGATTTTGATTTCCAATTTCTTTAATTTATTAAGAGGTATGCGAATGAGGTAAAATAAATAATTTATTAGAATTAAGGTAACTTATTAACTATGTTAAGATCCTAAAAAAAAGTGGTTTAACGCCTCTTATTTTATTTTAGCTGCTTTTAATCAATAAAACTTTTTACATATAATTAAATTATATATTTCCTATCTAAGAAAACTATTACATGTAACTCTTTTTTTCACCAATTATTTGAAGTAAATGGTGTAGACTTAATTTTAAAAATAATTTCATTAAATAAAAAATCAAACAAACATTTTGAAAAATGGTTGCTAAATTTTGAACTAAATTAAAATTTTTATTTAAAAATAATTTAACCTACCATGCAAAGTCCTTTTCTTTAAATTATTATAAAAAAAAAAAAAAAAAAAAAAAAAAAAAAAAAAAAAAAAAAAAAAAAAAGAGTTGATCCCAGTAAATTTGAACCAAGTTAAAAATTCAAACGAGAAGTTAAAAGTCTGAAATGCAGTCCAGTGGGCTAACTAACTCCTCGAGCCCAATCTTAATTAAGCAACCCAAAAGTAAAAAAATTAAAACAAATATGAAGAGAAACCCCAGAAAAGAAAAGGGAAAAAAGAAGGAAAAAAATGAGCGTCTATGGAGGAGACAGTTGGGCGAGAGAAGCACAATACAGGAAGAGAAGAGTAGATGGTGTTCTGCTTCAAGGCCTTGATGGTTCTTCTTACAAGAAGCTCTCCAGCGGCAAGTACGCATGTCTTGTCTGCCCTCACAATCCCATCCTTGATACCTCTCTCATGCTCACTGTAAGTAATTACTGATCCTCATTAATCTCCCCTTTCTATTTCACCCTCTTTTTTTCTCAATAGTTCGATTATTTGAAAAACTAATAAGATGTATCTAGAATTTTAATGATTAACAAATCTTATTGCTATTTAATTTGTAGTACGGAATTGAAGAGGCACACAGTTCATGTTTGGTAGATTGTAATGAAATTTGATGTTAATACAAGGGAAATGAATGAAATTTTACCTTGCATTTGGTATTAATGAATGTTTAAGTATAGAATTCATTTATAGATTGACAGAATTTGGTTTAGTATGTTCAATTTCATAAAACTGAATATTGGAGAGGAATGAACATTTTCTTTCATACCAAATATGAACACTTGAAATCCAAAATGAATTTATAAAATATTTTGAATCATTGGTGCCAAATAAGGCCTTATTTATTGTTCTACTGGGTTTTAATCTGATGATTACATTGAATTGTGTAGTGCTATGCAACTGTTAGTGTCAGAGCCAGTTAGGTTTATCTGTTTGAATGTGATTGTTTTTAATGTAAAATTAGCTTTTGAATTGTCAGTGTTGTTTTTGCAGATGCATAGCAAGGGATCGCGGCATCTTGCTGCAGAATCGAGGCTAAAAGAAGGAGAGTTGAAGAGAAAAGATGTGATAAATAAGAGATTAGCATTATCTGATTCCCTTGTTAGTTCTCATGACTCTACTAGTATAAACAAAAAAGTTAGGTTAGCTAGCAAACCATTACTTGAACAGACTAAGAAGGCTACTTCTGAGGTTCTTTACAGTAAAATTCCCCAGCAGAGTCTTGGTAACAAAAATTGTGGTGTGAAATTGAGCGACGGACAACTTGCAAATGTGACAACTTTCTCATCTACTTCAATTAAAGCGTCTGAAAGGTCACTTGTACAACAGCAGCTGGATTTCCGAGAGCGTAGAGAGCGAGAACTCAAGTTTATAGAAGCAGGTTGGAAGCGTGATTGTCATGGAAGATGGTTTAAGGATGAAAATGTGAGGTTTTTACTTTTTTTTGTCAAATTCATCATTCCTGTATTATAAAAATTGTCTCATTTTAGTTGCAGTGACAGTTAAACCATTGTGCTGAAAAAAACATCAGCATCGGCACCAGGTAGAAGAAAGAAACCTTCTACCTGTTAAATGTTTAGTGTATCTAATGGAGCTCTTCACGTGTAAAATTATTTGCAGGTTGAATTTGACTCCGATGAAGAAGATCCAAATGTATGTCTTAGTTAAAGAATTTCAGTAAGGGTCATCTTAGAAGATTTTGAAAGAAATTTGATAGCTCAAGATCATCAACTGTGATTCGCATTTATGTTAACTTGACGTGCTATAGATAGCGCAATCTTTATTCTGCATTGAATGGTTTTAGAGAACTGAAAATGGATGCTTTGATCTGCATTACAATCACTCAATAGATTAAGAATATTAGACTTACAATTTGAATAGGGTCAGATTTTTAGATGTTCAACTGGAAATTGTACAAACTGCAATCTGGAGTATGATTTAGAGCTGAATTGTTCATGTGCATTGGATAACAGTTTGTAGTTGTTGGTGATTGCATAAAGAAAGAGTGAGAGGAAAAAACTCTAAAAATTTTTTATATACTTTGTTTTTCCAATTCCAATAACAGAAGCTGAGAATGTTCATTTTAGTTAAATTATCACTTGTCAGTATCTTATTCAGAAATGAGCTATGATTGGATCTAGACTTGGATGATTAGATGGTCTTGAGCTTGATGAGAATTCAATTACTATGCAATGGCAAACTCATCATTAGCAAAATCATTATATGAAATCAAATTAGCAGATAAAGGTCAGTTTGTTGTTTAGTGATGGGATTGTTTTTCCCATTGTGTTAAGAATTCCGCAACTTGTTTGGGGTATTTGGTTTAGCTTTTTCCTGGAATTGCTATCTTATTTAAAAATTTTAGTTAATATTTTTTATTTATCTAACATGTTAAGATAGAAAATAATATATTTACTTTAAAAAGAAAAAAAAATTATATTTTTTATGGTGATTTTATATTTCTATGACAACTATTATTAAAATTTTACTCAAAGTACATGATATCGAATAAAATTTGTCTACGTTCAATATATGGATGCACTAATACCCCAAGCTAATGGAAAAAAGGGTTTTTTTTTTTTTTTAAGTTTTTTTTTTTTTTTTCAATGTATAATCATAAATATCATAATATAGCGAGTGTGTGTAAGTCTTTTAAATGATAATTTTTAAATGGGTTAAGATGTTGACTCTACTATTTGATCTAACAACCCTAGGATCTAGTGTATTTAATCATTAGATCAAGTTGTGTTAGATTATTACTAATGAATTTTAATTTAATGATAATAAAATTTTAAATATCAAGGGTCCAATTCTAATAATAACCAAGTTGACCAAAAAAAAAAAAAATCCATATCTCACTTTGGATACTGTTGATAGGATCCCAGAGAAAAAAAATTATACTCGTATAGCAACGAAATTAATTATTAATCGGGGAAGGAGTAGTCTATTCTTGGTCCATCTAAAAGCAACATCAGCATCCTCTCTCCTCTCCAACTGGCCAATGCTTCCAAGAGAGACCCATCCCAATGTTCAATTGTCAGTTTTTATATTTTCAAATTTGACATTTTTATAATTTTTGTTAATTATTTTAATTATATGGGACTAGAGTTGTTGTGAAAAACAAAGTAAAATCAATTAAAAAATTTTGATTTTTTTTTTTTTTTTCTGCAATGGGAAGGAGATATTGCCTCGTTGAAGAAGACACAATGATTTTTAAGTTTTTGGTTGTTACATCCATTCAGTAGCAATTATTTAGTCGGGTTGGTTGTTTAAGGATTTATTAGCATCAGTCTTCTGCTTGTTGGAATTTAAATATTTTCCATCTGATTTTTATTACATTGCAAAGGAGAGTGATAACAAATTAACCATCTTCAACATATTTATGAGGGAGTACTTGATATGTTATTCTCTAACAATAGTGGCAACCCATTCATTGATGTTTGATAGGCAATGATGGGATAAAAACAAATGGAATCCCAATTTCATTTCCATTAATTTTTATGAATAATTTTGAGCACCCTTTAAGAAACATAAAAGTCGACGGAAAAAATAAAATAAAGGACAAAGAAAATCTTTAAATGATGATGGTAAAGAGGGAATAGAATAGGTTTTTATAAGCCTATTCTAATACCTGAAATAAAGGTTATTCGTCTTTCCTCCAAACTTTACTTCTTGAATTTTATATTTTCACTTTTATTGGATTGCCTATCTTTAACCAACACCTTGTTGATAAAAAAAAATTACCACTAAAATTTTTTGCTTATACTATGCGTTTGAAACAAATTCAAGTCAACTGTTGATGGGTTATTCTATTTTGAATTCGATCCAAATGTATATATATACATTTTCTATGTATTTTTATCCTAATTATTCATTAAATTAACTTTATATTAATTTATATAATATGTACTACTATAAATTAATATATCGCATGGCAATAGTATAAATTACTATATAAAAATAAAAAATGTAAAATATTTTATTTTAAGTAAAAAGCATACGAAAATAGTTAAATTCGAATCCAACTCAAGTTTCACGAATTCAATCAGAGATTGATCAAATATCAGATTAGATAAAAATAAAAATTTACGATTAAATAAGATTTAGGTTTTATAAAATTGGATCCAAGCCCGACCTGCTAATTAATAATACTATATTTGATTTGTTATGATTTTTTTGCCTTTTCGGCCAAGTATAAGATTTTTTTTTAACAATATAGTTACTCCTTTCATTCTAAAATATAAAATACAAATAATTTAAAATTTTACACGATGATAAAAATAAATAAATAATTTTCTTAAATTATGATAAAATTAAGAATAATCTAATCGAATTAATTTTATCTCAAAATTAAAAGTAAAAATGGAAAAAATCCTCTATCACTCTTGAAAATATTTAAAAACTTTTTATAAAATTTTATATTTTGGACCGATTATTAGGTTCATGCATTCATTTGTCAAAAGTGCGATCATCTACAATCTAATCCTGTGAGTCCATATATATATATATATATGTACATGCACGTGAAATTCATATAATTAATTATATGTTGCGAGTACACTAATCACTTCTTAATTATATGGCCATTATAACAACTACACAGTAGTTTTTAGTTATTGGGTAGTAACATTAATTCTTTGAGATTATTTCTCATTTTCTAAAAATTATTTATCGTTTGAGAGAATATAAAAGTATTAATCAATTATTTTTTAATTATAAAAATTCCATTGGCATTGTTAACTTTTTTTACATGATTAAAAAAAGATTTATTATAGGAATAAAAAATGTTGGAAATATAATATGATCGCATGACATGTATCATGTATGCATTAGCTAATCATTAATACCAAATATCAATAATTAATTGATTTGGGTACGTTGCAATGCACATGTACAGGACATCTGTATCATATACATGTATACGAAATCTACGTTATTTACATGTTCATTTGTTATTTATATACGTATACATACACTAAAGGGCAAAAAAAAAAAAAAAAGATTAGCTAAATCATTAATACCAAATTATCAATAATGAATTGATTTGGGTACGTTGCAATGCACATGTACAGGACACTGATCATTATAATGTATTACGAAATCTAGTTATTAACAATGTTCATTTGTTATTTATTATACGCTATTACATACACTAAAGCAAAAAAAAAAAAAAAAGTGATTTTTATTCAAAAAAAAAAAAAAAAAAAGTGATTTGTTATTCAAGTACTCTCAAATTGCAAAGCTGTCTAGCAGTGGAATCCGTACAGTTTTGACATATATTAATGGATATATATAGTTTTTAAAAATTTATTCACAGCTAGAAAGCATATCTTTTTAGAACTTGCCAACGAGAATAATCCAATATATAAAAAATTGAATTTCTATATTAATAATAGGTAATATAAAGCAAAAATACTGTTAGAATATTTGAATTATATGGGAAATTTATATTATAGATTTCATACTTGCGAACATAATAAAAAAGAGATTGTGATGATCAGTCGTTGAAGCACAGCCAACCAAATTTGTGCATGGTTGTTGACCTAAACCATTACCGATAATATAATAATAATAATAATAATAAATCAGTTTATCTATTCTTGCACCGAAAGATGGTAGAAGAGACAAATCTATATATATATATATAGATATATAATTTTTAAATTTTTTTTATATATAGCAAGATAGCAGCAATGTCTATCATAATTGAGGGTCATAAGTATTATTTTTTATAGTTTTTATATACATATAAGAAATAAGTTTGGTCAGTGGCATGAAAAACACGTAAACTTTAGGAGAATGAAAAATTTCTAATGCATGTAAAATTCTTAAAAAGAAAAAAAAAAAGAATTAGACAATTAGAATTTGAATCATACTTTATGGACTATAAGGCAAATTAATAGGTAGATTACATTTATTTTTGTTTTCAAACATACCTTAAAGAAGAGATTCTGGTCTAAAGTTTGAAGCTATCAACTATCACTTTCACTTTCACTTTCCCACTCGAAATGGTTAAAAATATAGTTGTTGGCTGTCGGGTTTTGTATTGTTTAATTCAGTATATAATCACCAATCAAATTAATCTCAACGTCACCATTAGTGGTTGAATGGTAATAGATTGTATTTTTAGGTCACTTAGTTTCTTTTTCTTGTTTGTAAAAACATAATTTTAATATTATATATAGGTCACATTTGTATAGATCAAGTCCATGGTCTAATTAATATAATAAATTAATAAAAATATAAATTTTTAAAAAATTATTCTTATTTTATTCTTTTTTATTGAATCTATAGTAAGAAATACCCTGTTTGAATGAGAATTTTTTTTTTTAATTTGGTCAATAGTTGAAATAGTGGATTTAGTTCATATAAGTCCATCAGATGGTTTGCTTGTTTTTTTTTTTTTTTTTTTATAATAAGTCCATTCAGATGGTTTGCCTGTTTTTTTTTTTTTTTTTTGAGAATTCCTTGTTAATTCTTTTTTCTTTTTTTTGTTTTAAGTTATTGGCATTTATTGTACATGAAATTCTTAAACTATAAAATTTTTGAAACATTAGCGGTAAACTTATACATCATTAGCACACTAAAGAATTTTTATAGGTCGGTCAAAGTTAAAAAAAAAGGAAAAAAACAGTTCATGTTAAAAAGCAAGTCATGTGCATGGCTTCAGGACTAGTCACATTTTTTTTTTTTTTTTTTGAGGAATTCCTTGTTAATCTTTTTTCTTTTTTTGTTTTAAGTTATTGGCATTTATTTGGTTACATGAAATCTTAAACTAATAAAATTTGAACATTAGGCGGTAACTATACATCATTAGCACACTAAAGAATTTTTTAGGTCGGTCAAAGTTAAAAAAAAAAAGGAAAAAAACAGTTCATGTAAAAGCAAGTCATGTGCATGGCTCATGGCTAGTCACACTGTACAGCTCACTTTCACTTTTCAGCTGCTACTCCATAATAGGCCAACAAAGCCCATTCCTTTTTCCCCTCTCTCTCTCTCTCTCTCTCTCTCTCTCAGTCTCACTGCTTCTTCATCACCACCACACCTCCGTCGCCGCCCCCAGATTCTATACACAATGTCATAACCACTAGCAGCTCCACCTCCTCCTACACCAAGAATAAAAATGGGGACTTGCACATCAAAAGCTCCCAAACCCAACCCTTACGCTCCTCAAAACGGAACTGTAAATGATGACTCCACTAACCCGAACCAGACTCCGAAATCTCCACTTGCACCTCTCCGTAACCCAAAGCAGTCCCCTTTCTTCCCATTCTACACACCTAGTCCTGCTTATTTGTTCAAGAAATCGCCTTCTACTGATCCCGCTGCTGCTGACTCTACTCCTACTCCGATGCGGATCTTTAAGAAGCCTTTTCCGCCGCCTTCTCCTGCCAAACACATTAGGGCCGTCTTAAGAAGGCGTGAACAGGGAAAAAAGAAGAAGAAAGCAGCAATTCCGGAGGAAGGAGAAGATGAGAGCGAGGATGCGGGTGCATTAGAGTTGGATAAGAGATTTGGGTTTTCGAAAGAGTTCACTAGTAGGTTGGAGGTGGGGGAGGAGGTTGGTCGAGGGCATTTTGGGTATACTTGTTCTGCTAAGTTCAAGAAGGGTGATCGCAAGGGGCAGCAAGTTGCTGTTAAAGTCATACCCAAATCCAAGGTTCTTTCTCAAATGCTTTTTTCTTTGTTTAATTATGTTCTGAATTTGATCATTTATTAAATATTTAGATTTGCAGGTGTTTCTTTTACTTTACTTTTATTTTGTTTAATTTTCATTTTTATGTTATCTGATTTTGTTTAAAGTTGAAAGCTGAATCTTGTGGTTGATTCTTTGTTTGTATTCAGTATTAGACACTTTGTTTTTTGAATTATTAATTTTTGAAACAAGGTGAAGGCTTTTAGTTTGAATGGGGGATCAGGATATGGAGAAGCTAGACGGGATAACGACAATAAGTTCACTGAAATTTCTGGTTGGCATCCTTCTAGAGATGGAGTATAGGTAGTAGTTTTATCTGTAAATTCACCTTAAAGATTGGTGTTTTGAGTGTGATAGACACAAAGTAACCATTTTGTTTGTTTATTAGTTGTTTTTGGGTCAATGGAAAAAGCCTGAGGCTCACCTTACTAACCTCTGGATGGCTTGGTACTGTGTTCAGCACACCTTATTGGGTATATTTTAGGTTTAAATTGCAATTTTAAGCCAGAATGCTGGTGGTCTGCATCACCAATCTTTATGTTTGCCAGGTAATAAAAGTGTGTAGTCTAACAAGGAGTGGGAATCACATTTTCCTAAAGACTTGTTCTATTTACCTTTTTTTGATGCTCGATATTTGACAGCCTATACTAATGGAAGAGGAAACCAGTAGTTTAAATGGTTGTCTGTGAATCTGGCTTTTGAAATGGACCAGTGTATTATATGGGGTCCTCACATGGGACCGCAAATGCCCACTTTTAGGTTATGCCTGCATTCGAATTGGATGAGGAGAAGATATAGTTGGACCATTCGCCAATATCTGTATTGAGGGCACACTTGAATTGGTAATTCATTCTTTATGAGTTGATCAGGCAGTTAACCTCTAATAAAATAACTTGGGTGATTTTAATCTTCTTCCAAAAGGAGAGAAGTACTTCCTGCAACCATAATTAAATGGCATAACCATTGATTGAACTAGCACCATAGTAAGGCAGTGCTCTGTGACCTTGTTGGCTAGAAAATTAGTCTGAACATTGGACCTGGTTACATCCAATGCTGGTAGCCTGGTAGGACTCTGTGTTGCTACTAACTTTCACATCCAGTTTATGGACAAGTTGGAAAGGGAATATCGTGTAGTGCTCTTGAATCCTTCAGAAGGAATGTGAAATCGATGTACTAATATCTTTGATGGTAGTCCTTCGCATTCCTTTGGTTGTCAGTGTACTTCTGGTTAAAGACTTGAAGCCACTAAAATTTATTTCTGCTATTATCTTAAATTTCTAAGTATTGCTGACACTTACGTTCTTTTTGCCAATTTGGTGCAAATTTATATTTTCTAAATTAGCATGGTGAAAAGGTTATGATATTTCTCTTTATTGTATCTTCTCACGGCATAGAAATTAATTGTGATGTATTCTAAATTGCCAGATGACAACAGCTATTGCAGTCGAGGATGTGAGAAGGGAGGTGAAAATATTAAAGGCCTTGACAGGACACAACAATCTTGTACAGTTCCATGATGCATTTGAAGACTCTGATAATGTCTATATAGTGATGGAGTAAGCTGGAATGTCCACAATATATATAAAACATGCCATCATCTATTGAATGCTTATTAATTAGTTGAGTTAAATTTCTACCTACTGGATGATTTAGATAAGGGTCATCAGCACCGTTCCTGTTTGACAGCAAACTGTTGCCCTCATATTCAAGCACCAGGATGTGTTTTCTTAAATTTTGTAGTATACTAATATAAATGTGAAATAGTATTCACTACTTGCATGCAAGCTTAATGAGATCCTTACCTCATGAAAGTTAATCAGTTGTCGTGAACTTTCCAGGTTATGTGAAGGTGGGGAGCTCCTAGACAGAATACTTTCAAGGTGATCTACTTTGTTACTGGCCATATTTAAAATTTTAGGTTGCTTAGATTTCTCTATACACCTCATGATACATTCTGATAAAGCTATATTGTTACATTTTCAGGGGTGGGAAATACTCAGAAGATGATGCAAAGGCTGTCTTGGCGCAGATACTTAAGGTTGTTGCCTTTTGTCACCTACAAGGGGTGGTCCACCGAGATCTTAAACCAGAGGTGAAACTTATTTCTATTTTTTTTCTTTTCTCTTTAGTGAAAGAATCACATGCGGACTATATTGCATTTTCAAAAAACTAAAAAGGAAAGAAAAGAAAATGCTTGCTTCCCATTCAGATGTTTATTCTTAAAGTTAAGATTTGAGAATTATGCTGTTTGGTGAAACTGGGAAATAAAGTGGGATGGGAAACTAATTTTATTACCATGCCTTTTCTTCGTAGCCAGTTGTTACTCAATCACATGAAGCACAAAGTCAATTCTTCAGCAGTCAGCTATTTTCAATGTGCTAGTTTTAGGCTCCTGTATACTCAATTGAAAAAAATAGGTAGTTGTGTGATGTCATTTCATTTGCTGCTGTCACTTTGATTGAAGTCAATCAGAGAACTTGTGATCTGTGTCTGCCTGTCTGTTTTAAGCTTTATCTATTCCTTGGATCCTGGTATGGGTGATAACTGTTCTATTTGATATGCAAAAATATGATTTTGATATTTACTTTTAATTAGACGCGCATCATACAAATAAGTGCACATCTTAGCCATTTGTTTCCTTGAGCCTCCTAGCCTTGGGCCTGCCAAAAGGCAACATGGTAGTTGCTTATGGGGAACTGAATTATTTATTTAAATTTTTGTTTCTGCAGTTGTGAGATACATGGCTGAGTAAGTGCTAAAATTTTAAGAATGATGGGAAAAGAAACCAACTTCAATCACTCAAGTTTGATATTATATTAGTTATCTTAATCTGATCTATATGGAATTTTGTATATCAGAGGAGTAAGCAAAAGAACAGAGGCACAATGACATTTCTGATTGTGTTAAATTATGTTGGTTGCTGTAGCATTTATTATTACAGTGAGGTGGAAAAGGATGTCTGCATAGATATATTATGCTGTATCTAAAATTCTTTCTTACATTATAATCTAAATTATTCATTTGCTTGTTCAGAACTTTCTGTATACTAATAAGGATGAGAACTCTCAGCTGAAAGTCATAGACTTTGGTTTATCAGATTTTGTCAGACCAGGTTTGTGCTTTTTGGCAATGTCCAATGGAATTACCTGCTCTGAATGTTTTCCCACTTGACCCTATGATTTTTGGTAGGTTTTTGACAAATGTTGTGGCTTGCAGATGAAAGACTTAATGATATTGTGGGGAGTGCATACTATGTGGCACCTGAAGTCCTCCATAGATCTTATAGCACGGAGGCTGATGTGTGGAGCATAGGTGTTATAGCGTATATTCTATTATGTGGCAGTCGTCCATTTTGGGCCCGGACTGAGTCTGGAATTTTTCGGGCAGTCTTGAAAGCTGATCCAAGTTTTGATGAAGCACCTTGGCCTTCTTTATCTCCAGAAGCAAAAGACTTTGTCAAACGTCTATTAAACAAGGACCCCAGAAAGCGAATGTCGGCAGCTCAGGCTTTAAGTGAGTACATTGTCTCATACATAATTATAGGTCTAAATGTGATTGTTGTGAATCAACATGACAATCTTTTTGTTTACAGGTCATCCTTGGATCCGGAATCATAATGATATAAAAGTGCCTCTTGATATCTTAATTTTCAGACTCATGAAGGCATATATGCGCTCATCATCTCTGCGTAAGGCTGCTTTAAGGGTGTGTATATACTTGTAATGAAAAAACCAGGAATAAAAACTGATTTCTTTTTTCTTTTGTGCTTGTTCATGTTGCCGGATACATGTTACAATTTTGTCTTTTGATGTTGGAGTTTCTCTTTTCCATCTTCTTGAACTTAATAAAGATATTTTAAAGTCTAAATATTTGCATCTTCTCTTTTCATGAATTATGAAACATCTGTCTTAAAATTGATATTCAGTATGACAGTGGAAGATTATCTGAACATTGAGTTTCCTGATTAGTATTAGCTTTGATTTTTTGTTACTTACCTTTTAATGAACCTATCTTGTGTTTGGATCTATCTTGCAGGCATTGTCTAAGACATTGTCTGTACATGAACTTTATTTTCTGAAGGAACAGTTTGCATTATTAGAACCAAACAAAAATAGCACCATAACCTTGGAAAACCTTAGAATGGTTGGTCTCTTTTTCTCTCTCTCTTTTTCTCTCTCTCTCTCTCTAACGCATGCATACTTTAAATTGCATGATAGTCATGGCTGGATAATGGAACATTTCATTTTGTTGGTGTAGGCCTTGATGAAAAATGCGACGGATGCAATGAAAGATTCACGCATACCTGATTTCCTTTCCTCAGTAAGGAACAATTTGCCATTTGTTTGTGGTTATTCTATTTTTTGTATGGGTGTTGGCCTCTAGCATATATTGGTACCTCCCTTTTAATTTTCATTTCATGACAGCTAAATGCACTTCAATACAGAAGAATGGATTTTGAAGAATTTTGTGCAGCTGGCTTGAGCGTCCATCAGCTGGAGGCACTAGATCAGTGGGAACAGCGTGCTATTAGTGCATATGAGCTTTTTGATAAAGATGGAAACAGGGCTATTGTTATAGAAGAGCTTGCTTCAGTAAGTTAGAACTTTCCTCAAAGTTATAGAATTTCCAATAATTTATGACATTTTGATGCCCAACTGCATGTTTGGAGCCAATTAGCCAAACAAAGCCTCAAAAAAAGTGTGAAATTTTTATGACATTTCAGGAACTTGGGCTTGGCCCCTCGATCCCAGTTCATGCTGTCCTCAATGACTGGATAAGGCATACTGATGGAAAACTCAGCTTCCATGGTTTTGTAAAATTGTTGCATGGTGTTTCAAGCCGAACCGTTGCAAAGGTGCAATGAAGAATAGATGTGTGTTTTTGACCCTGTTGGAAGCATCGAGTTTTACTATGCTTCTTGTCTGAAACGGCCCAGGAGACGCGTATGATATATATATATATATAGGTTAGATGTGCAGCAACTATTGATGAATCATGAAACATCTGGAGATACAGCTTCTTTGCTTCCAAGTGCAGACTCCAAGAGCCTTCAGTTTCATGCAAATTCTTCAAAGAGCAAGAGTCGATCATGATGCCGATGTTTCATATTACTTATAAATGTCTGGTTGGCGTTGTGTTGTAAAGAATATAGTTTAGTCTTGGCTTAAACAGGCAACGAGGTATTTTTACCACTATTTGATCCGTTATACATACATTTCCATTGCTTCCGTGCCCATTTTTTTTTTTTTACTGTAACTTTGAATTTTACAAATATGAAAAGAGAAAGTTTCATCTTTAAAATATTATATTCCGCACATCTATATATTATCAAATATTGCAGTTTATGCGCGTGTGCACACAGACGTACAATATATATATTGATTCCGCGATTGAGAATTTTATGATTCTTGCAGGCCGTTAGGATATTTACCACTCTGTACCGCAGCTAGAGTGATTGCGAATATAGTGACGGGCAGGTGGCGATGAGCTCCCGTCAGCAGCAATTTTGTTTTCCGCAAAGTTTGCATGATCTTCACCATCCACTCCTGAAAACAACAAACAATTCATGGACAAGTATGTATATATATATATATAGGTACATAAAATTCATAATCTGACTTACTGGTTTTGCGAATCTTGGACTGTTCAGCAAATGCGATCTCAGACAAGAAAAGCAACACTAGCATGCAAACAATACTCATATTACCTTTAGGAGCCATTTTCGTTAAAAGGGATTGAAGGGCTTACTTACATATATAGTAGCAAAATTTAATTAAGTGGAGTAACTGTTTTCTCATACAGGGGATAAGGAATTTTAAATTCTTAAAAATTAAAATAAGTAATTTGATAATCACGAAGGCACTAGGTACTCTCATCTTGGCTTTATTCAACTTACCATCCTCCTTCCCAATATAAGTTTGAAATTGATAGAAGTGAAGATGATTGTGAGATTGAAAGAATAATAGAAATTTGATTGATTGCAAGATATTTTCAGTATTTTTGTTCATTCTAGCTAAACTGACAAAATGATAAATCTCTAGCAATCTTTTATTTAACGGTGAGTGAAAATCTCGGACATTAATTATATGATTAATTGATCCTTTCACTGAAAGCTATTTTATTTGAATTAGTCTAAACAACTCCATAACTACGAAGTAACAAGATTACTCCTAAGTTTGATTCAAATCTATTACTTACAATAACAAATATCAAAAATTCGGTGGTGGGGCTGCATGGCCACGAACACCTACTGGTCTTGAAAAAGAAGCACGTGACAGAATTTTGTTTTCCTTTAGACTTTCATGCCTTCCAGTTTCACCATTCTTCTTTCCTGCACCAAGAATTTGAAATTATATGATAAAAAATTAATTTATATCCATAATAAAATATATCCATTTACAAGCATAAAAGTTTAATAGAACTCACTTGGGATGGGGATTTTGCTTCGATTTGCCAACACTGTCTCGAATGAAAATGAAGACAAAAATAATACGATGATGCTAACAATAAGCAACCGCCGGCCGACCATTTTTTCCCTGAACTGTGAGGAGAATTTTCTGTACTTTTTTCCTACATTAATATAAATTCCTACGTAACGCATTTATAGGGGATGTTGTGTGAATTTTTTATTTTTTGATTGAAATATAGTCTAATTTGTACTGTTGCAGTGGTTTACCGTTAAAATTCCAAAATAGACGGGTCAATGGTGCGTATACCATACGTTCTTCTTCTTTTTATTTATTTATTTATTATTATTTTTTTGACACGCACCAAATCTAACAGAAATATCTATCCTATTAATTAAAATAAATTTACAATTTTGTAAAACAGAACCAAACTCTGAACAACTTAAACATGTATAAACCAATAATTTCAATTTCAATTCTGATAGAGAGGCTTCCAACCTTTACAATTTTGGCTTGTAGATTGCCATTTAGGTTGATATTTCGGTAAATATCTGATATGAATCTTTTTTTTTTTTTTTTTTTAATATAGTCTAATTTTGTACTGCTTTGCAGTGTTTACGTTAAATTCCAAAATAGAACGGTCAAATGGTGGGTATTACCCATACGTTCTTTCTTCTTTTTATTTTATTTTATTTATTATTATTTTTTTTGACACGCACCAAAATCTAAACAAGAAATATCTATCCTATTAATTAAAATTAAAATTTACAATTTTGCTTAAAAACAGAACCAAACTCTGAACAACTTAAAACAGTATAAAACCAATAAATTTCAATTTTCCAATTCTGATAGAGAGGCTTTCCAACCTTTACAATTTTGGCTTTAAGATTTGCCATTTAGGTTGATAATTTCGGTAAATATCTGATATGAATCTTTTTTTTTTTTTTTTTTTTTTTTTTTTTTTTTTGAGTTTTAGTATGAGATTAATAAATATCATAAATATAATGTCGTTGAATGTACTTTTAATTAAGTGATATTTCAATAATGAAAATTATTAATAAACTTAAAAAATAATATTTTTTTTATTCATTGAAAGTCCGAATTGATTGTTTTAACACTGTGGTTTTCACTGTAGGGGCAGTTTTCTCCTTAGGACACTAAATTAGTGAAAAACTCTTATAATCGAAAAGATTGAACTCTTATATTTTGTTTGCAATTTAAATTCTAACTAGGTGAAGGCCTGCGCTTTGCCCGAATTTGTATTTTATAAATTATATTTAATATATTATGAAAAGATCTGTTTTCCCGCATGCTTTATTAGATTATCATGTTATAATAGAAATTGTAATGTAATTAATTTATTTTAAATAATTAAAAATTCAATTAATTATGTCTAGGTGTCGGTTAAAGTTTATAATTCAAATAATTTAAAAAGTTATAATTCAAATATTTATAATATTGTATCCTACCACATACTAATTCTATATAGATACTAATTAATTTATTTTAAATAATTAAAAATTCAATTAATTATGTCTAGGTGTCGGTTAAAGTTTATAATTCAAATAATTTAAATATTGTATCCTACCACATATAATTCTATATAGATAACGTTTTATAATTTAAATAATTCAATAAGGATAATATACAGATAAATATTATTTTTAATTTAATTAGTTAACAGTAAAATATAATTTTATTATTAAATATTATTAAAACATAAAAAATAAAGGAAAAGTAAAAAAATTGTTTTATTGTCATCTATTGATTCCAAATATAATTTAAATATACTAAAAAATAAAAATTACTTATCTAGACTAGGTCCATAGCCACGCTTTATGGACCAAATCAATGACAGTAAGAATTCTTTAAAAAGTGTTTCGACTTTATCATTTTTTTCCCAGTGTATAGTCAGAAATATTTTCGTTTAAATAAGTAACCTTATTTTCATTGGTTTGGTTCATGAGTGGGTCATGGATCTGGTCTAAGTAAAATTTTTCCTTAAAACATAGGAGGTTTTACACAAAAGAACATCATACTTATATACTATTTAAAAATTGAAAAAATAAATTTCAGAATTTTGAAGGCCTAATTTTACACCGTAAATAAAATTTTAAAAAAACCCTAGAATATATAATTAATAAAATTTATTCTGCTTATTAATATTTTTTTTAAAAAAATTGAATCTTATCCTTGTTAGTTTTTTTTTTCGACTTATTATTTATGAATTTATGAATGTATTATATAAAATACAAAATACAAATTCATAATATCTAAATAAATAATTTAATTAATTATTTTATAATTTCTAAATAATCAACATTTTTAATTTTTGAATGACAATAAAATTAAGTCAAAAAAATTGCTAATAATAACCATCCACAAAATGTCCAACTAACAATTTTTGAATCAAATAAAAAAATAGATAGTTTTTTTTATGATGATTGTATTTATAATTGCATATCAATAGTATCACAGAAAGAACAAACGTAAAAAGGAAAAAAAATTTTCAATTCATTTCATTAAGAAAGTAAGGCATAGCCGTGCTGTGCCCAAATGTAGAGATATTTTAGGCTTGATTATAGGGTCAATAACTAATAATGAGCTTGTATCAATAGTCAATAGTCAAGCATAATTACTGTCCTTGATTATTAATCTACTCTTGATTCAAACTCCAAAGACTGGACTGATTTGTTGAGAACAAAAGTCGTGTCCATATCCTATCTATTATAAAGACTTTGAAATGAAAGCAGAAGAAAAGAGTTTAGACTTAAAACAAATACACATCAACAGAGGAGATGACAAAGGCATTTAATTAAATGAGATATCTTCAACTGGACAAAGGCATAATGTATTTCATGAAATATCTGCATAAGCACAAAGTCTACCTCCTTCGACATTGATGGCCAATCCTTGCTCTTTCGCAAGCTTAGCTACATGTAATATAACATGATCAAAATACTCTGATTATCTAAAAACTGTAATAAAATATTAAGAGAAATTAATGCTTGCATCTGTTTGTGAAATGAAAAAATGAATTTGTTGTACTATAAAGTTAGGAAAGTTATGAAATGTGGCAACCAGAGCTATATGTGTTTATGGTGTTTTGAATTAGTGAACGATTGTAAAAAAATATCACATATAATTCTTAATAGATAAATAGATAAGATAGAAAAAAAAAATTTTCAAAGAAGAGAGTGCTCATTCTTCTTTCAAACTAAATATACGATGCATGCAACGAAAAGAAAAACAAAATGAATACACAAAAATTATAATAAAAGAAGGATCAAGAGATTACCTCAATGTCAATTCTCAAATCCACTTATAAAGGAATATCAGAATAAAGAAAACCAATCACATCTATATAAAAAAGATTAAATCAATATAAATATAAAATGATAAACAAATGATACGAGACTCTCAACGGTCAGTACAAAATGAAAATTTTCAAATAGAGAGATTTAGAATGACATATATATAGATATATATAGATATTATATAGATAAAAAAATATTTAAAAAATTCAAAAATTTGAATACATATATTTTTTTTAAAAATATATCCAATCAAAATAAAAAAAAGAGAAAAAAAGAAAAAAAAAATTGAATTACATATATTTTTTTTTTAAAAATATAAAAATATTTAAAAAATTCAAAAATTTGAATACATATATTTTTTTTAAAAATATATCCAATCAAAATAAAAAAAAGAGAAAAAAAGAAAAATCCAAAATTTCTAAAAAAAGGAAAAAAAGAATACTGAGAAAGGAGAGTGCCACGCCAACATTTTAAAAATTTTTTTTATTTCATGATTATATATATATATATATATTGTATTTAGGGTGCTCCTGCAATAGAATGTCAAAATTCATGGTTTAAGGTCGATTGGAGTGAAAATGCAATAGAACAAAGTTCAGAGTAAAACTATTAGGCTCAATTAGAGTGAACTGACTATACTATTTTTAATTTATTATTTGATTATATTATTTTTAATTTATTATTCACCATAGTAAGGGGTGAAAATAAATTTTTAAAAGTTTGAGGACCAAATAAATAAATTAAAAAAGGAACTCCTTAAACGTTAAACCCAAGTCGTCTTCTCCAGCTGACTTGCTGTTCTTCTCTCTGAGTTTTTCCTCAGGTTCCCGAAATGCCCCTTCCAAAACCCCAAATTCACCATACCATCCCTTTCCTTTCATCTCCCACAGATGCTCTTCTAGCAGACAAAGCCCTATCTCTCTTAAAACGCCATCCTTACCACCTAAATTCCCTGTCTTCCCAGTTTACCCCTGAAGCAGCTTCGTATTTACTCCTAAAATCTCAGCATGACCAAACGCTAACCTTAAAATTCCTGAATTGGGCCCAACCCCTCCAATTCTTCAATTCACACTGCAAGTGCCTCGCTCTTCATATTTTGACTAAATTCAGGCTCTATAAAATAGCGCAGACCATAGCTCAGGACTTGGCTGTCAATACAATTGATGATGATGGCAATTTCGTGTTTCAATGCCTTAAAGAAACTTACCATATCTGTAATTCGAGCTCTGCGGTTTTTGATTTAGTGGTAAAATCTTATTCTCATTTGAATTTTATGGATAAGGCTTTAAATATTGTTAATTTAGCTAAATTGAATGGATTTATGCCTGGCGTTTTATCCTATAATGCTATTATAGATTCAATAATTAGGTGTAAAAAACCTCTTAGGTTGGCCGAGGAGGTGTATAGGGAAATGATTGCAAGTGGCGTTTCTTTAAATGTGTATAGTTACAATATTCTGATTAGGGGATTTTGTGGGGCGGGGAATTTGAATATGGGTTTAAGGTTTTTGAAGGACATGGAGAGGAATGGGTGTTTGCCTAATGTGGTTACTTATAATACGATGATTGATGCATATTGTAAGTTGAGGAGGATTGATGAAGCATTTGATTTGTTGAGATCAATGGCTTTGAAGGGTCTGGAGCCAAATTTGATTACATATAATATGGTAATTAATGGGCTGTGTAGAGAAGGAAGGATAAAGGAAACGAGTGACTTTCTGGCCGAGATGGCTAGTAAGGGTTTTTCTCCTGATGAAGTTACTTACAATACACTCATAAATGGCTATTGCAATAAGGATAATTTCCACCAAGCGCTTGTTTTGCATGCAGAAATGGTGAGAAATGGATTGTCACCTAATGTTGTTACATATACTTCATTAATTAATAGTATGTGTAAAGCTGGAAATTTGAATCGTGCAATGGAGTTTCTTGATCAGATGCATGTTAGAGGGCTTCGTCCAAATGAAAGGACATACACAACATTGATCAATGGGTTTGCACAACAAGGATTCTTGAATGAGGCTTACCGAGTTCTGAATGAAATGACCAGGAGCGGATTCTCACCTTCAATTGTGACTTACAATGCCCTTATTAATGGACATTGTGTATTGGGAAGGATGGAAGAGGCCATAGGATTGTTACAAGATATGGTGGACAAAGGGTTGTCCCCTGACGTTGTAAGTTATAGTACTATAATATCTGGTTTTTCTCGTAACCTAGAGTTGGATAGGGCATTCCAAATGAAGGTGGAGATGGTTGATAAGGGTGTTTTCCCTGACGCCATTACCTATTCATCACTCATTCAAGGACTCTGTGAACAGAGAAGACTAACTGAAGCTTGTGATCTGTTCCAAGAGATGTTGACAATGAGCTTGCCTCCTGATGAATTTACATATACAATTTTGATTGATGCTTATTGTAAAGAAGATTTAAACACTGCTCTTCGTTTGCATGATGAAATGATACGGAAAGGCTTTCTACCTGATGCTGTTACTTACAATGTGCTTATCAATGGGCTAAAAAAACAAGCTCGAGCTAAGGAAGCAAAGAGGCTTCTGCTTAAGTTGTTTTACGATGAATCTATCCCATCTGACGTAACATATAATACACTGATAGAAAGTTGCTGTAATATTGAATTTAAGAGTGGGGTAGCTCTTATGAAGGGATTTTGTATGAAAGGTTTGATGGATGAAGCAGATCGAGTTTTTGATTCAATGATAGAGAGAAACCACAAACCGAATGAAGCTGCTTATAATGTTATTATACATGGTCATTGTAGAGGTGGCAATGTTCAGAAGGCCTACAACCTTTATAATAAAATGGTTCATTTTGGTTTTGTTCCTCATACTGTGACTATTATTGCTCTGGTAAAGGCACTATTCTCGGAGGGGATGAATGAAGAGTTAAATCAAGTCATAGTGAACATACTGAGAAGCTGCAAGCTTACTGATGCTGAGCATGCCCAACTTCTTATTGAAATCAATCATAAAGAAGGGAATATGGATGTGGTTTTGGATGTTCTTACTGAAATGGCCAAGGATGGCCTCATTCCTAATAGTGGGACTTAGACTAATTCTAGGGAATAGTCTGCTGGATGGAAATTACATTCTTTGGCTGGTCAATATTTTCTTTGCTTTGCCTTTCTGATAGCTCAAGAATCAAGTGGTAAGGTGGCTCTCGGAAGATGTTCATCACTCCCTGTATCTTCCTGTGATTCAGATGCTTATGAGTTTACTTATTTATGACCACACGTTTTTTATGACCACACGTACCTTTCCTTTTCAATCGTCAAGGAGAAATTTAATTTATGCTAGAAACTATACATGCACCACAAGCGGTGACATACTTTGATATTAGGCACCATTGCACAAGCTCAATTCGTTTTCCTGTATGTGCAGTTACTGTGCATTGTGGAGTGCACATTATATATGCAAAAGAGATTGTTCAAGCTGCTCTCTGCTCTGTCATCATATTTCTACATCTATGCAGTATGATCAACTGCTGATTATCATGTTGTATAGTTGGCCATGGGCTATCCCAACCTCACCCCAGGAACACCAATAACTCCTTTTCCACCCTTCTATTTTAAAATTCAGCCTATTTGGTATAAATGCAATCATCCTGGTTTTTATGTTGCTTATCATCTATGAGTAATCCAATTCTGTTTGCCTTCTCCCATTTATATCTCCATGAATATTAAACTTCAACAGATACTTGCAAATCCTAATACCATTCCGGTTTTGGAAGAGATCATAGGTTTTAGCATCTTTTCCGTCATCATTTTATTTGAATCACTTGTACATCCACATGAAAGATAGAACTCCTCTCATCGAGCCACTGAAAGAAGTTGGTCTAGGTGAGATGCATCAGTATTCACTCCACCGACCTCACACGTAAACATGCCACATTCCTGTTTTAATTCTTTTATTTTTTAGAATTGATTCGTAGGAAGTGAACTTTTCAAACTTTGATTCAGATTTGCATTTTCATTTTCCATTTTGACTTTATTGCTCTAGCAGGTTACATTGGACGGCTGATGAATATTGAAGAAAGCCTGTATCGAACTCTTTGAAGTAGCTCAGTAACTACAATATTCAGCTTTCTAAGATGAAGGGAAAATTTCATCATGTTATTGTTTGACTGGCGACTTTCCCACCTTTTCTCATGGTCGAGCATTAATTAGCTTCTTAGGATCTTGTTCATCAATTTCATAAATACCTGTGTTAAACTAATTAGGGCTTGAGCCAAGTGCAGTCTTTGAGCACATATGCGACATGATGTGAAAGAGCTTATTGCTTTGGAAATGCTTTAGCAAACAAAGTTGGCCATGTGCCCCAAGAATTCTCAGCCATCAACTACAACTTTTGCTTATAACTTGGAGGTTAGCAATTTCTCAAAACAACAAACTGCATCATACAGGAGAAGAGATAGAAGCTGAAGTGACTCGAAGAAATGGTTGCAGAAGCTGGCAGCAAAGCAGGCAACAAAGACCATTAGGCAAATCAATTATTTTCCCATTTGTAAACTCAGTTAAATATGTCCAAGATTATTGTAAGAAATTAGCATAGCCTTGTCAGGTTTGCAGTGTAGAACTGTATAAGAATAGCATCAATTGGAATAGAATGTCCTCAATTTATCGACGCACTGATATAACAGATATAAGAAACTAAGCAATCATAACATGTAATTTCTCTAAAATTGTAATGGCTACTCACATTGTACTGAGAACACAATAAACCATCCTTTTTTCAACGCTTGACCACATTCTGAGGCCTCAAATTTTGATCTAAGTGAGATAATAAAGAGGCAAGGTTGCACGTAGATTGATGTGATACAAATGAGATGAAATGGTATACAATAGAACACAACACCACCATTTTACCACGGTTCACAATTGGTGACTATAATATCAGGAAAGCAAACTTCTAAAATGCCAAAATGCATATTTCCGAAAGAAAAAAATTACAGACTACAGAAAAAACTATGTCGCTTAGGTTATCCAATAACTGGCTCTAATTCGAATGGCCTAAGATTATGTAAAACAAGATCAACCCAGACGAGAAAATAACAAATATAACAAGAGAGAAGACCTTGGATCAGAATTTGGGAAAAAGATGCAATTACAATCACTTCATCAATGCAACTAAAAATGCAAAACCAGAAACCCATAAATATAAACTATGAAGAGGTCACAACTGACTGAGTTTACAACAGTGAAAATAAAAATCAAAAGTTTCCCAATAATAGACTTCTTCAAGCTGTTTTACCTGGATCATCATTGTCCGAACAGAGGTGCAGGATTAGATCTCACTGTACTAGAACAGAGGCACAGGGTTAGAACTCACTGTATGGTTAGCACATGAAATTTCTCCGAGCAGATGCTCATTCTTGATGGTTATAAGATTCATATATTCTCTTCACAGTATGAAGTTTGAATAAGCATTCCATTGAGTCCACCTAATAGCTCTCCAAAGAATTAGTAGAAATAAGACAACACATTAATCATCTATTCAAAGAAAAAGCCAGGACCAGTAATAATTCAGCAGTGCCACCCTCCAGATCAGGATTCCATCTAATTAGAAAAGTTACATTCCAAGTCAGCTTTCCCAGTGAGTACAGTGAATTGATTACTCATGAACTTCACTAGCCCACAAATCTATATTTTGCTCTTTCTAAAAAGAGGTCAACAAACAATGCATAAGGAAACCCACAAACCAGCTAAATTGTATATCCTTACAAAGAAATTGAGGCTAGATCTCCAGAGAAATCTATCGTGATGAAAGCCTTTGGTGCAAATCATCAGCCAATGCCTGTCTCAAGCTATCCCCATAATAATGAAATGACTTCTCATTCTCAAGTACTCTAGCTGGAGATCCACTCTCATCAGGTTCCTTCCAAATCTCTGGCTCCGGCTCTCTTGCAACCTGGCACAAATTATGCAACACACAACAAGCAACAATTGTCTGTGGGGCATGATTAAGACCCACATTCAAGTCCTGCAAGATCTTCCACCTTGCCTTCAACAATCCAATAGCCTCCACCACCACAGACCTCCCCTTCATCAACATCCCATCAAACAAGTTCTGTGCTGGAGTTCCTGCCCCATCTGGCGAAAAGGGTGTCATTAAGAACGACAATAGAGGATAACACCAATCCCCAACTACATAAGGCCTCACATGGTGACCCCTAATATTAATCACCTTATCCCACACAACATCACCAGAAACAAGCCTATTGTACAACAAACTATCCCTAAAATGCGTAGCATCATCAGTAGCACCAGGGGCCTTAACACACACATCCCAAAATATCTTCTTGTGATCAGCCACTACCTGCAACAAAACTGAAGAATACCCATATCTGCATTTATACAAATTCGCCCCGGTTTGATCACTGGGCACTCTATGGAACTTGATTGGGCTCCCGTCTATAGCACCACACATGTTAGGCAACGAAGTAAGCTCTTCAAAAGCTTGTGTAGTCTCGATCAACCTACGCCTACTAACAGGAATCTTAATAAACTCAGGGTAAAGCTTAGTAGCTAACAAACGTGTTACCATGTTAGTGATCTTAGAAACCAAGTAAGGCTCGAGAGAATACCGAGAAGCAAGAGTCTTTGCTGAGTAACCATGAGCAAGCCGCGAAAGGACCATAGCCACAGCATAATCAGAAGGCAAAGAAAGATTAGAGGCAGTAATATGGGGTTTAAGCTTTTCAACAACAGTAGTGAAAACCGGATACGAGAGCCCATACAAAGACCTCCATTGGGCATCACGAAGAGGAGCTTCCAGAGACCAGATGTGTTCGGTGGAGAGTGCCCGGAAAGCAGCAACGGAGTAAGCAGCGGTCTCAGGCGGAGCGGAATTGTCGGGAGGAGCGGAATTATCGGAAGGGTTGGCATTATTGATGTTATTGAGAGTGTCGTTGGGATTTTGCTTCCGGGGTTTGGAGGAAGCGAGGAAGGAGAGGAGAGAGGCGAGGGTGAAGAAGAGGAGAGGTGCAGCTGAGGATGAGGAGAGGAGAGATGAAGGGGAAGGAGAGGAAAGAGAAGGAGAGGAAACGGAGGGAGTGGAAGGAGAGGAAAGAAGAGACGTAGCAGGGTCTAAGGTGTTGTGAAGGTGAAGGAGATTTGAAAGCATTAACAAGAATGATTCGTCCATGAGGGTATATTTGTGCTGAGGATTTTAGGGTTTTGCAGGGTGTGAATTAGGGTTTGAAGAAGAACGTGATCTGGGCATCTGCTGTTCGGATTTCTGAGAGAGGAATAAAAAATTTTCGGTCAAAATTGGGTGTCAAGCTTATGCTTTTTGTGTTTTGGTTGGTTGACACGACATATGCAACTACAAGCTAATAGTTGTGTTTTTGCTTTCTAAATTTGAATTGTTTTCAGAACCTTTTTCTCCTACAAAAAAATTTATTACAAAAAGAGAACCAAAAGGTTAATATTATTTTAGATTTTTTATTTATAATCATTTTAGATTTATCATTTTTATAGATTTTTATATCTAATAAATAACAATATTTTTTGATAGGAACAATACACATAATTTGATTGATTTTGTTATTTATACGAGAAATTATAAGTTTTGAATTTGAATATTTTACTTTTTAATTTTTTTAATTTAATATAATAAATTTATCAATTTATCTTATTATTTATATTATAAGTATTATTATCTTTTAATATTTAAAAGCAATTTATTTTTCAATTATAATCACATTCAAATTATACACTCCCGAATAAATAATTTCCTTGACAACTAGTATACTACTATTCAGGAACTAAGCAATTTTGAACCGAAAGAGGCGTATATTATAAAATAATGCAGCGACAGGACTAACCAAAGCCGGTTTGGTTATTGCGGTTATTACAGTAATCAAATCAAACCCGGTTGCGAGTGGAGGCGAGAGCACTAAACGACGGTGAATTTGAATTAGGGCTTTACTATCTAGTCGTTCGTGTTTGTTTTCAATCATCAAAATTTCAAATTGAAGAGTTAATTGCTTGGTTCTCGTGGAAGTATAAGTCAAATTCGTCTTCTTCAATCTCCGATTCTTAGACATGACTGAGGTATGATTATGTTAATATCCTCCTTTCTCTTTCTGATTCAAAATTTTCAAAAAGCAACATATTGCTAGCAATGATGTTGCCGATGATCGATATTGAAAGTTTGTTCTTCATACTCTTTAGTTGTGTGTACGGTGATTTTGGTATAGCAGTAAATTAGTTGTTGCATAAACAAGATGTAGCTCTTGGACATGACGGTGTTGGTTTCAATTTTGGTTGCTCCTTGTGCTATATGGCAATTTTGTAACTAGATTTTCGTTTCTGGCATTATTTTTGAAACCACCTTGTCTTGATTTTAGGTATCAATATAGAATGCAATTTACAGATACGTCTTTTCTTCTTCTTGTTTAAAGTATTTATGTCTTGGATTTATTTTTTGCCTTTATCTACAGTATTGGGTTAGTCAAGGCAACAAATGGTGTGACTTTTGCAAAATCTACATATCAAATAATCCTTCCAGCATCAGGAACCATGAGCTTGGCCAACGTCATAAGGATAATGTTGCCAAGAGGCTTGCTTCTATGAGAAAAGAGAATGCTGCCAAGGAGAAGCAACAGAAGGAAGCAGTCCGCGCCATTGAGCAAATCGAAGCTGTAAGTGGTAGCAAAAGCGTTTATTTTTCTATTTACTGGTATATGCAAAGCTCAAAATTTTTCATCTATTTTTCTTTTTGAATATATCCTTGAATAAGTTAGAATTTTAACCTTCTTTTTTCTCCTCTAAGTATATTTGAGAGTCCTTGATTTTCTTATGATATCCATAGATAAGTCAGGCAGATTGGACATAGAGTATGTGACTGTTGGAAATTGTAACAACGGATCAGATTGATGTCTGTTGTATTTTCTCAATGAAACTCACTGATAAAGGGTATGCTAGACATCAAACTCAGAATAGTGTTTAACGCCATCTAAAAAAAGGCTGATATAAGCAACTTTTGGTACATTGTAACTGTGTGTGACAGAAAATTAACTGTTTCATGTGTAAAGGTTGAATCAATGTCACGTATGTTATCTGCACTCACATGTTTATTTATATTAAAGCATTATTACCTCCTCAAAAAGTGTGTTAAGCTTCCTCTGTGAGTGTCTGTTGTAATTGCACTGTCCTCGTTTTCTCTTCAGAAGATGTGAGTGTCTAAGATTGCAACTAAACCTCTCTCTTCCCTCTCCCTTTCTTTTCCCACATTTGTTTTAGATTAATAAGCTATGTGGTTGTTGTTGTTAGTTACTGAATATTTTTATTTTTATTTTTTTGATTTAAAATTCTTTGCAGAAAGCAAAGCGCAGTTATCAGAAGGATATAGCGAATTTTGAGGAGACCAGTACTGTCCATGCGTTAGATATTCAAGAGGATGGTCAACAGGGTAAGTATAAAGGATCTGATATTTTCGTTGAAGTTAAAAATATTTGCTCTAGGATTTGTGCAAGTTCTGAAAATACATGCAAAATGCAGATATGCATCACAATTGGATGTCATTGGATCACTTTCTAAAGATGTGTTTGACCATATGATCTTCCTTTTTATGGTAAAATGAAATTTTGGATTAAGGTAAATTGCAAAATCAGCTATTCTGGAAACATGGTTGATATTTATTTTAGCATTGAAGCTTTTAAGACATTGGAATTACTAGTTTGCATTGCCATTCTTTCACAACATAAAAGTGGGCTGATTTATAAGTTGGTTGATAGAAAAGCTCAAGGTTGATCATTGAATGGATTCAAACTAAACTCAAAAGAATGTAAATAAGCTAAGTAGTCCTTGATGGAAGTTTTTCTTCACTTCTTCGCAGATGATTGTATTTTTGTCATAAGACTCAGGTTTTAGGTACTTAGTCAGAAGGCAATTGAGTTTGTAATATCTAGACTCAAGGTAGTGATGTTTGACTAGATGAATACATAAATTTTGTGTAAAATTTTCTATATGTTTTTATGTTTGTTCTGTTCACTGGTAGACTTATTGTAAGGCCAGAAATAATCCTGTTAATTTTGTTCATTTGCTACCTCAGTAATTGATAACTATGAGTGAGCTGTAATGAAATGATTTGAAATCCATCTCATTGTGCTGATCTCTTTCCATGTTTTCTTCTTCACTTTAATTCTTGTTGTTCGTGACAAGAATGATGTTATTGAATGCTCTTCCCTAATTTTTTAAATGGGCATCATCCTATTAGATCCTTCTTGTGTTGATTGCTTTACTGTTCAAACTGATACAGCTCTGAATGATGACAGAGTGGGAGTATGACAGCACTTCAGGCTACTACTACAGCCAGAGCAATGGGTTGCATTATGATCCAAAATCAGGTTTTTATTACTCTGATGCTGTAGGTATGAACTCAGATAATTGTGTTTTTTACTTGGTCTACTTTTATTCTATATTCTGATCCATGTGTTTTATGTTGTCTATGGCACATTGACTTAGAATTTTTGCAACAGGCAAGTGGGTAACACAGAAAGAGGCATATGCTTCAGTTCAAGGTTCATCAGATTCCAAGCATAAAGAATCAATTTTGAAAAAGCCTTTATTGATGTCAGCAGCAGGTTCAGCGAAGGATTCCAAAAGTGCTGCTCAAAATGGGCCGCCACCTGGTCCAGTTGTCGCAGCTTCTTTGAACCCCATGAGATCTGTTAAAGGTGCTACTTCAGCAGTTGCTGTTAACAAGAGAAAGAGGCAGGATGAGAAGCCAAAGGTAATATCTCAAGAAGAAAAAGCTGCACTTAAAGCAAGGGAGGCTGCAAAGAAAAGAGTTGAGGAGAGGGAGAAAAATTTGCTTGGACTTTACAAACGCTGATTTGGAGCACAAACAAGAAATTTCATCTCCTAAACATGAGGGGTATGCTTTGAATTTGTTCTTTTACAAACTTAACTTGGATGATAAAACATAATGTCGTGTTTGGATGGAGGGACTTGAAACAGGGAGCTCGAGATTTGATGTTACATGTGTTTATTTGATTGGTTAGATTCTTAAACTTAGGTTTTTTTCATAAATGAGAAAAAATTATTATTTGAAAGTAGATTGAAATTTCTCATTCACATCTATGAATTCAGGTCTATTCCTGAATCTTGGAATTAAAGAATCTGCTAATTTTCTTTGAAACAATTTAAACTAAAACCAGAAACAAGGCCCTCATTTGATCAAACATAACATGAGTGAACTAATATTGTCCTAGAATTTTTTTGCTGGCATGCTTCTTATTTTAACTGTTGACAATTTTACTCATCATTCATTCTCTCTTTGCTTTTGTATGGTCTGGTTTTGCACATACTTCTGATTGTGCAAAGTTTTTATGTTTGGATTGAAGATCTTAAGGCAATATATTCAATGAGTTCCTCCATTCCGTGGGAAAACAAATTGATATTGCCATGGTATGTGAATTTTCATAGTTTGGGAAAAAGCATACTGTAGGCACACCTAGACCCTAGTTCCTCCGTCTCGAGTGATCACAAGTAAGACACCATCTAAAGTAAGCACCTGCTGTTATCCTAGGCCTGAGCAATGGTTAATTATTTTATATTGGTTTTTTTCTCTTACAGTTGTAGTTTTTTACTTTATGCTTATGTGAATTGGTCATAGCCGTTGGGCTGTAAATATCTGTTTCAATAATAAGTACGACATATGATCAACCTTTAGTGGTGAATTTCACCATATGATATTACGTCCTGATCATGAACTAGAGCAGCCTTCCTTCTTCCTCATCCTAGTCAACCTTATTTTCTGGAGAAGCAGCAGAAGTGCTTCTAATTTTAGGCTAATATATTGGAGCTGAAAAGAGTGAGGGCCTAGTCTATTTAGAGGGAGAAGAAGAGGATAATTTGTTTGATGGGAGTGCTTGCCATATTCTTGGTTGTCTTGTGTGTATATTGCATGTGTTGAACTAATCTCAACAGTCATCTTCTTTGCGATATTTGAGTAGTTTGGGAGTAGAATTTGTAGTTCCTACACTTGTATTGCATGTGTTGTGATTTCTTAGCTCTTTTACTAAACATCATTCATGTTGAGCTAGTCTTGGTAGTATTCAGCTGCCTTGTAATTAAAAGGCTAAAAACATTGTACATTTTTGTATACGTTTCTAATAGAACTATGCTTTTTATCCTTGGCTGTACACTTGTGCCTTGGGCATAGGTAAAATTAGGTATCTCTGTGCTTTAATGTGTCTAGTGCACCAGAGAAATATGGATAAAAGTTTATCCTTTTTTTATGCAGATATGGCGAATTGTCTTACAACAGATAACCAATGGTGGCACCTATATTTGGAATCTACATATTACACAAAGGGATTGTCCAAACTCTGTAAGTGTTTTGAACTCTAATATGATGCATTGTCCGTTGCTGTAATTGATAGATATTAATTTATATGGGACGATGGTGAGGAAACAAAATTGTGTACTGTATGCAATTGCTCTTGTTCTAATTGAACAGCCGCATTATGAAACTCGATCATTTTTTTTTTTTTTTTTTTGAAGAATGGTGGCGAATTGTACAGCTATGACAGAGTTACCATACTGGTGGCACTATAATTTGGAAAAATACATATGTGAACACAAAGGGATTGTCCAATACTTTGTAAGCCTGTTTTGAACTCTAATATGAATGCATTGTCCGTCTTGCTGCCTAATTGTTAGATTATTAATTTATATGGGATCGGATGAGTGAGGGAAACAAAATTGTGATAACTGTTATGCAATTGCTACTTGTTCTAATTGGAACAGCGATTATGAAAAACTGTGAAGTTTTTTTTTTCTTGAATGAAGAAATAGAGTGCATCTAATTTTGGAAATTATTTAATTGCAATGAACCAGTGAGTGCTTCTCTTTCTATTTTTTTTTCATTGAAGTATACACTTACTTTTAAAGAAATTTCGCTTTTGTGTCATTTTTTTTTTTTTTTTGAATGAAGAATGGTGCCCTATTGGAAATATTTATTGCAATGAACCAGTGAGTGCTTCTCTTTCTATTATTTTTCATTGAAGTATACACTACTTTTAAGAATTTCGCTTTTGTTTAATGGTTCACATGCTTTTTTACCGGTTGAGAAAGAACTTGTAGTAGCAAATCTTCACCTTGAACTGTGATAGAAACCAGAAGTTTCTTGGCAATGTTGAAGCAACTTTTGTTAACTCATTGTTATATTAATGTAAGTTCACATTTTAAATTGCAAACACACAGAAAAGGGATAAAAAAACGTGCACCTGTTTACATGTTTCGTACTGTCTACAGTTGACTTGGTCGGTACTGAGACTTGCTCGTCAAAGTCATAGAAATCGGCTATGGAAATGGACATAAGCTTTAGGGGAAATAAATATTGAGTCATTGTCTGTGAGCTTGTGGGACTGTCAATTGGTCATGTGGCTGAATTTTATAAGGCCTGTCTTTGTAATACACGTCAAATGTTGGACTTTTGTTGTACATTTTCCATTTGCATGTAATTAAGATCAATACACATCAACACCCTTTCCAGATTTGAATCAAATCTGGTCTGGTCTATCCAGAATAATCTTGACAGGTATTTTAGCTTAATTGTCGCTAATTGTTTTTTATTGATGATTTTGATAAAATCCCTTTTCAAAATTGAGAATATCATCATTAGAAGATTAAAAAGAAGGGGAAATCACAGTTTCTTTTCACTCTTTTCAAAATTTACTCACCTAATTACATAATTTGTTGTTTGACATTTCGAGTTAGCCCACAGGAAAAGTTTCTAATGACCTGCCACTAGGGATGTAAATGACCCGAGCTCGACTCGTTGAAATTTAACTTCATTCGATACTCAACGAGTTTAAATATTTTAGGCTCGAACTTGATTGGAACTCGATTTGAGGCTTGAATTCAATTCAAATAATTTTAAGCTTGAGTTCAATTTGATGCTTAAGTAAGTCTAAAATAATATATATGTATATATAAAAGTTCGATAAGACTCGATAAGTTTTCGAGTTGAACATTATTAAACCCGAGCTCGGCTTGGTTGCTAAACGAGCATGCTCGAGTTTGAGTTTAATTCAAGCATGATTTTTTTAAATTTTTTTCGAACTGAGTTTGAAAGCTATCAAGCCGGATAGACTCGTTTACAGGCCTAGCTGCTTCCACTAATTGTGATTGTTATTGTTAATAAAATTCTCTCTTGTGGTCCAAGAGTTTGGTTGTTAACTACCACTCCACTTGGATAAAAAATGCATCCAGTTACATATTTGCCAAGACATGAAATAGAATAAGACGGAGACTTCAATTCGGTTTCTCTTGCTCTGTTTCTGATTATGACACAGTAACAACTGTCTTTCTAACTTCTCCAAAATCATTTCTTGGTTCCCAATGCTTTCCACTAAAGCTTTGAATTTCATTATTTTTTCTGTTGAAGATGATAAGTTCTAAAGAAAGTTAGTCAAAAGTTAGAAATACAAAGCCGATGAAGTAAATTGATTAGTAGAAAGTTAATCAATTAGACTTGCTTAAAACGCATGAGAATGTCTTTTCCTTGTCAAAGCAAAAGTTAAAAAACAAAGGAGAAAATTTTGTATTATATATATTGCCAAAAAGTGTTTTTCACTATTTCACTTTACAATATCAAGTGATAAAATTTAGATTTTGCCATTCATTACAGAAAATGAATACAACAATGCCAACAAGCGGTTGGATTAATAAACTTTACTTGTAAGATTAGGATTTAAAATCTGAATTAACAAACTTTACTCGTAAGGTCAGAATTCAAAACCTGAAAGTGGTAGACCATATACTGACAGATTCTTTATAAAAAAAAAAAAATGAACACAACAATTCTGATATTATCTTCTTCCTTTGATTTAAGGATACATCTAGAGACAAATGTTTCAAATGTGAAAATATTCAAAATTAGTACTTTTGTATCTTAAAGATGACATAAATGCTTTGATGGTGGTCTACTTTGTAAGCATAAGCCAAGGAAAAAAGTGGTAGCTTTTCCTATTACTGGACAATAGAGTACCCTTTGATGGAAAGTCAAGTAGCTTTAAAAATGTATTAGAGGACAGTTAAAGGAGTGCATAAATAGATTTGACAGCCAAAAAACCAGAGCATACCATAATATAAATGAAATCTTGAAAAGATAAATGGATCCACAAAACCAGCTTGTGCACTTAATTAAGATTAATTAACAACTAGATAATGGATTCTTGCCTAATTTACACTATTATTATTATTATTTAAGACCAATTTAAAAATCATTAAACTGGATTAACTACTTTCTTATTTTCAAAATATAAATTAAAATGGAAAATTTTAAAAAAAAAAAGAAAAGAAAAGGAACAAGAAACTTTTAATTTTTTTATATTACAAGTACAAAACTCAATATCAAAATTATTATTATGAACCATAATCAATAACTATCATCATTATCGTCAACAACCATGAAATGAAGCTATGGGAGATAAATAAATAAAAGCAAACCAAAATCCTTTGAACTAAGTATATCATCACCATAACCTTTATTCCTATCATCATTATAACAAATGAATTTTTTTTTTTTAATATATATATATATATGTAATAGGGAGAATTTCACCTTATTCGTGAATTTAACAATTTTAATATTAAGTACAATTAAATTATCGCTAGAATTGTATTATATTTTCAGGCGAATTTTATGTGTAACAAAGTTGGTATGAAGCAGAATTAATTTTTCCTGTGGATAACCATTTCCTGCTGATCATAAAAGTGGAGCTTCTTTATAAATCGACATTAATAGCCATTTAATAAAGCTAAGGCTGCATGCATGCTTGTAACCCTCTTTTTCCCTACAAGAGTATAAGTGACTTGAAAAAGCAAAACCATGCAAATATACTACACTAGTAATCCTTTTTTTTATTATTATTTTTTATTTCCTTGTGTTTTCAGATGAAATCAACACCATTACACTGCAATAAGAGCAAATGATTTTAATTGACTAGCTATGATTAAATTTATTGGTTGACTGTTATTATTTCCATGTCATAATTAGCAACTGTTGGTTTAGACTAGATAATGAGAAAGTTCCCTATATATATATATATATATATATTTCATTCTATAACTACCGGTATCTGAAAGTCTGCTGGATTCGAGCCCATATAAAGTAATTATTTTTACGAGAGAAATGATCAAATTTGAAATTTTTCAACCATAAAAGTTTTTATCAATTTGACGGGTAAAAGAGAATGCTATCACTCGTTATATAGTTCATAATATTCCTTTGGACATTTGATCTATCAATGAATAAAAAAAATTAAAAAATAATATGTTTGAAGTAATTAACAAATGCAAAATTATTAACATTAATAGACTTCATTAAAATAAAGAGATAGAGAGAGAGGAGGAAAAAAAAAATGTTCTAACAACTGTTCTATCATTTCAGTTTGTAGTGATGAGGAAATCATGGCCATAAAATGAAGGAAAAGACATACTTTGTTAGTTAGAGATTTTGTTTTTCTTATTTTCTTTTTTTTTTTAAAAAAAAAGCTAAAAATTGTTAATTATTTTAATTTATTGGTTAATGCACCTTTTATTTGACAATTGATGCCAAAAATAAATTACGTAACTTTACACTGTATATGATCATAGTTATTCCACAAACCTAATGATTATGCTAAAGAAATCTCTTTAAACCCATGTGCTTTTCTTTTTTCGCTCTCCCATGTTCTGTTAATCATTCTCCCAACGTTTCTACTTTCTGGATATCTATCTACACATTTTGTTTAGAGACTGCCAAATTTCATTAATTAATCTCACTTTAAATATTTAAACACTAACATTACACTTATCTTATTTAATTTTACATAATTAATACTTCAGTCCATAATTTTAAATATAGTTTTTTTTTTATAAATATAAGTTTTTTCAATTTTAATCGCATATATTAAATGCATTAATTATTAATAATATGAGATAAAAAATGGTAATTTAATCAAATTAATAAACTTTTTATATTTGTAAACAAGAATAATAAAATAAGCACATATAAAAGTTTAAAAGTTTAATTAAACTTTTCACTGGCTATAAAAGTTTAATTAAAAAACACAAATAAACAGTCACAATTACATCTTATTTTATTTATCAATTTCTTAATTATAAGAAATTTAATAGAATTAAACTGCACAATGAAACAAGAACTAGCAGTTTCTTCAAGAATCTCCACCCCAATTTTTTTTTTTTTTTTTAATCAATAGTAGTGTATTCTCATACAATTGTGTCTATTTGATACAGATGGTGACACTCCATTATGTATTGTAAGTAACAAATATATGAAGATAAACCATTAAAATTAAAAATAAAAATCAATAAAAGAAACTAGTATATGCTTAACCAAGAGAAACAGATCAAGCCAATCTGGATCATACACGTGTCAAAGACCCAACACCTCTAGAGATCTCATGCACACCAGGGTTGAATCCTAAGCAACCCAATAGTCCTTGTTTGTAAGGCAAAAACGTTTTTCTTTTCAACTCTTCCGAAACCGCCCGGTTCGCCGTATAATGTAATTCGTGGGCTGAGACCGGCCCTCTTCGCCGTGAAGAGCCACCGATACTACTATCAGCAGACCGAAAACTAGCATTCTTGGCATCCTCCACCACCGCCTCTTTTTTAGACAACACAACATACTTTGTTAATGGGTCTTTATTATTTGCTGTTGCTCTTCCTTCTGATGCACTTCTGAATAGTAATAAATCTTTAAGCTTCCATTTCTTGTAACCTTTTGACGAAAATGATATCGCAGACAAGAAAGTTGACGCGTAGGACGGTTTAGTCACTTTTACATTCTGTGATGAATTGTTACTATTATAGTTGTCTTCTTGATCGAACATGAGATCAGATACTCTAAAAGGAGACAGAGATCTGCTTGCTTTATGTTTAATGTTTCTTTCTCTTCCTCGTTCTTGATTTTCTTGATTTTCCATCTCTTTATTACCAGAAATGGTTCTGTGTCTTCCTCTTTCTTGATTTCCGGGTTCTTTTCTTCTTGTTTCTTCTAATGCAGCTTGAAATGGGTCAAAATCTTTCTTTCTTGATTTTGGTGATGATTTTGGAGAAGAAACAGAAGAAGCATAACCAGGTGGTGGCTTTAATGGCCGGATCTTGCCGCCGTCGAAAAGTTCATCAGCAGACAATGAAGTTCTGTCCAATTGACCACTAAAATCAAACTCAAAATCACCATCATCGTTAAAAACTTGGTCTTCAGTATTGTTATTATTATCTCTTTCATTTCTCGATTTAGGAGTACCAGGCTTCTCTTCCCAGTTAAAACGAATATTAGAAGAAGAAGAAGATAAAGAAACGTCTCGAAGGTCTCTATAGAAAGTAGAGGCACGAGTAGGGCTTGTAGGAGCACTTAAGAAAAAATTACCAAATCTTTGAGGACTAGAAGGAGCAGTCATGTAAGGAGAAGAGCAATTGCTATCAAAGTTGAAGTCCACCGTCGAGGGCAGCGGCACCACCACTTCCACTTCCACTTCCATATTTTGCTGTAGAAGGAAAAGCTGTAAGTGGGGATTATTTGGTATTGAATTGTGGAGTTATAGATATAGAGAGAAAGAGAGAGTGTCTTTGTGTTGAGGAAGGAGACGGGAAGGAGAGGAAAATTGACTAAAGGGAAATTTGGCCATTGAATTTGTTTTAGAAGGCGGCTTTATATTAGTTTAATGATCCATCAATTGTGCCTATGTAGATGGGGTTCTATTCTACGGATGTGTCACATTTTGCTTCTTTAAAACCAAGTGTTGATTACGTTGGTCTCTTTTTTTTTTTTTTTTTTTTTAAGGAGACGGGAAGGAGAGGAAAATTGACTAAGGGAAAATTTGGTCCATTGAATTTGTTTTAGAAGGCGGCTTTATATTAGTTTAAGTGATCCATCAATTGTGCTATGTAGAAAATGGGGTTCTATTCTACGGAGTGTCACATGTTTTGCTTCTTTAAAACAAAGTCGTTGATTACGTTTGGTCTTTTTTTTTTTTTTTTTTTTTTTGGAAAAAAAATTATATTGGCATTTTGTAAATTTTTTTTTTTTTTTTTTTTTTTGGAAAAAAAAATTATATGCATTTTGTAGAATTTTCAATTTTAAATTCTTTGATTTTTTATACCTATGGATGGGTGGAAGTTATTTATGAAAAATATAAAATAAAAAATTAAACTCATACCAGAGTTATTTGGGTGCAAGATTCTAACACGGTAGACATCTTTCACTGAATTTAAATATTTTTTACCATTTCAATAACTTCTTAAATTAATAGACACTCATAATGTTATTGTATATATAATTAGTATAAATTTGATACCTTTTTATTTAATTTAGATTCCATTGCAATTTAAATTTCTAAATTTGGAATTTGGTAATTGAAAAGGAATATAATATTAAAAATAATTATTGATTTGATTTTTTTTTTTTTTTTTTTACAACCAAAGAGAAAGAGGTTTAAAATTCTCAATAGGCACTACACTTTAATTGAATACCGTTAAGCTGAACTCTACGTGGTTTTAAATTTAAAATATGGGAATCAGAATCTGAAGAAAAAGAAAAGAAAAAAAGAAAAACAGATTTGAAAGCTAAATAGATAGATGATGGGGGTATATCTGTCTTTCCGCCAATGCAGTGAGGTACTTTGCATCTAAGGAACAAAAAGGCCAAAAGAAATTGAGTTTTAATTAGCATTATTTCACTTTGTTTTGAATTGTCTTTTTCTATTTTTGTTTTGTTTTTGCTTTTCTAGATAATAGCATGACAATAAGTAAAAATGATAATTTTTGTGACAACATGCTGCTTTGCCACGTTAATTAATTTGTTGGTTGTAATTAACTTCTCTAATTATGGTCTTAATTTTTTCAAATGTGTTCTAATTCACTCACGAAAACGAATGACTATAGAAATGCGAAAATAATATGAGAAAACAGCACTTGAAATATAATTTTATACGAAAAAGAATATTTTATACAGAAAAATAAATATATGGAAACGTTTTCAAAATGTGTTAAGAATTTCTATATACACTATTACTTTAATATCTTTCCAACAGAGCGCACTTTTTGAAAATCAAATTTATATCCTTACACTATGAGAGTTAAGATTACTTATTATCGTGACCTCCCGCCTTATTGGTAGTTAAAAGTAGTTTTAATTTATCAAGTATGCTTTTGTAATTACTATTCTATTTGACTTCAGTGGTAGAGAATTGGAGAATTCATCTCTATTCCCAGTTTCTTCCTTGTTTTTTAAGTTATATATAGATCAATAAATATGATTTTTACTCTCAAAATGCAATTTAATCATGAATTGTATATAAATAAAAAAATCAAATATTTATTTTCTTGAGGGAATATTTCTCAACCAAACTAATTCTAACTAACTACTAGACAGGAATTCCATGACTAGTGATTACTAGTTAATCATAATATCAATAAAAAAACAAAAAGAAAAAAGGGAGTTAACCTACTACTTAAGACTACTTGGCCAATACATCATTGTCCCATTGGAACGAAGGTTATCTTTTTCAATAAAATTAATACTGTGTTTAACAATAATTTTTTAAGTAGACGCTATTTAAAAAGCTGTTCGGTGATATACGTTTACACTATTTAGCTTTTAACATTTCATGAAAAATTATTCAAACAGCAGACAACTAAACACTACTAGAACAGTTAACAGTTACCAAAACAGTTAATTTTACGGAACGGATCCTAATATCAATTAATTCTTGATTTCTTATGTATATATTATTATGTGGAATGAAGTTATTTGTTCTCCTCGTACTTCTTTTTGGCATGTCTATGAATTAAAAAGGTTTTTAGAAAAAATACCAAAAATTTTAAAATTTTTAACTTATTTCTGTTTACAGCCAATATATATAGTGGGAAGTTAGACGCCAAAATTAATTTGAATCTTTGACAATTCATTTTCTCAAATTTGTTTTAAAAGTATAATCCCTATGGTTTTATCATGCATCATTATTATTAATTAAACATTTAAAATTGAAAAACAAACAAATGGCATCAAATATGAAATTAAATAAATATTTTATTTCATTGAATCATTGTCAATAAATATTTATATATCCGATCAACTTGGAAATAGAAATAAAAAAAAAAAAAAAGAATATAGCAACAAATTGATTTAATTAAATTTGGAAGGGTTTGTCATTTTCATGGCAATGTTTGATTTCTTGTAGTACAATTCTTTGTTTGGCACACCGTATGACATCAGTAATTATCCCCATTTTCCAAATTACGGCTAATTCCTTTCATATCTTCACGTATACAAATAACATTTTAAAATCTAGAAGAGAAGAAAACATCAATTTTGATGGCTAAATCTCTCAATCTATCGCTATATATACATATAGTCAACAAATGATTTCTAATTTTTCTATTTAGGTTTTCAATTTTTTACTATTAATTAGTGTTAGCCTTCGTTTGGAGCTAAAAAGTCTTATTTATCTCTTTTTTTTTTTTCTTGGTTAAGACATTAATGGTCTGTTTAGCGAAATTAACTATTTTGATAGCTGTTTAACTTGTTTTAGTAACGTTTAGTTGTTAGCTGTTTGAATAGTTTTTTGTAAAATGTTATATGAATTAATTTTTGACAAAACGTTATATTAACTTCTAAAAATTAATTCAAACACTATGCTATCGAATGCAGTCTAAATCTAAGATTTATCGATTTTGAACTCACTAATTTTACCCAAATATTACAAACTTCAATTCCCATAAGTAGTTTCATCTCTAAATTATTTAGAAGCCAGAATCCCTATTCCAATTTAATTCAAAATTAAAACTTTCATAAGGGTTTCTGTCCAAAACAAATCGATATTAGGGAGGTTTATTAGAAATGGATTCTTATTCTTCTTCTTCTTCTACCATGATTATCCAACCAAAAATCAAATACTAATCGATATGATAAATTGACTTTTTTCAAAAAAAAAAAAAAAGAAAAGAAAAGAAAATATCATATATTGACTTTCTTGATAAAACAAAATAAGAAATCAACATATTCAAGAGCTCTTTCATTGGAACAAGAATAAATAAGTTTAGAGAGTCTGATTATATCGAATTGGTTTTTTTTTTTTAAATATTAGAATTTGTGTGTATCGTATTAATAATAAGTTTACTTTTCTTTATTTTAATTTTCTTTTTGAAGAAAAATTTTTCATGTTTAATTAGACAAACACCTTCATTAGATCAAGGTTTCAATATATATATATATATATTAATTAATATTAAACTGTGTAAATTTTAAATATATGATATTGATATGTCTACTCAGAATAATGTTTTCCACGAGCACCTTTTTTAATAAATGGCAATCATTATATTATTTATTTTAATTAAAATTAATTGACTTATGGATAAATTAAAGAAATTAAAAGGCAGGTGAGGTGGGCTGGTACGATATGTTAATTTCTACTGTTGACGTTTATTAAGCATAAACAATTAGGTGATTAACTTTAGACCTAACAGAAATTAAAAAATTAATACAATTAAACCATGTGATTAGTTTTTATTTTCATTAATCTTTTTTTAAAATTTCAATTCTCAATTTTGTCCGGGCTGGCACTAGTGCACGCACGTCATATACACCCATCTTGTTTGAATTGTTTTTCAGTCTTTAGGATTTTTTTTTTTTTTTTTTTTGTGGCACGCACGTCATTACACCATCTTGTTTGAAATTGTTTTCAGTCTTTAGGCTTTTTTTTTTTTTTTTTTTTTTGTACAGTCTGAGAATTTTATTTCTTCATTTTCAAGAGAGCAAATTTGTAGCTCTTTTTTCCTCCAAGAGTTTTTTTTTTTTTTTTTTTTTTTTTTTTTTTTTTTTTTTTTTTTTTTTTTTTATCATGATCATTAGAGTTTGTTGGCATTAAAGTCGGGACATCATTTTAGGTAATATTGAAAAAGAAAATAACAATTTTGTTAATTTGTCTCAAATTTTTATGAAAATAATACAAAATTTGTAATTTAAAAATAATTTCGATAATCTTTAATTAATATTTTCAACTCAATTATGTATATATACATATATATATATATATATAACGTCTATAAACATATATATATATATATATAACGTCTATAAACATTTTATAAATTCTAAAATATAAGAAAGAAAGAACATCTTGAACACAGAGACATATTTGATTGAGTAGTTATAGTTAGTTATTGATAGTTTGTCATCAAGAGATATTGTTGATCATCAGAAAATTAAATGCTAAGGCTATGTTTGACGATAAATTTTTAAGCAATTTTTTTCATTTTGATTGTGCTATTTTTTATAGTTTTCGATAACATAGCGTTTGAACTAGTTTTTTTTATAAAAAAATTAACCCAGTAACGTTTAACTTTTAGCATTTTATGAAAAATTACTAAAACAACTAATATCTAACAAAAATAGATAATTTCGCCGAACAGACCCTAGTAGTTAGAAATATCAAATTTCAGCATTTTATTTATAATTTGGCACCTGTTAAATGCTAAACTTTGAAATGCTAAATTAACCACACTTAAAATTAACAAGTGATTTGAGAATCTAAATATCAAAAACTAATTCCCAATCTTTGATTCAAACAAACTGAGGGATGTAAATCCATGAGTTGTCTTTGTCTATTTGATTTGGTTGTCTGTAAAATTTTGTCCTGTGGTCCTTTTAACCTTTGCAAAGTAATGTTACTTGAATGTAATGATTCATGCTTGTCATACCCATTTTCATGATCTGATAAAAACAAGACAATAGGATTTGGATATAAGATATCCTCTTTGCGTTCACTTCAATAATTGAATTTACTTGATGGGTAGCTTTTCCTTTCACAATAAACATGAACTTGTTGCTCTATATTCAGAATTTGGAAATAATGAAAATCATCACAAGTTTGATTTTTTCTTTTACATCATCACCAAATACAAATGATAATTCTTTTGTTACCCTAAACATGTGGGGATGTAAATGAACCGAGCGGCTTTGCTTGTTTGAGCTCGGCTCAAAAAAAAAAATTTTTTTAATTTTGGTTCAAGTCTAATGATGTTCAGCTGGAAAACTCGTCAAGTTTTATTGAGCTTACGTATATATTAAACTTAAAATTTTTTTAAGTGAACTCAAGCCTCAAATCGAATTCAAGCTTAAAATTTTTAGACTCATTGAATTTCGCGAAACTAAATTTTATCGAACTGAATTTCAAGCATGCTAATAATATAGACCGGCATAATTATAATTATTGATGGATTTAAGAAAGAGCTCGAGAATTAGAAATAAGTATTAATTTAGTGATACTATTAAAGTTATCTTTAAAACGTATAGGTACGATTTATATTTTATGTGAAAATAACAAAGTACAAATGTCATATTAAATTCAAATAATTATTCATTTTAATAGATTTTCATTTATCCAAAAATAAATCATATAATAAAATACATTGGAATAATACGGTATGCACATTTTTCGTGCATTGTATTAGCGTACACTCAATACTCTTGTCGTGTATGCATTTCATGTTTCATGGCGTAATTTATTGCTTTAAGAACTTAAAAAAAAAAAAAAATAGTTGTTGTTAGCATCTCTCTTATCTTATTTTGACATTGACAAGTTAAATATTGTTCATTAGTGATAAGTTGATAACTAATGTCAATCATGGAGTACTTAATTACCAATTAAATGTTGTTATTATATAAATCCCAATCAACACATGGATTTGAACTCTTTATTTATTTAATTTTTTAGTCAATGAATGTTTAATCATTGAGGCTCTATAGAAAAAAAAAGTTTTTTAAATAACTTAAATATTTAGTTATAATATTAAAAAAGGGTTAAAATGAAAGATTTTAATTTATGACATTACAAAATTGTTTAGAATTATAAGTTTTTTTTCTCTTTTATTTATAATAAATTTACCAAATTAAGAAATAATAATAATTTCCTTTAATGACTTAATTTTCTATTTAACAAATATATATATTTTCGATATTTCTGACAGTTCTAGATATCAGAAAATTTGTTTTTTCAGGAGAATTTCCGAAACCAAATGTAGCCATATAATCACTTAACTACTATGGTGAGCATTTATTTGTAATTAATATCAAATTGTTATTATTATTATTATATTATCATTATTATTATTTTAATCAAAATCACAATCCTTTGACACGGTTTTGGAATTTAGGTTTTGGGACATAAATGACATAAAAAAATAAAGTTATCAAGCAAGAACCATTGTCCATGGCACTTTGTCAATATTATTAGAAAAAACAATTATAATCATTAAAAAATATTGAAAAAAGAATATTTCTTCTCCCAATTATACATTTTAATTGGATCCAACTATCCTACATTTTATGATTCTAATAAAAAAAAAGAAAAAAAGGGGTCAGATAAAATAACAATTGATTTTTAAATTTCATTGACACATAATTAATTCACAAAAGCATTTAAAAAATATGTACTGTTCTCTCTGACCTTTACAAACACTTATTCTGCTATTGATGGACTGTTCAACCAGCTTTATGGTTGTCCCATCCTCCTTGTCAACCATCAGACATTCAATGTCAAGTTGAATTTAATATCATGAGATGCTTTGACTTCTAGAACAAACAGTAGATGGATCATCCACATTCTCAATTTCCTGCATATAATAGTCACTGAAGCCAGAGCCTGTCTTTCCAAACTGTTGCACTTAGACTATGTTTTAGAAAATATTATATTCAGGTTCATGGTCACTAACCTGTTTCACCAATCACCAGTTATCGGTCCGAAACAATTCAGTGCAGCATGAATTGAGCTGGAGCATTTCTTCAGATTAGAAGACAGTTCTGACATTGTATCCTCCAGTTCTGGACTTCTTCTCCCACCTATGGCATTGGAAAAAGAAAACGCATCTGATTAGAATGGGGGGTTCCAAAGAATTATTTCTTACAGAAAAAGATAGTGCAAGAAACTAGTTGGTTAAAGCACAGTATAAACTATCCTCAATGTATGATATGTAATAGTCCATGCAAATGTATGTAGAATCAGTTGCCAACTTAAATTTGATTTGAGAAGCAAAACTAGCGTTTAGTTTATATTTTGTAAAATGGTGTTCTATAGTATTCCTTGTGGTGGCAAAACTTCAAAATTTTCCTGTCAAACTGAATTCTTTTGTTTTTAAGTTTTTACCTGCAGGTTGTTCCATATCCTGGTGAACGAATAGTCTACTCTTTGACACTGCATTGAAAATATTGACATGGAGATGGAATGAAAATGTTTCAGCTGAAAAATACAGGACGCAAGTTCCTCGCTTGTTTCTTACATATCAAAGGATACTCTTGTAATGACATCTAGTATTTATACACAAACGATGCAATTATCAACTGAGTGCCAGTTAAAATGAAGGCTTGATAACTCTCGTAATAACAACAGTTACATGCTTTAACAAATTGCAATTTTTTCTAATAGACATGACGTCAAAGTATTACAAGTCTCCTGAGCAATACATAAAGCTTATAATCTAAAAAACAAAAAGTCTTTCCTAGAAGGATAAGAGAAAAAAAGGGTAAGAGCAAAGCAGTAAGATTTATTCCTGGCACAAGAAGATGACTGCCTACAGTAACCTAACATCACTGGAGATTATCAGTAAAATTAATCATTATGTATCAGTATAAAATCAAAGAGAGTTGTACAGATTAATTATTAAAATGCAGAAAAGCAGCTCAAAGGGAAGTTACACAGATTTAAATCTCTGCGCCAATCAAGTCCAAGCATTTGACTTTATTTTTGTGCTGTCTAACAACAGTTTTAACATATAACCGTGTCCCAAGCATCAGTTCCATACAAAATCTATACCTTAGGTAATAATGGGGCTGCAGGCAAGATGGATAACTTCATCTCCTAGCTCAACATTATAGATGTGGTGCTATTCACAGACTGTTGCCAGTCGAGCATAACCAAAAAAAAAAAAACAACCATAATTTGAAACCTTAGCCAAGGGTTTCGTGGCAAAATCCAAGAAGGAGATGACTTTGTGAGTTTAACCAATGAAATCAGAATTCAGAAGTACCTTAATCAGTTAGACAACAAAAATTTTGGTTTTCGCAACGGCTCAGCTAGAAATGTATAATTATGTAACGAATTATATCAAAAAATAATTTTAACAAAATATAGAGAAAGGAAACAAAGCAAGTTAAAGGAATTAGCAACCTGATCTCTTGCATAATATCGTCAATTGAACTTGTCATGAAATATTTTCACAATCATTTTGACTATCTAAACATAAAGGCCACTCACTCAGACGTACTTAAACAGGTGGACTACAATTCAACATTAGCAATTCAAGCTATTTAGCAACAAGACTATTAATGCTGGCAACTCAATGAAAATCTCAATCTATTTAGCAATGCAAGCTAAAGAGAAACATTGAATTCATGGTGAGGAGATTTTTGGTTCGATCAATTGTAAAGCTGGTTATGCAACAAGACTAGCAATGCTGGCAATGAATTCCTCGGATAAGATAAGAACACCCGTGTAAGATAGCAACCCCTAACTCGGTGTCACTGAATTAGTTATAAGCATTATACCAGCTCCACCTTAGTGCCATGCATCAAGGAAAAAAACAAACAATTGAAGATAATTAGCCATCATAATTAGACACGGGCAATGGGTATACAGAGAAAGAGCATGACAGAACAAGTTTACCAACAAACGTAAGGACACAAGGAGGAGATGTGCAAGGGAACTGCAGATCCAAAAGGAAAAAGAAAAAAGACAGGGAAGTGTTGCAAACCTTAATATGAACAAGGTTAGAGTTTCATAATTTCTTGCTCCCTCTGAAGCTCATGCTCTTGCGTTTCTCATTTAGTGCAAAACGTCTTGCCATAGAAGGATTATAAAACCTCCTCATGTGCTCTGAAAGTTTGTGGATGGCTCGGAGATCACCAATTGCTGAAAGCTGCATCAGAAAGGAGTCGAACATTTTATATGGCAATTTCATTCCCTTATTTGCAACATCTTCTATCAGGAGACATGCATCCTCTACTTTATTGCATCTGAAAAGCCCATCAATCATCACAGAATAAGTATCAACGTCCTGAGGGCAGTCTCTCTTATACATCTCATGCCAAGTCTCAAAGGCCCCATCGGGATCACCCATCTCAAAAAACATGGAAATCAACATATTATAAGTCTGCACACTAGGCAAACAACCCACCTCAATCATTATACCATAAAGCCTCAATGCTTCATCACTCATCTTATTTTCACAAAGAACCTTTAGGAAGCAATTGTAAGTAACTATATCAGGAGGATAACCTTTGTTTCCCATCTCTAGCAAAAATCTATAAGCTTCATCAATCTTTCCAGCCAAACACATTCCTTCTATCAATTCTTCGTAGGTAGAAACATCTGGGAGGCAACCGCTGCTTATCATATCCTCCACAAGCTTAAAGCACTCATCCATTTTATTGTTCTGGGCAAGTGCTATGATCATGATTGCATAAGTTTTTGCAGTTGGAGCAGAAATAGTCGAACCTTGGGTTCTCATAAACTCAAAAAGTTTAGCTGCCTCTGTCACCATCCCTATTCTACAGTATGTATCAATGGCAGCAATGTATGTAAAATTATCAGGTGTATGACCTAGTTGGATCATTTCCTCCAAAACCTTCATTCCTTTAGTTGGGTTCTTAACTCTACACCATCCAAAAAACAATATGTTATATGTATTAGCATCAGGCTTCACCATGTTCTTCATCCTTTTAAACATTGCTTCAGCATCTTCAACCAGACAACACTTGCATAAAGCATCTAATAGCAAGTTAAAAGCATTTATTTCTGGCTGTGTCTTAACCCTTATCTTCTTCTTCTTGGCAAATTTCTGAACATGAGTCAGGTACTTTTGGGTGTAGTTTCTCAAAATGGTAACCAAAATCTCAACAGGAACAACATTCTTGTTACTCCTCTTCATATAATCAAGGATATCACGAACTATTCGAAACTGCTTCACCTTATATTTCGTACTAGAGAGAATATCAATCATTTCATTATATGCACAAGGTTCATGGGCATAATTTTGTTGACGTCCTGCCCACATAAAGAACCTAAAAGCAATTTTTTCCTCCAAATGAAGCCTACGGAGTATCTCAACTACCAAATCAGTAGTTAATTCTAACCGAAGCTGGTTAAGGGCTTTTTCCATATCAATAGAGCTATCCATTATAGTTGCATAAACTTTATCAGCATAACTATCTCTAACATCAACTCTCGTATCAAATTCTTGTGAAGCAGTCATAGAACAATAAGAGCGACTGGCAGTAAAAGAAGTAGACAAACCTAAGAGAAGTGCTGAATTTGGCAAATTTAAACAAGATAATCCAGGAAACAGCTTGATTTTTGGAGTATGAGAAAAAGATAAATTCACATTTCTATATATAATCGTACTGCACAAAGAAGTATAAGAACAACAAGGAAGAGTATGATTTCTTTTGACAGAAAATATATATGCACAAACTCTCTTCATTTCTATCAGATTGAAAACCGGCTAATTCTTAAAGCTTATGGAGAAAAATTAATTTTCTTGAGTAACTGAATTTAGGTGGTAATTAACAAGATGTGCAATTCGAAATACCGGATGGAAAAAGGAACGGCGGCGGAGGCGCCTCTTTCCTGTCGAGTTCGCAGGACGATTGGCCGGAAGTTGCAGAGAGCAAACCACAGAGCTTGCTAATGTTATGCTCTTCTCTGTTTTTGTACAAACAATTTATTTTTTCCTCATTTTGGGCCAGTTTTATAGCCTAAACCCAAACGGACCAATGAGTTCGTTAATGAAATTGGGCCGGATTGTATTAAATCTTGATGAAATTGTGAAGAAACTATGCAGTTAATAAATTTTATACCAGTACACAACAAAGGAAGAGTATAGCACTCTCTCGCTTTTCTCGTCACAGAAAAATACCTAAAATGCACTAAAATAACTCTTCTTCTTTCTATCAGTATTGAAAACGCGGCAATTCTTAAGCTTATGGATGAGAGAAATTAAGTTTCCTCCGTTCGTCGAGTGATATGGAATTTAAGGCATGTGTAAATCTATAGCAAGAAAAATGTAAGCACACTCACATAGAAAGAAATAGACCTAAGGATGGAAAAAAGGATATCGGGGACGGAGGCGCCTCTTTCCTGTCGAGTTTGTTCATGCTTAATGGAGAGATTGGAGGCTCACTGAGAGGAGTAGTGCAGAGTAAGCACCACACACCAACAGAGAAGTGCATCAGTTTACCTCGCCTTCTTCTCTGTTTTTAGAGAGTATATAACAACACAATTTATTTATTTTCTTACATTTTGGTGCCAAGTTTTTAATAAGCCTAGTAATCCCAAGCACTGGTATCCACACAGTGATGTTCTCGTCTAAATGAAATTTGGGCCGGTTGATATTAAATCTTGATGAAATTGTGAAGAAACTATGCAGTTAATAAATTTTAATATATAGTAACTATATTATAATATATTCAAAAAAATAAATTATATGCGCCTCCTAAAAGATAACTTTGTACATGATTTAAAATTTCTAAATCTGTACTATATATATGCTCCTAAAGATAACTTTGTAATTTTAAAATTTCTAAATTGTACTATAAAAATATATAGTTTAAAGTGAAATAGAATTAGAGCAAAAAATTTATTCCGTTAAGTGGCATAACAAAGTTATTCTCTATAGTTTATTATTATAATTTTTTTTAAAATAAATTAATTATTCTTATGGTCACGAAATCGCTTATCGCCTTAATCAAAATCTTATTAATAAACTCAATTTATTTATTAAATGAATTCACTATATATTTTAAACTCATAAGAGTTCGGATGAGTTCTTTCCGAAGTTATACTCAGGAAAAAAAAAATCATGAAAAAGTTTTGGCAACTTCCTTTGGAAAAAAAAAAAAAAAAAAAAATTTATGGCGGAACTTCCTTTGGAAAAAAAAAAATAAAAAAAAAGGAAAACTACACTAAAGCCTTTTATAGTAATTTTGGATAAAGGGCCTCTAGTGATTTATATTAAAAATTAACGAACCTCAACAGTAAAAAAAAAAAAAAAAAAAAAGGAAAACTACACTAAAGCCTTTATAGTATTTTGGATAAAGGGCCTCTTAGTGAATTTATATTAAAAATTAAGAACCTCACAGTAATTTATTAAAAAAAATGCTAATTATAGGGATCCAACTATATATATATATATATATTTTTTTTGAAAAGAACCGACTATATTTTATTAGAAAGGAAAAATCCAACCTGAACACGTGGCATTCTCGAGAACGGATTATCCTCATGTCCAAAAATCCTCCACACGCCAATCATTTAGTGGCTCATATGATCCTAACGTGCATGGCAAAATCCACCGGGGATAAGTTGTCTGTGTGTGGCATACACACACAAAATGCTAGAAGCCCATTATGTGAACTGAACTCATTTCCAATGGCAATTTCCAATTCTCCAGATTGGTCAGTAGCTTCCATTTATTCTTGCAGAAAACCCTATAATAATAAAATCATCATCTTTACTCCTTCATGTAAAACCCTTCCCTTCCTCACTCTTGCAATTTCCAAATTTTCCCTTTTTCGAACCCTCTCTTCCAGTTGCCCATCTCCAATCTTGGAAAACCCATCTACAAATTTTCCACTAACTCAATTAGATTTGAAAACTCAGGATTCTCAAGAATATAAAGTACCAGATTCAGAGAATTTAAATGATTTCTTGTGTAGAATCTTGCAAGATCCGAGAACTGAAAACCTAGCTTATGAATATTACAAGAAAGCAAAGGAAAGTCAAGAATTTACACCAGAAAAATCAATGCTAAAGCTTCTAATAAGGTACTCGATAAAATCAAAGAATTGGGATTTCATTTTATCTGTCTTGGATGATTTCAGGAAATACAATGTGTTTCCTGATAGTTATACTTGTTCCAAACTAGTTAGTAGCTGTATTAAAGCTAGAAAATTCAGAATTGTAGAATCTTTACTTGAAATTTTCAAATCTCACAGTAAAATTGCTGTCTTGGCTTTTGATTCAGCTATGAAAGGCTATAATAAGCTACATATGTACGGTAGCACGATTCCGGTATATGAGAAAATGAAATTAGCAGGCATTTTTATGGATTCTGGGGGTTATTGTCAGATAATGAAGGCATACCAGAAAATTGGTGATACAGAGAGGGTTCTTGCATTGTTCAATGAATTTGAAAGCAGAAAATTCGAAAATTCAAGAACAAGTCTAATCCAAATTTATAGGATTTTATGCGAGTCATTGGGGAAATCAGGTAGAGCTTTTGAAGCTCTTGAATATTTTAGGGATATGGGAAAGAAAGGGATTTTTGGGGATTCTCGAATTTACTCTTCTTTAATATGCTCATTTGCAAGCATTAGAGAGATAAATGTAGCTGAAGACCTATTTAAAGAAGCTGAAAAGAATAAAATGTTAAGAGATCCAGAAATTTTCTTGAAACTTATTTTGATGTATGTAGAAGAAGGGTTAATAGAGGAGATTCTTGAGATTGTTAAAGCAATGAAGCGTGTAAAAATGAGGATGTCTGATTGCATATTCTGTGCAATTGTTAATGGGTTTGCAAGAAGGAGAGGGTTTCGCGCAGCTGTAAGAGTGTATGAGGAGTTGAAATCTGATGACTGTGAACCAGGACAGGTGACCTATGCTTCAATTATAAATGCATATTGTCGAGTTGGTTTATATTCTAAAGCTGAAATAGTGTTCTTGGAAATGCAAGAAAAAGGGTTTGATAAATGTGTTGTTGCATATTCTAGCATAATTGCTATGTATGGTAAGACAGGCAGGCTAAGAGATGCAATGAGGCTTGTGGCAAAGATGAAAGTAAATGGCTGTGAACCGAATGTCTGGATATACAATTCTCTATTGGATATGCATGGAAGAGTCAAGAACTTGAGGCAGGTAGAGAAGCTATGGAAAGAAATGAAGAGAAGGAAAATCGCCCCGGATAAAGTTACTTACACTAGTGTTATTAGTGCTTACAATAAGGTGAAGGAGTTCGATACGTGTGTGAGTTACTACCATGAGTATAGAATCAATGGAGGTGCAATTGACAAAGCTATGGCAGGAATCATGGTTGGAGTTTTCTCTAAAATTGGTCGAATCGATGAATTGTTGAGACTTCTTCATGATATGAAAATAGAAGGGACTCCATTAGATGGGAGGCTTTATCGGTCTGCTTTCAATGCATTGAGGGATGCAGGGCTACAAATGCAAGCCAAATGGTTGCAGGAAAGCTTTGAGGCATTGCAATGTACATGATATCTATAGTATAGCCAATTAGAACTGCTATTTTTAAGGCAATGGAAAGGTGAGAAATATGTACATGTTCTAACATGAGGCTTTCAATGCTAGATGCCTTTGTTTAAGTAGTAGTTGTATAACTTGTGTTTCTCCTTTGGTTTTTCCTACCAAAAATTCAATGGAGCTTCATGTGTTGTCTATATTCTGTAAATACATGTTCATGTGTGTATATATGCAAATTTTATATTTTTTTATCATTAATAATTTGGCATAAGACTAAAATCTGAGCTCGTCTGCTCACATAGTTGAAATTTGATTAAGTGTCCAAATGTTGCAACTAAAAATCAAAAGTAGCAAATTAAAAGTGAACGGGAATGAATAAAATTGGTGGGTTGACATAGATTGTATGCTATGTAAACTTGAGATTAAAAACTGTCTTTTGAAACCATAACCCTAATCCTAAATTCCACGCACTCTGCCATTACGCTATGGGCCCATTGTTGTATAACTTTGCGAGCGTCATTTCTTTATTGGGCTAATCTCGGCCTTTTGGGCTAAAGGTCGTGTTGACTGGCTTTTGCTTAAGAGTGTCCATTCTTTGTTTTTTTATTCTAATTTACAGAGTGTTTAACAACAATGATACAATATTTTTTTTATAATTTATTAAATAGTTCGTTAAATTAAAACTTGATACAGTCATAATATAAAATTCATTTGAAATTTCATATTTTAATTTTATGGAGCTAATAGTTTTCTCAATAAGTAATTTTTTTCCTTTGTAACCTTTTTTTTAATTAAGATGGGAGGCATAGACTGTTGATGAGGTAAGGAGGAATTTTTGACCATTTTGAAGTTTTATCCAAAACAAAACGGCAATTTTGTTTTACTACCATAATTGAGTTTGAATTCTTCACTAACAAACAGCATAACGGCCTACTGGTACTTGCATGCAGACGCACGTTTCTATTAGAATCATCATTTATTAGCAAAAGGACTTGGAAATTAATGAATGCTACAACTATAAACATGCACGTGTTCAATTAATTATCAAGGTTTAGGTGAGTCTGATCTCGTCTTTTCAACTCTTTCGTTTTTCTTATTTTAGCAGCTCGTTTTTCAACTTCAATCACTTAAAATAGTTCTAGTTGGCAATTTTCCTGTATATATATATATCTTCAAAATAAATACCTTCTATAACTATATCATCTAATATAAATAGTAAAAATGAAAATTTTTTTAACCAATTAGGATTGATTTTTTTGGAAAAACTTTAAAATATTAATAACGTCTTTTATACATAAAATCAATGTAAAAGTATTTTCTTAAAATCATCTGATAGTATTTTTTATTTTAAATTCTAGTTCCATTGCTAACTTTGAGTTTGATTTAGCTATTTTTTATTTTAAGCGAATTTTAAAGTTTAGAATTGATTTAATGTGAAGTGGGTTAGGTGACAAGCCAATGTAGCAGCCCATTGCATAGTTAGGACATCCTATCGCTATGCTCGCGTCCAAATTTGTATAGTACCCATAGTGTTTGTTGGATTTATTTTTCCTAATGATATTTCTCCTTTCAAAAAAAAAAAAATAAATAAATAACCTGGATAACAAATTTAATCATGTTGTATGAAAATTATTGATTTGTACTAAAAATATATATATTATAAGCAAAAGGTTTATAAATTTTTCACAAAGAATATTGTATTACAACTATTGGCAATAGTAATAAAAACAATTTAAAAAATTACCCTTTTTAGCATTTTGGTAAGGGTAATTTTAATATAAACAAGGTTTACATTTTTTTTTAACCCTAATTAATGCCCATTTTTGGATGGATAGATTAAAACTGAATTGTATAATAACAACCTGTCATTCTACTGTTATTCATAACAACGTTAGGAGGAGATGATAAAATTTTGCAATACGTGGAAAAAATTCACTTATGTAATTTAGGAGTAATATGCAATTAAAAAAAAAAAAAAAAAAAACATTCCAGGAAACTGTTATTCATAACAACGTTAGGTAGGAGGATGATAAAATTTTGCAATAGCCGTGGAAAAAATCAACTTATGTAATTTAGGAGTAATAATGCAATTAAAAAAAAAAAAAAAAACTTAATAAAAAAAAAAAAAAAAAAAAACTCTATTAACGAGTAAGTTTTAAAGAAAAAACTCGTAAATTTTACTTACAACAGGTATATAAAGCCTATAAGCCAATATGATAAGAATATATATAAAAAAAAAAATCATCAATATTTTGTTTTCATTAAGAAAAAAATGACAAGAATATTTTATTTTAAAAATACGTTTCAACTATTCATTAATTGTATAAAATATAAGCATACAAGAATCTTACTTATCCAAATTGTTTTGCGTTCACAATCGTATATGGAAAATTTTAATTTAATTAATAAATAATTTTCAAAAAAAAGAAAAATTAGAGGCAGCAAATTTGAACATTGGCTTGGTGGCTGGCTATTGGCAGCGTAGAATAGACCAGTGAAGACAATATGTGCGCTCGTGTCGCGTATATAAGGTGAGTATCACCTTGCTTTCTTCTTCATCTTCTACCATTCTTTTCCCTTTTCTTTTTCTTCTTTAAAACCGACATCCATTATTTTACATACAGAAAACTGTTCAATTTTTAAGAAAACAAAGCAACAAGAAGTTAATAGCAACTTCGATTATCAACAGGCAAAATGTTTAGATCCCCATCAAAAGCAGCAGCTTTCATGTTTATGTTGCTGTTATTGAATATTGCCTGCGAGGCTACACTTAACTCTAAGTATTACAAAAAAACATGTCCAAAAGCACTTACTACCATTCGAACTTCCATAAGAAGCGCTATTGCTCGAGAACGAAGAATGGCTGCATCTCTCATTCGTCTCCACTTTCATGATTGCTTTGTTCAGGGTTGTGATGCCTCAATTTTACTCGACGAAACCTCCACTGTAGAGAGTGAAAAGACTGCACTTCCAAATTTCCAGTCTGCAAGAGGCTATGAAGTTATTGACAAAGCCAAATCTGAATTAGAAAAAATTTGTCCTGGTGTTGTTTCCTGTGCTGATATTCTCGCCGTAGCAGCAAGAGATGCCTCTGCATATGTAAGTACATATATATATATATATTTCAATAAATAATATATAATTTATATTCATTGATCAGTGACATTGATATATATATAATTAAAAACTATCAGGTGGGAGGTCCATCTTGGACAGTATTGCTCGGAAGAAGAGATTCAAAAACTGCAAGCAGAACAAAAGCCAATCAAGAACTTCCTAGTTTTAGAGACAGTTTAGACAGGCTTATATCTCGCTTTCAGAGTAAAGGTCTTACTGCAAGGGATATGGTTGCTTTGTCAGGTCTGAACCATTAATTATTTTCATATTGTACTTCAAAATTTTAATTAAATGCTAATAATACAAGTATTAATTAGTTTCTGGAAATTGCAGGCTCTCATACATTAGGGCAAGCTCAATGCACTACTTTCCGCGACAGAATATACAGTAACAGCACAAACATTGAAGCTGGATTCGCAAGGAAGCGCAGGAATCGTTGTCCTGCTGTTGGCGGCGATGCAAATTTGGCTCCACTCGATTTGGTTACACCTAACTCTTTTGACAATAACTATTTCAAGAACTTGGTACAAAAGAAAGGTCTTCTCCAATCTGATCAGGTCCTTTTCAGCGGTGGTTCTACAGATAGAATTGTTTCAGAATATAGTAAGAACCGTGCAACTTTCAACTCCGATTTCGCATCTGCTATGGTTAAGATGGGGAATATAAAACCTCTAATTGGAAAAGCTGGACAAATAAGGAGGATTTGCAGTGCTGTCAATTAGTTTCTGTGATTGATGCTTCATTTTTGTTAAAATTTGATTTCAGATCAAGTTATTTGAAATTTTTCTTTTTTGTGTCTTTTTTTTTTTTTTTTTTTTTTTTAAGATTGGGCGAATAATATAGAACCTTCTTGTAATTGGAAAGGCATGGACAAATAAGGAGGAATTTGCAGTGTATGTGCTGGTCAATTTAAGATTTCTCGTGATTGATACTGTGCCTTGCATTTTGTTAAAATTGATTTCAGATCAAGTTAATTTTGAAAATTTTTTCTTTTTTTGTCTTTTTTTTTTTTTTTTTTTTTTTTATGTTTCTTGATCTAAGTGTAAGATAAAATGTGCTTTTAATGTGTGTATGTAATTCGTAGGAGTTGTGTTGTGCAAGGTAATGAATTATTAGATGCCTGTGGAAATTTCAGGTAAATAAATTTAACTTGATTTAGTCAAAATTTATCTAGCTTTTCCTAATTATTCATTTCTCGTTCCAAGTATTATTTTGCATAGCATTAAAAATAAAGTCAGGTAGAGTGTTTTTTTTTTTTTTTTTTTTTTTATGTTTCTTGATCAAGTGTAAGATAAATGTCTTTTATGTGTGTAGTAATGTAATTGTTTTCAATAATGAAATTTTAATGCCTGAAAATTTCAGGTAAATAAATTTACTGATATATCAAAAATTTACAGCTTATCTAATTATTCATTCCTCGTTCCAAGTATTATTTTGCATAGCATTAAAAATAAAGCAGGTAGAGGTGTTGAACTGTTGATATAAGCTGTCCAAAAATTGAGGACCTGTTCTATTAAGACTGCTTTAAGTAAATGAAAGAATGCTGTAACTTTTTGAGTTTACTGCTCATTTATTTGTCTTAACCTTTTATTTATGGGAATAAATCCAAGAGAGAAAGAATTTTAATCCACCTAGTTTGAGTATTCTTGGATTTTGTATGCATATTATTTCTTTCATGGCTGCTTTCCTTATTCCATGCTTAACCAAAGACCGGTTTTATTTGGACAAATCATTTGATTTGATCAACTTGTTTTATGCCTGATTAAGCTGTTTTTTTTCCTAATCAAAATGTTATTTACTTGGGTAAAATATTTGGAGGACAAAATTATTTGGAGGCCATGCTGTGAAATTAAAAAAAAAAGACAATTTGTGTACTATTTACAAGAAGATTAAAAAAAATTTGGAGGAGTCATGGCCTCTTTAGCCTTGAGAAAGTCCGTCAATGGTTAGGTACGAGACAAAATACTTATAAAAAATGAAAATTCAAAATTCAAAACGACATATTCAAAAAAATATAAACATATTCATTGAATCCAAAAAATTAAAACAAGACAGCTTCAATTTTATCCTCAAAGAGTAAAGAAAGAATAAATTGGGCACATAAATTATATATATAAAAAAAAAACAATAATTAATCCAATACGCATAGTAGAATGTTTTTGTTCTGTTTGTTAGTCAATTAGTTGTTTTCATTTCCTTTTTTTTCAATTATAGTGAATTTCCTTAATTAACTCGTGAATTTAATTCAATTGAATAAAGATGATAACTTGAAAATGTTCATTAAAAACTACAAAAAAAAAAAAAAATTATTTAGGGGAAATTAAATTTTACTTGTCAATGAAAGCAACTTACATTAATTTGTCTGTAAGTATATAAAAAAATAATTTTTCTAAATTATATTTTATTAAATATTTGCAAACTTATTCTGCTAAACAATAAATATAACTATCTTCAAAAAGAAAAAAGAAAAAACAACAAACATATATACGTTTTGTCGTTGAATAGCTATCGTATTTATAACACGACAGAGGAAAAAACAATACTGTTGAATGCTAATTACAGTTTATATGTGGAATAATGCACATGGAAAATTAGAGTATTAGGTAAGGCCATTCTTCACCAAATCTTTTTTCAAACTTCACCTAATAAAATTCTTGACGGAATATTTTCGAAGAAGCACCACAAGTAAAAGGTTTGGAATTTTAATTATTATTAATTAAGATTAACAAATTTAATGATCAGTGTCCTCAAGGTAACATCTTGTTTTGTCCAATTAGGTGCATAATCTAAGATTAATTAAGCAGAAAAAACAAAACTTAAGTGGCTACTCAGGCTATAACTATTTATTTATTTATTAATTTATTTATTTTTGAGAAGAATGATCGAAGCTATTCTTACAATTAACAATAAACAATTAAAAATTTAATGGCATAGAAATCTTTTTATTTCTTATTTAAATTGTTACGTTATGGGTATTTTTAATTAAAATTATTTATTTCTTGATAAATAAATTATTGAATATTTTTATTTTTAAACCATAGGGAAAAGGATTTAAACCTTATTGCTAGACTATATCTACATTTACATTAAAAAAAATTATTGATTTATTCTAACATGAAAAATGTTATGTATGTATATTTCTCTTTGTTAGATTTTAATTTTTATCAGATATGCTCTTTTTAAAGTTTACATTGATTTTAAATGATTTATAAATTTTTCTTAATTTATTTTTGATAGTTGTGATTTTAAAAATATTTTTATGTTTAATTATTTTTTACTCGAGGAGGGCAAGGATCGATCAAAGAGCAAAAGCCCAACTAGGTCTCCACTTCCTTTAGCCCAAAACTATTAAAAAGCGGACATATCAGGTTCGTTTTGGCTTTTGGGCTCCGAATTGTACGATGCACCTGCTATGAGTACATATGCATATTATTGGTAGAGGTTGCATCTACTGCTTTTAGAGTTACGATGCAATAGATGAAACCTCCGCCAAACATTCACGTGGAATTAATCCTAAATAATTTCATATAAATCTCTTCTACCTTTGAATTCATGATGCACTGAATATAATATATATTAGAAAATTGTTTAAAAATTAACAAATTTATCAAATTGTGCCACTATCCAGTCCAATCCAATTAAAAAAAAAAAAAAAAAAAAAAACCAGATCCAATTAAAAAAAAAAAAAAAAGAGAGAAGAAATCGTTATTAAATTTTGAATTCACGCGTGTTAATAAATGTTTTATTGAAAAAAAAAAAAAAAAAGAGAGAAGAATCGTAATAATTGAATTCACGCTGTTATAAATTTTTATTTAGAGTTTGAACTATAAATGGATCAAATCACTCACGTCGTTTAAAATTCAATTTATAAAATTCATGTTTTTATTAATTTAGTCTATAAATTGAATTATGAAATTGGTTTAAATAAGTTTATCTCAAGTCAAAATTACGTAGCAGCAAAGTACTACTTCAACTTGATTAATTTTTTAGCATACAGTCTGCAGCCATTATTTATAAGATAATACAGAGGTGTAACGTATTTTCGTGACCTTTTTGACAATTGGTACTCAAATTATAAAAAAACAATATATATATGATCGAGTCAGTTGCGTTCATACCCTATTTAGGTGATCAATGTTGAACAGCGGCTAACGCGTAATGGCTGGATGAATTGACCGCTGAGGCGCTGACATTTGTTCAGCATATGATTGCATGGATAGTTTACTAATGCCTATTCCAATTATTGCACTTCAATTTCAGAATTTTTATGAATTGATCCTTTCAAAAACTGGAGGATCAGCTCATTTTCTTTCTTAAATTTCTTTTTAGTTAATTTTTATATCTTTTTTCCTTTTTTTTCTTAGCAACGCATAAAATGAATTCGAATATAGATCTATTATCAGGTCGTATATACACTTATCAATAAGTTATATTTTGATGTGCTACTTAAATGAAACTTTTACAAAATCAAAATAATATTAATTATTTTATTTTAATATTATCTTTTTCTAGATATTTCCACTAATTTTTTTAATTATAAAGAATTAATTAAAAGTTATTTAGTCAATCACTTTTATTTTTTTCTAGAATTAAAGTAGTTTAATTACTATTTTAATTCTTATGAAAAGTCAAAAATATCAAAATTAACGGAATCGATACCGTTATTCTCACTTTGGCTATATGAAATTCTTTTTCTTTTTTTTAATTTTTTCATTAGTATTTTTCACTTTTTAATATGAGAATAATTTCATTTTGAGTTCATAGCGCTCATTTCCTTATATTTTTAGAAACCGGATTAATATATGTGTCTTATCACTTAAAATACCTTTTAAACCAATTTTTTTTTTATAATTTTACTAAACTGAGGGTGGGACCATAATAATAAAATTATTTAATAAGACACAATGTGGTGACTATTGGTGGTCCGTGGGAAAGTGATGGTACGGTTTTGGACGTTAGAATGTGTAGTTTTAATTTTTAATTTTTAATTTTTTTTATCATTCATTTTCAAATTAGATTTCAAAATTGTAAAAAGAGACGTTAAAATAGAAACAAGATGTCAACTGTTCCCCCAACACTTTCATTATCTTATATTCTTACTCCAGCCAAAAATTAAGAGATTTAAAATATATATATATATATATATATTCCAGCCAAAAATTTAGAGATTTTAAAAATATATATAATATATATATTTATAATATATATATATACTATATTATATATCTATATATATATATATATTATATTCTGATTTGAATTAAGTTTAGGTCAAGTTTTGGTAATACCGTGGAATGAATTGTTCAATGTAAGCTTTGTACCATTAGTCAACGTGTATATATTTATGTATGTTATAAAATTAAAATACAAATTTACAGCATGTACTACATATTTTATACCGTTGACGTAGCAGCAATCACAAAAATGGAGGTTCCTACAAGCATTAGCAAGATGGCAAAGGGTTAGGAATCCTGGGTCATACGCAAGCAACTTTCACAGATTCCTACGGCGTAATGGACCCAAAGAAAGGAGACCAAAGCGCCTACTGGTGCGTGACCTTCTTGATTGATTAATTAGTCAATTTGGTAATAACTGAATGATTTCAATTGATAACTTTTACATTATCAACTTATATATTTATTATTAATAAAATTAAAATAAAATTTACAGCTGTACTACATATTTTTATACCTTTGACTAGAGCAATCACAAAAATGGAGGTTCCTCCAAAAGCATAAGCAAGTGGAAAGGTAGGATTCGGTCATAGCAAGCAACTCACAGATCCTACGCGTAATGGACCCAAAGAAAGAGACAAAGCCCTACTGGGCTGACCTTCTTCTCTATATAAGCTGAGGGAGGATTTCCTTTCTTCTCCATCTTCACTATCAGTTCTGCATTCTTTAGCCTTCAAAAGCTTGGGGTTTTGTTGATTTGTTGCTAAAAAGTTAAAGTTTTCTTTTACCTGAAGTTCTTTTTGAAAAAGAAATGGCAATGACTCGAGTTCATAACGTTTTGATGTTGGTGTTGCTGCTGTTGAACACTGCATGCAATGCTCAACTAATCTCTACATTTTACGATAGTTCATGTCCAAATGCTCTCAGTACAATACGAACTTCTATCAGAAATTCAATTGCACGTGAACGGAGAATGGCTGCTTCTCTTATTCGTCTCCATTTTCATGATTGCTTTGTTCAGGTACCTACTCTAAACTCTCAAGTTGGTTTGTGTGTGTGTGTGTATATATATATCTCATGGATTCTCGTTCTGTAGGGCTGTGATGCCTCAGTTTTACTGGATGAGACTTCAACTATCGAGAGTGAAAAGACTGCACTGCCTAATTTCCAGTCTGCTAGAGGTTATGATATAATTGAGAAAGCAAAGGCTGAAGTAGAGAAAACATGTCCTGGTGTTGTTTCTTGTGCTGATATTCTTGCTGTAGCAGCAAAAGAGGCATCTTCATATGTATGTATTAATACCTGCTTCAATCTATTCTTAAGTTAATTGTATCAGAATCCAGTTTACAAAAGAAAAATTGCAGTAGTTCACTAATTATACATTTATTCTGAAAAATGTCAGGTGGGTGGTCCTTCTTGGACAGTATTGCTTGGAAGAAGAGACTCAACAACAGCTAGTCGAACTCTAGCAAATACTGAACTTCCTAGTTTTAAAGAAGGACTTGACAGTCTTATTTCTCGCTTTCAAAGTAAAGGCCTTGGTGCAAGGGATATGGTTGCTTTGTCAGGTAATTAATTAATTGATTAATCAGCAAACTAACTTAGTTAATATGTTTATTTAGCAAAATCATTCATTCTTGGCTTCTATATCATTGCAGGTTCTCACACCATAGGTCAAGCTCAATGCTTTACATTCCGCGATAGGATTTACAACAATGGGACTGATATCGATGCTGGATTTGCTAGCACGCGCCGCCGTTCTTGTCCAGCTGCCGGACTTGGCGGAGATGCAAATTTGGCTGCACTTGATTTGGTTACTCCAAATTCTTTTGACAACAATTATTTCAAGAACTTAATGCAAAAGAAAGGTCTTCTTGAATCAGATCAAGTACTGTTCAGTGGAGGATCTACAGATAGCATTGTTTCGGAATATAGCAGGAGTCCTGCAACTTTCAGTGCTGATTTTGCTTCTGCTATGGTTAAAATGGGAAATATTGATCCTCTAACTGGAACTGCTGGACAAATAAGGAGGATTTGCACTGCTGTTAACTAATCTATATACATATTTCCAAAAATTGCACCTTCAAGTTTCTGTTTCATAATTAATTAAATATATTGTATATGCATGTACTTTTGTTTCATGTTTCCTACAATTAATTTGTCATCAACTGTAAAGAAAATATATGTTTTTTTTTTCATTTATTCACTATTATTTGTAATTCATTTCATTAATTTATTTATTTTCCGCATTCAAGTCTCCCTTTAAATATATACCTCTAATCTAATTGCACTTTTTTGTTGATTATATATATATATATATTGTTTAAAATTAGCAATTTTATCTAATTGCACCATCATCGAGAGAGCTTTGACGCTGTCTAGCCTTGCTGCGGCTTCAGCTTCAAAGTTCTACCGCAAAATATTAATAACCCGCAACTGTAATTTATATCACCACCTTCTGACTATTTCTTATTCACACTCTATATTGGTCTATGTTGAATAGTGGATGGACTTACCATTTGAAAAAAAGATAAATAAATAAATAAATTAGTATTATAATTCTACTTACTAGATATTTTGTTATGTATTGAAAATAAAATTTTATACTTCGTACTTTTTTATTTTCAAAAATTAAAAAAATTTAATTGCTTGCTTTAATACCTAAACCTGTTTAACACTAAAAAATTACTATTACATTTTCACTAATTAGTGTTCTTCTTGATTCTTGATGCAAAATATATTATTGTAAAATTTGGTATTGACAATAGTAAGGACAAACTGAGCGGCTTAGCCTAACTCTTGTCGTCATGATTGTCAAAAGAACTACAAACGACTGGTCGTAAAAGATAAGTTACTGGCGCACGGTGAAAAATGCAGGATAGTGAAACTAATCGAGGAACTAGTGTGCAGAGCAGAAAATTTTTACTGAATATGTATTCTCTCCTCTCTTTCCTTTACCATGTTCGAATCCTTTGAATATAGAGGGATAAAATTACTAACAAAAGGCCGAGAAGCTACAACTACAAGCCTAACAGGTTTGACCACGAACACTTCTATGTTAAAAACTTAAGCTCTCATAGTTAATTACGCAAACATTATCTGTTTAATCTTTTAATTTCGTATTAGTGGATGTGAAGCAAAATTAACTTATCAATTAATTACTAGGTCATCTTGGCCTTGAATATTTATTTTTATTTTTTATTTTGTCATGCATTAGGAGATGTATTCAGCGATTATCCAAACTCGATATGCAGTCTATTTTCACGGATTCCAACTGTCTGTTTGATTATCGAGTTGAAAGCTTTACCATTTGCATCCAGAAATGAAAACCCGGAACAAGGAGAATAGAATATGATTTGGTCGTAACAATAATATTATAAAAGACTGACAGCGCCTACGCGTATAGTTTCTTTGAGTTGAAAGACTGGGACAAGCCTTACTGTATTGACCTTGTTATTGATCTCTATATAGCTAAAGAGCATCTCCCTTTCTTTCCCATCTTCAATATCAATTAATCATATCCCAATTGTGATTCCACTTCTTTATTTAAAACTTAGCTTCGTCTCTGAGAAAACAGAAAATGGCAATATTTCCTCCAGAAAAAACAGCTGCTTTCATGTTCATGTTGCTGCTATTTAACCTTGCATGCAATGCTCAACTTATCTCTACATTTTACGATAATTCATGTCCAAATGCTCTTAGTACAGTCCGGACTTCCATTAGGAGTTCAATTGCTCGAGAGCGAAGAATGGCTGCATCTCTCATTCGTCTTCACTTTCATGACTGATTTGTTCAGGTATATATAATTATAACATATCTATATTTGCTTTTAATTTTCTTCTCTTTAACGAAGAAGCATTAACTAATTAATGAATCTTCTGGTTGTGGTGGTTAGGGTTGTGATGCCTCAATCTTACTCAAAGAGACTTCCTCTATCCAGCGTGAAAGAACTGCTTTGCCAAATTTTGAGTCTGCTAGAGGTTATGAAGTAATCGACAAAGCAAAATCTGAAGCAGAGAAAATATGCCCTGGTGTTGTTTCTTGTGCTGATATTCTTGCTGTAGCTGCAAGAGATGCATCTGCATATGTAAGTTTATCTTCATCATTTCTAATTATTTCTATTCTGAGCTTAATTATATCAGAATCAATGTTTATCCATTAATTGTACATTTATCTCAGGTGGGTGGTCCATCTTGGACAGTACTGCTTGGCAGAAGAGATTCAACAACTGCAAGCAGAAGTCTGGCCAATAGCGAACTTCCTAGTTTTAAAGATGGTCTTGACAGCCTTATATCTCGCTTTCAGGGCAAAGGTCTTAGTGTCAGGGATATGGTTGCTCTATCAGGTAATTAATAATTCAGTTCAATTCTGCTGAGTAAACTAACTTGAAAATGCCCTTTAATTACCTTTATTTAACAAAATTTATTCTTAGCTTGAATGTTCTAAGAATAATCTTCTTTTCCAATAATTGCAGGTTCTCACACTATAGGTCAAGCGCAATGCTTTACATTTCGTGACAGGATTTACAACAATGGCACGAACATCGATGCAGGATTTGCTAGCACTCGCCGCCGTACTTGTCCAACTATTGGCGGCGATGCAAGATTGGCTCCACTTGATTTGGTTACACCTAATTCTTTTGACAATAATTATTTCAAGAATTTGATACAAAGGAAAGGTCTTCTTGAATCAGATCAAGTACTTTTTAGTGGAGGTTCCACTGATAGTATTGTTTCGGAATATAGTAGAAATCGTGCAACTTTTAGCTCTGATTTCGCTTCTGCTATGATCAAAATGGGAAATATTGATCCTCTAACTGGAAATGCTGGACAGATAAGGAGGATTTGCGGCGCTGTCAACTAGCTCTTGCAGTTCATACTCCCATGGGTTAATTCCCTTTTTTCCTATTTAATTTGTAATTTTGTTTGGTTGTTTCACAATTTGTCATTCTTTAGACCTTCCATCAAGTGTAAAGCAAAAATGTCTTACTCGTTTATTCATTAATTTTCAGTTGTAGTTCACTTCATTAATTTGAACTTTTACTTGTTTAATTGATTGAGTGGAATTGGAGGATCTGCAGAAACAAATGCCACTTATTCTTTTATTCATCAAATTTTAGTTGTTAAGTGATATAAGATTTTAACATAGCTACACTAGCATAAAATAAGCCTTTTCCTTTGTCGGACTTCAAAATATATTAAACTAAATTAAATTAAACATCAGGGAACACCAGTTTCCAAAAAAAAAAAAAAAAAAAAAAAAATCTGCAGAAACAAGTGCCACTTATTCTGTTGTTATTCACGTCAAATGTTTTAGTTGTTAGTAGTGATATAAGATTTTAACGATGCTCCACTTAGATAAAATAAGGCTTTCTTCCTTCTTGTCGGACTGTCAAATATAGTTAAACTAAATTAAATTTAACATCAGGACGACACCAGTTCTCCAAAAAAACAAAAAAAAAAAAAAAACCGTTTGCATGTTTCAATCTCTGCCAAAGTGAGCGCTAAATGGGGATAACCTGGCAATTCTACAATTGTTAGCAATTCAATGGTAGTCACTGCGTATCCCCGTAACCAGCAAAATTCTCATCAATACCTATCGTGAAGCAGCAGAGACAAAGCTTCCTGGATTATGTGGGGCCAAATTTTTCCCTCTAGCAGTAAAAAAAAAAAAAAAAAAAAAAAAAAACCGTTGCTGTTTCAATTCCTGCAAAGTGAGCGCAATAGAGGGATAAACCTGCAATCTTACTTGTTTAGCAATTTAATGGTATCACTGCTATCCCCTAACCAGCAAAATCTCCATACCATATCAGTGAAGCAAGCAGAAAGAAAGCTATGGGGGCCAATTTTTCCCTCTAGCATAATGAGTAAAGCAAGTATGAGGACAACTATGCCTAAACAAGCTACAAATCCATATGTTCTGTTGTTTTACAAGCAAGGAGTATTTCTCCCAGGGCTGTTAACAATTAGATTGATCAGAAATAGCCACACCTTCATAAAAGTGAAGCTGAAAATTTACAGATGCTATGTGAAAGATTGATGACAAACAAACTGGCAGATTGGCAGGGAATTAACTTCCAACTCACGTGCTTCCGGGAGCATCACTTCCTGCCGTTGGCTTCCGATTTAAATAACGAATTACAGCATCTTCTACCCTGTTCAGTTATCAAATCAAACCAGAGGTCAAATGTTTCATTGAGCTGTCATGCGGACCAATAAAAGGAAGCGTGTGTTTTAAGATCAAATTAGACTTATAAAGGCTTGATTAACTCTGCATCAGGAAGTTCCTTGCAAGGACACCCTCATAAAGAAAACATGTTCATGCAAATAACTAATTCTGTAATTTTACATATCTCGTATCTGTAAGTCAATAACAGGCTTGAACAGCATCTAGGAAATGGTATGTCAAGTAGCGGAACCAAAATTCACATTAGCTGTCCTACAACACAAGTTATGTTTCAAGATTGGACATAATATTATCTCTCTCCTAAATATAAGGTAAATCCTAAAAAGGCTAATATCAAGTTGATGTGAAAATTTTCAGATACCATGCGTATGGATGCATAAAGCAGTAATGATTAAAAGAAGTGGAAGAAAGAAGTTTCAAAAGAAATAAACAGTTGTCAAGCTCACCATGGTTGGTTGAAGAAATCTGCACGTCGCTCTTTCTCAGCACTTCGACTGGCTTCCCCAGCTACAAGCTTCAAATCCTTACTTTGAGATTCAATCAATGCATTAATAAATTCCACAGGCGATTGACTAAACCCAAGGAAGAATGCCCGCCTCCTACGATGTTCATGAATTTTTCTTATAGCAGCACATATTGCTTCATCGCAAGTATCAATTTCTTTGTTCTTCTCTGCATTTGCCAACAAAGCAGACAACTCTCGCTGTATTGGAAAAGGGACATCAACCACCACGTCATAGCATGCAGTTCCAGCTGGGCTATTCCCTGAAAGCTTTATCTTATGCTCCAAAACTATTGGTTGAGGAGGAGCTAAATGCTGAGATATCTTCTGTGAAACCATGGTAAATTTCATCTTAGCTTCCCCGAATACTTTCTGAAGAGGTGGATCACAATTGAAGAAAGAAGGGTCCTCTGGATTCTGCAACTTCCTAGCCTTCACATAGTGCCAGATTGCAGCTATTATCCTTGGACGGGTGTCAACCTCAATACCAAGAACTTCCATCAAAGCAGGAGAGAGCTTATATTTCTCAGGCGCATAGTACATTTCCAACCGTATAGTCACTGTGAACTCTTTATCCCCCTTTCTCTTCACTTCAAAACCCTCATGAGGAGCAGGTGTTCGAGAATGCTCCCACACAATCATATGATTATCAGGATATAATCTCTGATCCAACATGATAGTCACTCTCTTGAAAAAAGATGAGAACTTTGGGTACAAAGGGTTTGATTTCTGAACTACTCCAGGCTGATCAGGATCTATCCCATCTTCCAAGATTCTCCCAACAATCTTAAGAGTCCATGATGGAGGCTCGGCATTTGGCTTCTTAGGAATTGTTCTGGTCTGATTAGCAAACGTGTTGAAAACATAAATTCGAAGTGTTTTTTGAACACAAGGAGGGTTTTTAAGTGCCTCCTGAATGTCAACCTTCTTTCTAACCAAAGCAGCATCAACACGAGCCTCAAACTCAAGAAGCTGTGTATACAATGCAGATTCTGGAAGAATCGCTGCCACTCTATCTTGTAGCTGCTTCTCCGGAAGCTTCTGCTTCTTCCTACGAGCGGCAGGGGTTAGATCCATAGTTTTCAATGGGGAAACCAGGCTTCCCATGGGAACACCAGGAGGTCGTACGGGGGGTTTCTGAGGTAGCCGCTTGACATTAAAATTACCAGGAGTTGAAAACGAAGGTGAAGATGTACCTAAGTTGGCTAAGGCAGCAGTTTGGGCCTGGCTCAGGGTCATTCCCTGAGCCTGTAACTGTGCTTGAAATTGAGCATGCACTGCTTGGGCCTGCGCTTGTGCGTGAGCCTGTTGTGCTTTAAAATGTGCCTGAGCATTGGCCTGCGCTTGGGTCAGCTGGTACTGACCCTGAAAGCCAGTGCCAAGTTGCCCCTGAGACTGTGACTGTGACAATGCTTGGTTGATGGGCATCGATGGATTGACCATCCCTGAATTACCAAAGGGTGATGAAGATTGCCCAAGGCTCTTGGGTGGGTTATTATTGTTATTATTCACAGACATAGTTAGCACTATAACTCTATCTAACAAATTACTCTTAAGAATGATAAAAAAATCAAAATTCAAAGGCTCACATATGCATAGTCAAAATAAGTTATCAAAGCTAAAGAGCCAACTAATACTACGCAATCTAAAACAAGCTCGACCCAAACCCTAAAACCCAGCTGCACCAAAGTAATCAAACTCACAAAAGAATCAAAAACCTTGAGTTTAGAACAGCAACAAAATGGGAACTAGAATCCCATTTAATACACGTTTGAGATGCAAATTTTGGGGAATTCAAATGAATGATTAGCCCGGAATTCCAAAAAATGGATTCCCAAGAATGACTAGAATTTGTAAAACCTTAATATTCGCTAGTATTCAAATTCCTATATTAGCATCGATCGAGCGTCTAACCTTTGCTAGTCCAACCAAAAACTACCCACGCCCAGCACAGCTCCGTCTTCTAAACAGACCCAACCTACAGATCGAATCAAACACAAAGAAATTAGACTCTTTAACACAAATACAGATACCCGATGCACATAACAAGTAAAAAGAGAGCGAGAGGGAGAAAGCATACCGGGAGAAACAAGCGGGCAGTTGCTCAGCTCTGCTGGGTGTGCAAATTTGAGAGAGAGAGAAGGCAGACCGAAATTTCCTAACCTAGTTGTTGAAATTCTATAATGGGCTAGGCTAGACGTAATAAGAAGATTTCCTGTACGGTGTCGTTTTAGTTGAGGCAGAAATCCGATGTCGGTTTGGCTCTCCACGTAGCAGAATAAAATATTTGAAGTATGACATGAAATGAAAATTTTCATTCTCAGGTAAGCAATTTTCACTATATATGTATATATTACATTGTGGAGAGAGATAAAAACTCAAAGAAAACTAAAATTTCTGGTTATAAAAAAAATATTATTTATTTTAAAACTCTTTTTCTATGTGTTTTATACTCTTTTTGGATAAACTTCTATATATTCAGTAAATGGGACCATCTATATTTCAATCCAATAAAAAAAGTTTTTTTTTTAATTATTATTGTTTAATGTATAGATTATATAATATAGGTAAAATCCTTTCCATATTTTTCTGTGAATCTATCTTAAATGGATAATTAAAAAATTAGTATTGGAATCTTATTAATTTTTATACTTTAATGTCTAAATTTTATTTGTTTTTCAATTAATTCCATTACACTAAATATATATTTTAACTATAGTCAACGAAAACAAAGTTTATAATTATTCCTGTCGCAACAATACATCAAATGTTAGAAGGATTGTAGTTATGATGCAAAGGACTGACACACGTTTAAGCACACACTAAAATGTCTCATTTCATTTTCAAACCAAATACATTGTAGATAGGTGTCCCTTTCCCTTGAAAAGCAAGTTGATATATTCAGAAAATGTGGTGATTATCTATATCTACAGTATTAATTGATATTAATACAAATATTATATACAGTATCTAGATTAAGAATTTCTTTAATCAGAATTAATTACGTAATTAATCAAGATCATAAGGTTTCACATTGCCAATAATTAATTACTAATATATATCCAAAAGAATGGCGGAGTCTGAAATAATTAATCTGAACATAATAAATTATTAAATAAGGTTTAATAAAATATGATCTCATGTTTGGTGACCTGATATAAGTGACTGAATAGCACTGGAAAGGTTGGTAACAGCCATAGCAAGATTGGCCATTCCTTGTCGATTCACTTCGTTTCTGGTTTCTTCAAGCTGAAGCCTGCGTTGTTCAAACTCCATCAGTTCTTGATGTCGTTTCTCTTTCTTCTCTTCACAGTTTCTGATCGTTTGAGCTAAGATTGAAGCACTGTGCTTGATGCTTGCACCAATATTATTGTTCTTCATTCTCCTTCGTTTAGAGCCGCCGCTGTCATGTTTATCGCTTGACTCCGTTGCAGATGATTCTGATCCTTCTACAAACCATAAATAAACGAACATATATACATGTATAAACATTCACATGCATTAATACAATTTTTTCAAAAAAATTGATTGTTTAGTTCATAAGAAATCTAATTTTTATATTTTATACTCAAAAAATTTATATTTATATAAAACAATAATTTTTTTAATAAAAAAACAAAGATGCTAAAAAATTTAAAAAGAAAAAAAAGAAAGGGAGAGACAGTATATTGAAAGAGAATCCCATGAACTTTTGGGAAGAAGAGGATGTGAGGCCCCTAGTACTTCTTGGAGTACAACTGGTGAGAACTGAAAAGATCAGGTCTTGAGTAGCATGTGGTCTCAGCCTTGCAGCCAGTGTTGTACAGTTAATTCAGGAATACCCTTTGCAGCTCTCAGTCAGTCCACATTTTGACTTACCATTATTATTTTACAAATATATTATAATTTACATCTCCATTAGACACTAAAAAAATTATTTTCTTTTCAGAGATTTTGTGAAATTTAAGGCTAGAATTACTTTATGGACATCGTAGTATTTTTATTGAAGTGCCATAACAAAGAATGATGATTAAGTGTTTCTAACAGTTGGCTACTGGCTTGCATGATTGCATTCGACCGTCTGGTTTTTATTATTAAATAAACCAAAATTAAACCAATGTCGGCTCAATTACATTTCCAAATCTTTTCTCTGCTCAAAAAGCATGGTATTTCATAAATGCAATCATACTATAGACTATAGGGTAATAATTCTATATATTAAGCACAAATAATGTCACACTGAGCTTATACATTAGGGTTTCTGATGCTTTCTAATATTTATACCCTTCATGCAAGATTATATACTCATCAACTATAATAAATATATTAAGGGTATATTTATAAAAAGACTAATCATCCGGAGATATTAATAGAAGACCAAACGTTATAAACTCAGAGGATTTAATACTGCTAGGTTAGTCATTCAATAATTCAAGTCAACTGCTCGATGTTAAAACTCATATGAACATAGTGATTTCAGCATATTAAAATGAACTAAATACATTTCATGTTATTTTTTATTAAAAATATTTTTATTTTTCTATCAAAATTAAATGGAAGTATTATAGTACGAGAGAGATTATTACTAGTAATAGCAGGAACGGAATAATATAAACAGTACAGTAGAAAGAGAGAGAAAGACTGATAAGAGTTTTTCAAACCTGTAAGTTTGACCAAAATAATTTCATAACCCAAAGGCCACAACAAACAAAAAAGTTCTCATTTAGGACATGACACTGACATTGTAACAATACTACTACTGCAAAAAAGATACAAAGTACCTGATAACGCCGGCCGATCCATCAAAGCCTCCGGCACTACTTCCCGGAGGGTCACCGGAGAAACTGGAACATCAGCAACAACTGTAACTTGCTGTTGCTGTTGCTGTTGGGGTGATACTACGACGTTTTGTTGCGTAATGTTAGTGTATCTTCTTTGAACAACTTGATTGAGAGCCTCAAAGACTTCAAGAGACATGTTGGAAGGGAGATTATAGTACTTTCGCTGGTGTCTTTCCATCGTCCAATAAGAAGGGAAAGAATCAGAGCCGTCGGATCTTGATTGATATTCCCGGACTTTTTTGTAGTCGCGGAGGAGATTATCCCATTTGTCATTGCATTGGTTCTGGCTACGGTAGCAACCATGGGCCCAACAGTAGTTCTCTACCCATTTCCACCGGAGCTCGCCGGGTTTAGAGGTTGAAGGAACGGTGGGTTTGGAACGGCGCTCGTCGTCTAGTTTTTTGGCGGTGATAAGAGTTAGGGTTTCTTGGATTGTCCAGTTGCCCTTACGATATTCGCGGTTGCTGCTGGTGGGCGTGGTGGTGGTGGTGGCGGAGAAAGGAAGGAGGGGAAGGTGTGACGGTGGTTGTGGTTGTGGTTGTGGTTGTGGTGGTGGTGGGATTGAAGTTGGAGGTTGGGACATATGGTATAGGCATATGAGAGAGGAGTGAGGGAAAGAGTAAAGAAGAGAGAGAGAGAGAGAGAGAGAGAGGGAGAGGAGGATGTTGTGGTGGTGGAGGTGATGGTGGAGGTGGTGATGGTGGTGGGGAGGAGAGAATTTTGTTGTTTAGTTTGTCACAGAAGCAGAGACAGGAGAAAGGATTGTTTCCTTTTCCTGTTTCATCATTCAAAGTGTGTTTTCTGGACTGAAAGTCCATTTATCTATAACAAATTTAATTTTTGTGTTTTAGATTGCATATTTTTCTTCATTGTACTGTCTCCCTCACTCTTTTGTTTTTCTTTATCTAGCCAGACTATTACTCTTTTTTTTTTTAGTAAATAAACATTTTTATTTATGTAAAATAAACAATTAAGAATCCCACACACAAAATTTACATATATATTAATTTTAACTTTTTATTATGAAATATATATATATTTCATAGATTTTGTAAAATGTATAGATATTATATTTCATTAATTCAAAACCACAGTAAATTAATAAATATGTATACATATTTATAGTTATATTTTTTTTAATATCAAAATTTTGAAAACTTTATATAAAAAAAAAGGATACATTTTAAGTTTTAGATAAATTCTCCATCTCTAAAATGAAAGTGTGAAACAAATTCAAAGTGATACATATGATTCACCTGTTCATAATTATATGCATTCTTCTTACTATTATGTGCACTATTTAAATAACTCTTCAAGTTAAATTTATCCACGTGGCATGCATATATTAGTACAGGACAATTTAAAAAAAGAAAAAAAAAACTCAGTCAAGCCTATAATACCACGTACAAATCAAACTAATGAAATTTAAGATTGAATCAAAAATTAAAATTTATATTGAAATTGAATCGGTTCAAAATTCAACGGTTTCACTGTTAACTGTGACTGAAATCATCTATTTATTATTACGTTCCCAGTAGTTTTAGTTTGAACGGTTAAAAAAAGTATTGTAAAAAAAAAAAATTTACAAATAAATTTCCACTTTATTTTTCATTTTGTTATATTTCTTTAAAACAAAATTTTAATCTTTGTCAATACTACTGTTTATTATTAGTTTTTTACTATTATTTATTCATACTACAAACTAAAAAAAATGTTAAAAAACTTTAAAAATTATATTTATTTTAAATTGATTATAAATTAGAATCAACTGGTTCTAAAATTATCCAAAAAATACCTAAAAAAAGTGATTTATTTTCGATTTTACTTATTTAAAGTTGAAACTAGCAACTTTTAACATCAAAATTGAGATTTTTTTTTAGGTTAAAATGGAGAGTTTGGAAGCGTGGGCAATACCTGTGTTTATTTTATAATTAATTGAAAATTAAAAAATCCTGCAAAATGAAATTGACAAATTAACGAAGAAAAAGAGAAAGAATTGGAGGAAACTATAGGATAACGAATAGGTGAATCATTACTTTACACCGTCCGGTCTTAAAAGAAGACCACGTAATAAAGTACCTTAAGAAAGAGATCACGTGGCAACATCATACGGAGAGATCTTCTGCACAATCCTTCTTTCTGCCCCATTATAACACGCTCATTTGGCATCCAATCTCACTAAAACAAAATAATGAATTTTCTATTAATCTCCTTATTATTATTATTATTATTAAATTCACTAAAAAGAAGCAAATTATCGTTATTAAGTTCATTGGTTAAATACAGATAACTCTCAACCATATGAGAGGCAAACTGAAATAACTTTTCTTTTATTAGGATTTCGGAGCCACGGCCCTTTGGCTCCTATGTCGGTCGTCACTGCTTATTTAGGTTTTATTCGTTTATAAAAAATATTTTCCAGATTTTCTATGTTTAAATTGCTTAAAAAAATTATCTATGAATTTTTTATATTTGAAGTGTGTAGAAAAAATTATCTATGGAAAATACTTTTCAGACATGCTATTAATTAGGCCATTATTACCGGCTACCACCACTAAATATTTTTATAATTTTGTAAATTAAAAATATTAATATTTTTAATTAAATTTTTAATATAGCAGATCAAACTCCAGGCTATGAATTATTTAGAAAATATTTTTAAAAGATAACTTATTTTTTGAAAACAAACGAAATCTTAAAAGGTTATGTATTTTCTTGTAGCTAAAACATCACCTATTTTTAATTTAAAAAAAAAAAAACAAATTGGATTATTTAATGAATGAATATTGACATTTTGATAGCTTCCACTCCCTTGTCCCATTCTAATGTATTTGGACAGTAGCGGAGCTTTTTCCCTTTTCTTGAGAGTTGAGGCAGGGACAGGTTTGGCCTTGACATAATGACTTTGATAATCACAAAAGTCTTTTCTTCAATCTTTCACCTTGACTTTCAGTTTTCAATATCTAATTGATTCTTCGTTCACATCAAACCTAAAAATTATGAATCTTCAATCAAAAAAAAAAAGTTATAAATTTAAAATAAAAGAAAAATAAACAAAGCCTCCAGAGTATCTAAAAACACTTTCTTTCAATTACAGTCAAAAGGAAGGAAACAAAGATTTAGAGATTTTAAGTTTGAATTCCTAACTGCTTGCACTTGCAGCATGAGCCATAAACAGCTATAAGATCGAGTCTGATACAGGGAGAATTTACATAATAAATAAATCAAGGTACCACTTGAGAATTCTGAGCAACACTCTGGAGAGAGCAAGCAAAAGTGAAGAAAATATGGATGTAGATAATTCCCATTCAAATTTCTTCGCAGCAAAATTCATAAGCTGCTTATGGCGGATTTTCATTCCCAAGCAACTAACATCATAGAATTGGCCAGCCCTGACTCTCCAAAAGTTAATTTACTTTCATAATCCAGAGTCTTTGCTCCTGGGATTGCTTGTGTCAAACGAAATGGCCTTCTACTGGCTTCTTCTAGTTGAGAAACGCAGAATGACCATAGCAGCTATTGGAAAAAAGGAAATGTCAAATTCAGAAATTTACGCAAGATAAAAGTTAAATTAGTTATACTGCTCAAGCTTAGTGCATAACAAGAAAAATATCCCCACTAATCAATTACATAATATGCCTTGGAGAAAATAACATTTTGAACGTACTTGAAATTAGTCCTAGAAAGACTAGTTAGCATGTCCATGCATTCTAGATGGTTTCATCTGATCTGAAAGATACAGAGAGCATCTGAGCATGACCCAGGAGGAAGAAAAAAAAGGAGGTAATGTTATCCTCCTACTAGTTAAGGTTGGTGATTTTAGCAGCTACAAGCTCACAAGAAAATGATGGTACATAGAAAAGGGCAGTTCCGTGTCCTCCTAATAGATGGAGTCATAGCTTGACACATGTATATCCAAGAATGAGAAAAAGAGAAACATCTCCTTCCACAAGCCCAACATAATAATCTTCATTTGAACCAACCTGGCTCACTGACATATAAGCATTAACTCAACATGTTCAAGTTCCCTGCCACTTGTTACCTGTCCAAGTCCTCCATAGCAAGTTTACTTAACATTTGGAGCAAATGGATGTTAGTATCCAAACATTTTTTGGGTGCAACTCGAGCTACCCCGAAAACATGTTGGAATTTGAAAACAAAATAAGCAAATAATATTTCCTAACACAGAAGATCTGATGAAAAGTCAGAAGTTGAATGGGGGAGAACATAGAAAGAGTTCAGAGTTAATAATGGAATATTAGGACAAGAAGCATAAGCATTCTTACTTGTACTGGATCAGTTTTTAGGAAATGTCTTTGGACCCTGCGTCCATCAGGGAGACGAAGTCCAACCCTGCACATAAGGCTACTGTCACCTTTGGGTTCTTCAGGCAGTGGTGGATACGTGGGTTTTTTAATTGAGTATGTATCTTCCCCCTTTTCAGCCGTAGTTGCACCTTTATTGTCAGAAGCCATCACATTTGAGTCTTTCATGCCATCCAGAGAAGCAGCCAATGCCCGTTGCACTTCCTCATCTTCTTTATTAGTAGCATTTGAGGATGCTGCAGGAAATGCACGTATTTAGGTATCACACATGCATAGTGACACAGAAGCAGACACATAGGCATAGACACAGAATGAAACCACACATGACCTCACAGCTATACAAAAAGCATCCACATGGACATGCATGTGAGTGTACAACACTACCTCAAAATGTCCAAAAACTTAAAGTCAATTTAAAAAAATATCTCATCTCCTCTCAACCTTGTATTACTACAATTCACCAGTTTCTGTCAGCAGAAAGAAGCTCCCAGGTATGAAATATATAATAAAAGAAATTCAATGGACACTTTTCTTTTGACCAAAGCGTCACCTTCCTAAGCACAGTGTCATCAGTTTTGCCCCAATATAGCAAATTGGATATAACCATGCCGTTGAAAACCTGTCAGTCGCACCTTACATTGTTATTCACAGTAGAATTTCACCAATAATACATAAGAATCCCAGGATAAGGATAATGAACAAATAGGAAGCAGAGCACCAATGGTATAAGAATCAGTGCATATGCGTAAAATAACCCATATATAACTCTCCATGCCAAGCAGCAAATAAGACATTCAAAAACATGGTATAAATTAACAAGAGCCATAATTCACCTGTGTTTTTCTGTGGCGCCTGAGAACTTCCCCTTGGACGTTTATGTGACAGAGTTAAGTGATGCTCCCTCGGGCCACCATCCAAGAATGGCACTAGATCCTGCAATTGCAAGTATTTTTATTCTAATCAACAGAAAAACATTAAAATTTTGAGGCCTTTTTCACATCACATTTTGTTTTCACGATCACACTGATAAGGTATAAAAATTATAAATCAACATAACAAATACCTCTAGCAAACTCTCAGGCTGTATCATTCCACTCCATGCACGCATCTTTTGTCCTGTTATGGGGTCAATGACAAGCACCACAGGAATAGAATCCAATTTGTAATAGGTGCAGACTTTCTTGCCTTCACTTGTATCATCATAAACCTAAGTCCATTGACATGACTCATAATAATGTTGCAGTAATGCTAAAGTTCGAAAGTTATCAACAACAAAAATATTTATTTAGATTTTCAAACATATTTATTTAGACTCTCCACAAGCACTACCATAGATGACAACTTAAGACGTAAAAATAAATTACAACTAATTACAATTTAAATGAATCAACTATTAGTGTGTTCCTTTCTTGGCTGATAAATCTGTTCTTCCTCAGCAATCTCCATTTAAAAAAAATTAAATTAATTTTTTTAAAAAAATTGTTGCATATTATTGATCTATAAAAAGGCTGCTATGAAGCAGCACAGTAAGAATTCTTTTTCCACACAATCAAATGACTTAGATACATAAAATGAAGCACAAACTAACCTGCCAAAAGATAAAATTAGTACTGATGGTTTGAGCAACAGCTTCATTTGCCCATGTATCCCGATTAAGCTTGCAAAAATATCGCATACAAATCATAATTGAGAGGACATTAAACATAATGAAAAACTTCAAATAAAATGGGCACATATTCCAAAAACTACCATATGGGAGCTGAACTCTTTTGTGGATTGTAAATTCACCAGGAGCCATTTGTCCTGAACAGAAGCAGCACCTTTGGCCTGGAATTCAAAAAACTCCATGAGTTTCATATCAAATTGGTTTCAATAGGCATAAGAACAAAGGATGTCAAAATTTTGTGATACACATTAAGGTTACCAGTAACCACATATATCACACAGCAAGAAACTTAAAAAGAAAAAAAATTCCCTTGCCTTTTCAAATGAACCCTGGAACATGAGACGAAATGGAGGACTATACAAAGATGCAAGATTATCCCGGGGGTTTTCCGCTGTTGAGGTAGCACCTTGGTCTGATTCCCAAACCCCAGGGCGTTTCATTTCCTCTTCAAAGTTGCGAAAAGCAATCAGTGAACCGGATTCTTGTGGAGGATATCCTGTCCTATATGCTCTAAATGAACAAAAGAGAAAGCAACCATAATGTGAAAAGGAAAAACTGTTGAGCAAAAGATTCAGGGAAGAAAGAAAAACTAGGAAGTACAGATCTGGATAATAGCATTTCAACTGAACTCACTCTATCAGAACCAGCTGACATAAGCAAAATGAAAGGAAAAAAAAAGAGCAGAACAGAAACAGTGTTTTATGCAGTATAGGTGAAAGGCTAACAAGTCACTTGAAATGTAAGATAACACTCAAAATTAGAAGACTATCAGAAACTTATGGCATAGAAATGCAAGAAACAAGAAAATCATTCAGTTCCTCAATTCCGTCAAATACTTTCCAATCCATTATACACCTCACCACACTTTGAAAGAAATGCAGTACAAGAAACTAAATACTTGAAACAAGTCTTTAAGTCTTTGAGATTCAAATTTAATTACATGAATATTTTAGAGATAGAATGATGGCGCGCGAGCAAGGGCACATGCTTCACATAAAAGTAGTATCAACTAAAAACAGAGATGCGCATGCGTGCATAAACATACACCGCACTTGAAGTAGTATCAACTAAAACAAAGGAATAAAAATGCCACATTGCTGAGTAAACTTTCAAGCAACAGGGTTTATAGTCTCTCTCTCTTTCTCTCTCTCTCTCTCTCTCTCTCTCTCTCTCTCTCAAGTGTGCACAGCACTTGAAGTAGTATCAACAGGGATTATAATCTCTCTCTCTCTCTCTCTAGAGTATCAACAAGGGATTATAATCTCTTCTCTCTCGTCTCTCCTCACACACACACAAAGGTGTGCAGCAGACACTTGAAGTAGTATCAAACTAAAAACAGAAATTAAAAATGCATGTTGTTGAGTAAAGCTTTGAGCAACAAAGGTTTACAATCATTCTCAAAAAATTTTCTTGTCTTTCAATCAATACCTATGCTACTAGATATAGATAATTGGAAACAAAGTCATAAAATCAAGTGGGCACCAGCAATTGAAGTAGTAATCAACAGGGTTATAAATCTCTCTCTCTCTCCAAAAGTGTGCAACAGACTTGAAGTAGTATTATAAAACTAAAAAAACAGGAAATAAAAATGAGTGTGCACAGCACTTGAAGTAGTATCAACTAAAAACAGGAAATAAAAATGCCATGTTGTTGAGTAAGCTTTTGAGCAACAAGGTTTACAATCATTCTCAAAATTTTCTTTCTTTCAAATTCAATACCTTGCTACTAATATAAATTGAAACAATAATCATAAAATAAGTGAAACAAAGATATTTGAATATACATTGTTAACATACCTATAAAACATTGCATCATCATAGAGAGTATCCCTCACAACTGGCAAAGGAGCACGCACTTCCTCTCCACCATCTTGTCCAACATTTTTATTTTCATCGTCCTTCACTCCACTGAATCAATGTATGACAACCAGGAAAAAATAAAAGGCATTGTATTCAAAATCAAAATAATTACATCCTAACATACCCAGCATTTTCATCAGCCCAGGGATTAGCATTTTCAGTGGGGGGAGAATGTGATGCAGATGCAACTGGCCCAACATCATTGCCAACATAGAACAGCTGAAGTGCTTCCTCAAGCTTCCAACTAGTGGCCTGTTCCATTCCAGCATACCAGTATGGAATTCCAATCAGTATAAGAACGAAACCAATAGTTTAAAGTCAATACTGGCATTCCCCCGTTGAGTTCCATATGCCAACAGTAGCAAAGAGATGTTTCCAACAACAATAAGATCGTTAATCCTTCCAATAATACCAAATTTCTCAGAACTAGAGTACATGTTTCATTACTAATATCCCTCAATGCAGACAACGTTCAATCTAATCATGGATCTTCTCAATCTTGGACAGGCGCTAGTAGCTCCATCAAACACCAGCTCGTTGCAACTACAAACTTTAGGCTAGTGAAAACAACAAACTCCTTACTGCAACTTTAGTAAAATGCCACACTAACTAATCAAAGTTCCCTGGAGAATCCATTATCAACAAGATCATTCAATAAAATCCCCTCAATTCCTAAAATCTACTAAATCCGGCAACCCCAGAACCCAAAACTTCATTAGCAACAAAAATAACAATTTTTTTAGCAATACGCACTTCAAAAAGTAGGGAAATTAATATGCTTTTGACCTCAATAAACCACCTATTCTAAGACTTGCTCATAATCAAACAGAGGTTCAGCTCAACAATAAGCAAGAAAAGAATGAAATTTTAAACACCAATACATACACATAAATATGATCGCCGAATATGTAGATACCTGCAAGAACTGTCTAGCGGTCTCGGCAGTTTGGCCAACGGCGATCTCGAGAAAGGAAGAGACCATGTTCTGCTCATCATTGGCGGATAACATTGCCTCCATGGTTAAAAAACACCCAAATCCAAACCCTAATTAGCAGATAAAAGGCTCCAATTTTTGCTTGCAATTTCAATTTCCCAGAAAAATTCAGCTCATATCTAGGGTTTAGAGAGAAAAAAGAAGTAAGAGAAGAAAAGAGAAAAGCTCAAAATGCGAAGCTTTATAACTTTCTGCAAAAGAATTAAAAAAGATACTTCAAGAACTGGTTTTCAAATTGTTTATATGTAAAGGTGAAAGTAAAAGAAAACTGAGAAGACAACTGTGCAGCCGAACCGATTCTAGACAAAACGGATAGATATTTCTGTAATTTTATTTTTTTTTTACTTTTCTTATGTTAATTAATACACTATAATCTATTTTTGTTATATTAATTTTTATTTTAGAAAAAGTTAGTTTCACCATAAACATTTCGTCTAATTATTACTTTTTTGTAAGCATTTTGTAGTTGGACTAATTCATAATTATTTTAATCATTTTTAATTATGTAATTTATTGTGCAAATGAATATTTTAATTTATTGATAACAAGTCAAAAATTATATTGTTTTTTTGTGTAAATTAATTTAAATATAACTTTTAATACTTTTTTTTGAAGTGGAATACTTTTAAAATTTATGTTTTTATTTTTTTTAAGCATAAAATAAAAATTGTATGAGTATTAAGGAAATGTAAAAGAACATTGCCAAATAAATTATGGATAATATAGTAATTTTAATTAATAAAAAAGTGCAATCGGAGTGTAGTTAAGAATTGTTGAGTCGTTTAAATTTTGGAATATTGAGTGAAAAATAGAGAAAGGAAATAAAATAAAATTTTAACTTTATTGTTTAGAAAATGAAGGAAAATATATGAGTGGGAAATGCATTGTGAATCCCATATGTAATTTTTCTCTTAGATTAGAAGTATAATGAAAGGAAAATAACAAAATATCCCTTTTAATATATCTTTCATAAAAAAAAAGACTTGAAACAAATATAAAATTAATTCTTTATATAACGATTTTATTTCTTCTTTTGGAGGATTTTCCAAACAGCCAAAGAAAATATTATTTCCCTTAACAATATTTTTCTTTTTTTTTTTTCTTTTGAGATTATTTGGATCGATTGTATTCGAATTTTGAAATTTAAATATTTAAAATTAGGTTTTTTATTTACTTAAAAAAGTAATTTATAATCTACAAAATTGATGCATTCTATAATAGCCACCACTCTATTATTAAAAGAGAGAGAGAGAGAGAGAGAGAGAGATCTAATGATATGGGATTTTGTCAATTGCATCGGCTTATATGAATTACAGAATTTAATCATTTAATTTAATTTTAATTACAGTTAATACATACATTTTATTTTTCAACCAAATGTTTGAATGTGACATTTTATGAATTTCACGATTGGATCCATGCAAACCATTTTTTTTTAAATCACCATAAATAAAATGTTAAAAATCCACAATGTAATTGTAACGTCCTATTTTTCTATGTCTAAGTTGTGACACCTATTGAATCGAGTCGTTGCTTAGAGTCGAGTCGGACTGATCCAAAACCCGGTTCGAGCCATTAGAGTCCAGAGTGGAGATGTGACAGAAAAATTATAGCAATTCAATCTATCCAATATAAATTTTTAATTACAGTTAATACAATAACATTTTATATTGTCAACCAATAATGTTTGAATGATGGACATTATTATACAATTTTCACTGAATTATGGAGCATCCACGGCAAATCCAGTCTTTTCATATCTATAAATCAAACCAAAGGACATAAAAAAATAGATAAAAACCACAAATTAAAATAGATAACGCACATCTTTTCTCTATGTTAAAGTATAGTAGACACTATATTCAGAAAAAATTCAACTCCTGCCTGAAAACAGACGCTACTAAAACATGAGTCGAGTACAAACATGAATCCCAAACCTAACACGGTAAAAGACAGCAATTTAGCATCAAGTCAAGACAAGTGGGAAAAGAGATATAAACGGACCGTATCACTGAACTCATAAATACAGTGAGAAACCAAGAACTATACTTAGAAGAAACAAAAGATCAAGACGAATAAACAATATTCAGAGGGAAAGTCAAGATTAAGGGGAAACTATAGCACATTTGCAACTAAAAAGTATAAAGCTTAGATATTAATGTAACAATTGACAAGTTAGAGCGTACCATTAGCCCTACAAATTATTCAACATAAAAATAATTGCGAGAACAATTTTAGAGAGATTACATCAGCAAGTGAAGTTCCATTCACCACATAACTACTACATTATCAATACATTAAACTCCATCTTCCTTTCACACTCCATATCACACCTCATTCAACCCACCTTAGCTTTCCCACAACTCTTCTTCTCTTCTTTATTTCCATTAATGGGAGTTAGCATAATTCAACTTAGCTATTCCCCTATCCAAGTAAATGTAAATCTTTGATTTCCAAAATAATTGAAATAATTTGGTGATATTTATAGATGATTTACATAAGAATTCTTTATGGTAATAGACGAGAGGTGAGCAAAGTAGTAAAAGGAAGCTAAGAAGAAGTATCCAAAGCTTGTTGTTAAGATGAAGTAGTGCTATCGATTTTATTTAGTTTAATTAATCCTTGCATGAGCAAATTATGTGTGGGTGTGGTCTGATAAATGAGAAAAATAATGTTGTTTAATGTGAGTGAGGACTGGAAATGGATGAAAAAAGCATGAGATGGAAAGAATAAAATGAAAGTAAGAATATGATTCATGCGAAAACAGGTTTTAAGTGTATTAGTACCAAGTAAACACCATGATTTTGACACCCTATTATAATGATAGGAATTAGAAAACGTGTGCATAGAAGAAGTTAATTAATGTTTCCCTCTATGTTTAACTTCCAATGAGGGTTTTTTGAAATCACTCTAAATCAGAGTTATATGAATTGCAGAGATAATGACCAAAAGAGTACAGACTGCGCAGGCTAAAAAAACACGACGCGGCGCTCGGCGAATTTCAATGTCGAGCTCGTGAATTGTGCCCTGTAAACTCCTGAACTCTCATTTGTGCATTCTCCACAGCCTCGCATAGAATTTTCAATTGCGCGCATCGCGACATCTCACACTAAATAAAACTCATAGACCCTCATGTGTGCTGCTCCGCGCTCGCGACTTTGGGCAATGGCGCAGCTCGCGACATAGTGTTTTGTGCCAATTGAGGAAAACTTCCATATCTCTCTATTATGCAATTCGTAAATCGCTTATAGCCCCACCATATAGCTATAAGCCGCACAAAATTCAACATAAACAACAAAAGACAAATCACTGAGAACAATGTAGATCAAAACCAAATGCAAGCATGACAAATGACTGTGAAAATGAGGTGAAACCAAAAATGGCAGTAACATATGAAGATTAAGAAATTCCTATTGCAATTGTATATCAATTTGCTAACATCTTGACTAAATAGCCAACGGCAAAAAGTCAATCATCTGTCTACAAGCAACAAACAAAAGAACACAAACCGACACAATGTTCATGGGCCCACACAAGCATTGGCGAGGCATTATTCAGAAACATTACAAGCATAAAAGCAAGACATGCGTTCCTTGATAAGAAAAAAAATATGAAATGCAGTTTAATATTCAATGAACAAAGAACTAACACACAACAACAAGGGACGACACAATTCAACCAATGACAACACAAGCAACCCACAAAGTACACACTAAACACTGACACACCGCATGCCGAAAAATTATGAATGCAGTTACTATGCTTTTGTTTATATATAAAATGCTTAGACATAACGACAAACACTCACCACTAATAGGAACTGCCGCATTCGAAGGTTAGGCTACGAAAACCAAACAAAGTAGACAATAAGGACTATGTAGCGAAAGATAGGATAATAGAATCTGCGCACCACACGAAGTATAAGTGTAACGAGAAAACCAAAGACATTCACACTTCGGCCACGGACTAACAAGGACCGTCCCGCTAATGAGAGAACATGGATACTGAAAATATTATAAGGCTATAAGCATAGCCACGTCATAATACCATATTCCATACCAGGTTGTATATCAACACACGTCATATATAGGTGTTATAAATACTAATATGGCAAGTTGAGAATTCAACATTCGAAAATCACTAATATGCAGACTAGTAACGATATCTAATAACACCTTGAACTACAAATTGCATAACAATATCAATATAAAAATCAAATTTTGACGCAGCAGAGTTGATAATAAAAAATAATCATGATAATGTTGTGCTTAAATTTATACAATATGTGCACTTACACTAGCATAATTTCATTCACACATGTATTGTGCTTAACATGTTCTTTATTCGTTGCGAAAAATAAGTATATCATTACTCAGAGAATATTCTAATAGACAAAAAGTTCGCAGAATTCAATACAGAGACAAAATATATGGATATCCGCACCAGAACAAAGAAACTAAGGTCACAGATCGATACCAAGTAAATGATGTGAGGCAACAAATCCAATCTAAAAACTAGTCAACGAATTTACTACAGTAATTATCTATCAATAGAGCACTTAAACACACGAAACACTTCCAGAATTGACTCCATTCTTATCATACTATAAAACTACATGAATCCTAGACAAAAAGCTGCATATAGTCAGTAAGCACAGCAACTACTGGACAGAACAGTAAGCACAACTAGCAAAAATATAGGATACTGATGTGTATCCATAAACTATAAAGTTGCAACCATGTTTATATATAATTTAACAATACTTGCATAACATGAACGAGCGAGCCAAATAATAAACATGAAATAGTAATAACAATGAAAAATAAGAAATTAGAAAAAGAATACAAATAGTAAGAAAAAGTCTAATAGAGAATAAACCAGATATAAAGGACACCTACAAATCTAGGTTATCAATGATATATGGAAATTAGCCCGCAATAAGGAATTTAATATTTGCTTACAAAAGCCCGAAAGGAGTAGGCATTCTGTATAGTCTGAAGACTTTTAAACTAGATATTATAAAGATTAGGCCGGTGCAAAAGAAGGTTCCCATGAATCTGATCAGTATTAAAGTAAGTTGTTCACAAGCACTATGTGTGAACGAAAATTCACCTCGATAATATATGAGCACCACTGATTTTATAATACTCAGCGCGTCGATTTTATATCAACGCTAGGTGAAGATCGTGTTGCTAAAACTGAAGACTTGAGAGGTACGCTCATTAAAACGCAGAAGTGACTATGGAGGGTGGGTAGGAGCGAGAGAAGGTTTTAATATAAAAATTAT